TGTCTTTTAACCCCTTCCCCAGCCACTTTTTCTCAGAGTATATAAAGTCAAATAAACAGTTTCTCCGATATTAGAGAGTCAAGGCAAGATAATTAGCCAAAAACTGGGTCATAAAAGATACAATTACATGTGTACCAAGGGAAAGATCAATACCCGGTGATTTCAGCGGGAAGTGGCGTTTCGTTCAGTGGAGGAGCTGCGCGCGCACGCATAAATGTGATTAAGGTATGAGGTTCCATATCCATCCGCCAAAAGGTATGACCCCTATATAGTCCATTTAAAAACTCGTGGTATTGTTCTAAATAACGCCATAGTTGGCTTCTAGGGTACCTAGTATGCCACTATTTGGTATCAAAATAAAGAGGAGGAGTTCAACTTTCATTTGAATTACGAAAATAGCGATGTAGGTCAAAAATAGTTCCGACGTGAGCACGTTTACTACGCGTTTGCCCATCATATCAGAATTGAGGAAGTGGTAGCAAACGCGAGTCACAATAAATGGACGCTGATATCTCAAAAAGTAACCTGACTCCCTATAATTTGATGTAGATCAATCGAACCCCTATATGAACAGGTACATTTTGATATATAACACTATGGGGGGTAAGCGTTTTATAGTTGGTCACGAACGCCATATGTGCAAAGTATTGTTATGAATTTTCGAATTTGGTGTTGGATTACGGTACTCATACCTTAATATGAGGCCTAAAATTGTCTGCTAGTTGGCCAGAGACCAATATTCTAGCAGAATTTGAGAACAGAATCGATTTTTTCGTTCTGCGTAGGGCAAACAATGATTTGAAATCACTTTCAACCATTCTGTGAGTATAAGAATGGTCATAAGAGGCCCGTGGAGGGTCTGGAATGAAAGAAAGCCCTCTGAAATTCCGTCAAAATTGCAGGTTATATCTTCATTTTTTGCTAAAATTACATGATTTTCAGGGCCCATATCTCAGTGAAATTGCTACAATGTAGCGATTTTTCATTCTTACAGGCTAGATACACGTGTCAGGTCGACAGAAACAGTAAGCATGTGTGATTTTTAAATTGCTACATTGTAGCAATATTTATTTCAAAATACAGGTGTGAGGGAAACTGCAATTTAGTTAGATTTGGGCGAAAATGGCCAAATTTCAGTCAAAATCCTCGGGAGACAGGGCCTTTGTCTTAGATTTAGTCAATGATGCAACTCTTAGTAGAAGGTGTGTCATATAGGGAATGAAAGCTGTTTGTCAGACGTATCATTTTCTTCAATAAACTCAGAGATAGTCAGGTTAGATTTGTGACGTCACAGTGGCAAAGTTAGACTAGCATATTTAGACGTATTTGGGGTAGGGCAAATTAACCCTTTCTAGCCTAAATGGATAAATTTTTCACATATTCAGCCATTTCCGACGTTTTTATGCATTTTTGAACTAGAAATGATATTTTCTGCCAAAAAAAGTTGCAGAGACAAAAATCAGTGTGATGTCATAACACATTAATATGAGGCCTAAAATTGTCTGCTAGTTGGCCAGAGACCAATATTCTAGCAGAATTTGAGAACAGAATCGATTTTTTCGTTCTGCGTAGGGCAAACAATGATTTGAAATCACTTTCAACCATTCTGTGAGTATAAGAATGGTCATAAGAGGCCCGTGGAGGGTCTGGAATGAAAGAAAGCCCTCTGAAATTCCGTCAAAATTGCAGGTTATATCTTCATTTTTTGCTAAAATTACATGATTTTCAGGGCCCATATCTCAGTGAAATTGCTACAATGTAGCGATTTTTCATTCTTACAGGCTAGATACACGTGTCAGGTCGACAGAAACAGTAAGCATGTGTGATTTTTAAATTGCTACATTGTAGCAATATTTATTTCAAAATACAGGTGTGAGGGAAACTGCAATTTAGTTAGATTTGGGCGAAAATGGCCAAATTTCAGTCAAAATCCTCGGGAGACAGGGCCTTTGTCTTAGATTTAGTCAATGATGCAACTCTTAGTAGAAGGTGTGTCATATAGGGAATGAAAGCTGTTTGTCAGACGTATCATTTTCTTCAATAAACTCAGAGATAGTCAGGTTAGATTTGTGACGTCACAGTGGCAAAGTTAGACTAGCATATTTAGACGTATTTGGGGTAGGGCAAATTAACCCTTTCTAGCCTAAATGGATGAATTTTTCACATATTCAGCCATTTCCGACGTTTTTATGCATTTTTGAACTAGAAATGATATTTTCTGCCAAAAAAAGTTGCAGAGACAAAAATCAGTGTGATGTCATAACACATTAAGGTATGAGGTTCCATATCCATCCGCCAAAAGGTATGACCCCTATATAGTCCATTTAAAAACTCGTGGTATTGTTCTAAATAACGCCATAGTTGGCTTCTAGGGTACCTAGTATGCCACTATTTGGTATCAAAATAAAGAGGAGGAGTTCAACTTTCATTTGAATTACGAAAATAGCGATGTAGGTCAAAAATAGTTCCGACGTGAGCACGTTTACTACGCGTTTGCCCATCATATCAGAATTGAGGAAGTGGTAGCAAACGCGAGTCACAATAAATGGACGCTGATATCTCAAAAAGTAACCTGACTCCCTATAATTTGATGTAGATCAATCGAACCCCTATATGAACAGGTACATTTTGATATATAACACTATGGGGGGTAAGCGTTTTATAGTTGGTCACGAACGCCATATGTGCAAAGTATTGTTATGAATTTTCGAATTTGGTGTTGGATTACGGTACTCATACCTTAATATGAGGCCTAAAATTGTCTGCTAGTTGGCCAGAGACCAATATTCTAGCAGAATTTGAGAACAGAATCGATTTTTTCGTTCTGCGTAGGGCAAACAATGATTTGAAATCACTTTCAACCATTCTGTGAGTATAAGAATGGTCATAAGAGGCCCGTGGAGGGTCTGGAATGAAAGAAAGCCCTCTGAAATTCCGTCAAAATTGCAGGTTATATCTTCATTTTTTGCTAAAATTACATGATTTTCAGGGCCCATATCTCAGTGAAATTGCTACAATGTAGCGATTTTTCATTCTTACAGGCTAGATACACGTGTCAGGTCGACAGAAACAGTAAGCATGTGTGATTTTTAAATTGCTACATTGTAGCAATATTTATTTCAAAATACAGGTGTGAGGGAAACTGCAATTTAGTTAGATTTGGGCGAAAATGGCCAAATTTCAGTCAAAATCCTCGGGAGACAGGGCCTTTGTCTTAGATTTAGTCAATGATGCAACTCTTAGTAGAAGGTGTGTCATATAGGGAATGAAAGCTGTTTGTCAGACGTATCATTTTCTTCAATAAACTCAGAGATAGTCAGGTTAGATTTGTGACGTCACAGTGGCAAAGTTAGACTAGCATATTTAGACGTATTTGGGGTAGGGCAAATTAACCCTTTCTAGCCTAAATGGATAAATTTTTCACATATTCAGCCATTTCCGACGTTTTTATGCATTTTTGAACTAGAAATGATATTTTCTGCCAAAAAAAGTTGCAGAGACAAAAATCAGTGTGATGTCATAACACATTAATATGAGGCCTAAAATTGTCTGCTAGTTGGCCAGAGACCAATATTCTAGCAGAATTTGAGAACAGAATCGATTTTTTCGTTCTGCGTAGGGCAAACAATGATTTGAAATCACTTTCAACCATTCTGTGAGTATAAGAATGGTCATAAGAGGCCCGTGGAGGGTCTGGAATGAAAGAAAGCCCTCTGAAATTCCGTCAAAATTGCAGGTTATATCTTCATTTTTTGCTAAAATTACATGATTTTCAGGGCCCATATCTCAGTGAAATTGCTACAATGTAGCGATTTTTCATTCTTACAGGCTAGATACACGTGTCAGGTCGACAGAAACAGTAAGCATGTGTGATTTTTAAATTGCTACATTGTAGCAATATTTATTTCAAAATACAGGTGTGAGGGAAACTGCAATTTAGTTAGATTTGGGCGAAAATGGCCAAATTTCAGTCAAAATCCTCGGGAGACAGGGCCTTTGTCTTAGATTTAGTCAATGATGCAACTCTTAGTAGAAGGTGTGTCATATAGGGAATGAAAGCTGTTTGTCAGACGTATCATTTTCTTCAATAAACTCAGAGATAGTCAGGTTAGATTTGTGACGTCACAGTGGCAAAGTTAGACTAGCATATTTAGACGTATTTGGGGTAGGGCAAATTAACCCTTTCTAGCCTAAATGGATGAATTTTTCACATATTCAGCCATTTCCGACGTTTTTATGCATTTTTGAACTAGAAATGATATTTTCTGCCAAAAAAAGTTGCAGAGACAAAAATCAGTGTGATGTCATAACACATTAAGGTATGAGGTTCCATATCCATCCGCCAAAAGGTATGACCCCTATATAGTCCATTTAAAAACTCGTGGTATTGTTCTAAATAACGCCATAGTTGGCTTCTAGGGTACCTAGTATGCCACTATTTGGTATCAAAATAAAGAGGAGGAGTTCAACTTTCATTTGAATTACGAAAATAGCGATGTAGGTCAAAAATAGTTCCGACGTGAGCACGTTTACTACGCGTTTGCCCATCATATCAGAATTGAGGAAGTGGTAGCAAACGCGAGTCACAATAAATGGACGCTGATATCTCAAAAAGTAACCTGACTCCCTATAATTTGATGTAGATCAATCGAACCCCTATATGAACAGGTACATTTTGATATATAACACTATGGGGGGTAAGCGTTTTATAGTTGGTCACGAACGCCATATGTGCAAAGTATTGTTATGAATTTTCGAATTTGGTGTTGGATTACGGTACTCATACCTTAACAATATTATTTATGTAGGCTATAACCACAGTGACCTGCAGATGGCGCTTACACAAACAAGTACTGCACGAACCGATAAATTCCCGGGTATTGTAGCGCCCTTGATGTGTACAGGTAAACAAAGGTTCTGGGCCGATATAAAGATGGCAGCACCAACAGAATCCAGTATGATCTTTTTCTCTTTAGATAAACACAGATCGATTACCATGCCATCTTTATTTAAAAATTATTTATATCGACCTTAGCCTATGAGGTAATCCTTAGTCTAGTTCAATGTACATGTATATGGCAGAACAAGAAAACAATGTTTTAACCGTCCTAAATTCAAGTCACAAATTCATGTCAGTAAATACAATACAGTTTACATGATATATGGCAAAATACGGGATAAACTGGGTCACTCTCCAATGATAGATTCTGGGTATTTTCTGGGTTTGCTTGAAAACATTTTCATTTAAAGCTCATACATGCCTAAATAGGTGGGCATTAATTCAGGAGGTATGCACATCTAAAACTTGATCATAAAATTGTTGTCCTCTAATTCATAATATGTGAAGGAAGAAGTAAATGGCAGTGTGAAATTAACAACATCCACCTAACCTTTCACCTTCCATTCTACCATTCAAGTTGGTCTTTATATATAAAATATATACAGTTTCTCTGAGATGTTATCCTTTGTTAGTTGAATGTTAAATATTTGATTGTTGTGAGAGAAAAGTCCTAATTCTTTGTAGAAGTTCTTTTTTGACTGTGTCTGGCACGAGAGCTGAAAAAGAAAAGTTATAAATTGTAAACGATGGCCTGTCTCCATGAATTAAAAATACAAAGCATATTAATTCCAAGTACGTGACAACATTTTGAAGCACCATCTTTGATTGATTTTAAGAGCTCAAATCTCATTTAAAATTTTCCCATGTTCAACAACATAGAAAATAAACTGATAATTTGACAATCATATAGCACTACATCTAAAAATTGTGTAAATATTGGTGTGATCTAATCATGGGATAGTTATTTTCAACTATTTAAATTGAAGTGCTGACATTTGGGGAGGTTATCTCACATGTTTATCATTGTGAACAGTAACAATTGCTCAAAAATGACATCATATCTCATGGTATTTTCAGCGAGAAAAACTATTAACAATTTTAGCAGGTTTCTGTCTGCAAAAATGAATGAGGTGACTCAGAGGATTTCTGTAGAATTTAGAGAAGAAGACTAAAATAGAGATCTGAGTGATGTGTTTTCAATATCACCCTTCAAATCTCAACAAACAAGTTTACAATCTTATATGGATATTAAACCCAATTAAATATTCAACAGTAGGCCTATCCAAAAAAATGATTCAAAATAAAGAATTAGATAGCAGCAAAACCCAATTTACAGTAGTTCACTTTCAAAAACTTTATTTCACATCATTTTCCCCGTTTGTCTCATTGGTATCATTTTGCCACATTGATCTCATTTTGCCTCATTTGCCACATTGATCTCATTTTGCCTCATTGATCTCATTTACCACATTGATCTCATTTTGCCTCATTTGACACATTGATCTCATTTTGCCTCATTTGACACATTGATCTCATTTTGCCTCAATGGTCTCAATTGCTTTATTGGTCTTACCTCTTCCCTTTGGAGTTATTTCTGATACTAAGTCATCTACAGTCACATGTTCAAGTCCTTTTTGTCGGACAACCTCTGCAAATATATATGAAAGTATGTAAGTACTTTAAAATCTGGCCAAGTAAAACTCGATGAATGCATCCCTTTATTCATAATATGTGATGGTAAAGGGTTTAACCAAGACAACCTATAACTGTACAGTGGTGCCATCTGTGCAGACTGCAAGATGTATTACATGTAGATGATTTCTAAATGGAACCATTTTTTTGTTTTGATCTAATTGGTCAAAAATGGTAATGCATGCCAAGCTATTTGAGATTAGTCATACTTTCACATTTCTAGCCATAGTTTCGTACAATTCATATTCAATCATGGTCATGTTGTCAAAAATCCAAATACTAGATACATAAACAATCTTCAGGTTCTTACCTTTACAATGAGCCTTAAGTTGATCCCTCCAGCCACATTCAATGAGTCGAGTCCTCAGCAGTTCTTTTAACCTAAGTATAAGAAGTATCAAATGTTTTAATTTTGAAAATTATCAGTTTTGCAATTAGAACAACATTAGCCAAAAGGTAAAAAGGTTAAACTTGCTTCAAAATGACCAATTTTTTTCAAAATCATCTACAAATTCTCAGAAGTTCAAATCTGACTTAGATTGAACTCATAGTATTGTGATCAACTATGTGGTGCCATTTTGTCATGTTAATGCTTTGTTGCAACATTTATATTAAATATTTCATATTTGAAATGTATTTGTTAACTTATTGAAAGTTTTTATAATTTGTAACAGATGCTGGATGCCACCCACCAGATGCCAATCACCAACCAGCGTCACAAAAAACTGAAACCATAACAATATACATGTATCACCACTTTTCGTGGTGACATAAAAACTTTACCTTTCTCTTTCTCCTGTTTCCACCAGTTTTTGATTAATCGTGGCCCTCATTTGGGCGTCCCTCACTCTCCTGTCACTAAAACATAGAAATATCATATAAGAAATGCACAAATCTGTGTGTCTATTAAGAGGGGAAGGGGTGTTTTCTAGGGTTTCATTCTATCAAAAAGAGCAAATGATAATCGTACCCAAGTGTCACAAACAGCAGTAGTACATAGGCTCCGAGCAGGACAAGGTAAGATAAACACTTGGCTTATGAAGCAATCTGCCTGCCTGATTATGAGATTATGGTATAATTGAGATGACAGATGCAAGCCACAAAGAGGGGCGTATGGGGTTTACCCTCCGGAATTTTTTTAAATTTACATTATAGTCTATATGAAGCATTCTAAGCACAGATCTAAACTATAATTTGGTAGTGTTTTTTCAACAAATTTTACAAAATTGCTTTTTTCTTTTTTGTGGGGGTGGGAGGGGGCGTCAGCTTCTTACGCTGCGTGCAGAGTCTAGTTATAAACTACTCTCTGTCGAATCACCCATGACTATGAGCCTTTGTGATGTTTTACAGGTAGACCAAACCCATACTCTTTTCAGATTTCCCTAATAGCTTTTGAAACTGATACGAAATTTGTAATATTTGATTTTGACTCAATGAATTTGACTGTGAAGTTTGAGAATATGGCTTCAAATGTTGACATTATTTTGGCAGATATCCCTCCCTACTTGTTCAAACTATTTAAGCTGTTTAATCCTCATATAATAATATTCAGTATGTCTAGTTTCTGGTTATTAATTTTGCATACCCGAACAGAAAATAAAGAAATTGTTGACAACTTACTCAGACATTCTTTGTAAATTTTGAAGTACACATTCCAAATATTTGTACAATGTGTAATAAAAGTAAAATCCATAATAACTCAAAATTACATAACAATATTGTTAATACATTACAATTAATTATTGTCTTTATTTATATTGTATAGATTTCATGCGCCAGCGTTCGGTGTTTGTTCTGTTATATTTCCAATAAATTGGAATGTGTTATAATCAAAATGGCCCAAAATTATCACAAAATCTTGGCGGACATTGCCAAGGCTGTCACCTTGAGGCAGGTGCGTGAAAAGATGAAACCTAATGTTAAACCGACGAGTCTATTGATTGGTCGTGTAGTAGAAAATCTTAAAAAGCCAAACATCACCAAAGTCCGAGTAATGAATTGGGAACTAGACGCATACATCATGAAGGTAATGTATTATCGCCCACTCAAATGATATTTTTTGTATATTTATTCGATATTAAACTTTATCTTACTGAACACAACTGTTTCAAAAGCCAGCTGAGGAACTGTATAGGTACAACATGCAAGGTAGAGAGTTCCTTTTTGATTACAGTACAGTCTCCTCTTGAGCCGGTTTCATACTTTGTAGAGTTTCTAAATAGGGCTGACCAGGGTCTTACACAACATGAGGATGACAAGTTGTGCTTAGTGCTGTATGTGATGAGAAAAAGCTATAGTTTGAGAATGGCTGATATTTTAGCAGCCCTGTCAATGCTGGGAAAATAGAAATCATGCATGAATTAAGCGTGTATGATAAAATGTCACGCAAATCACGCATGATGTTGATATTTTTAAAAACTTTTTTATAAAATGCCAATTCGTTAAAAAAAGCGAACGCCGTAAAAAAGCGAACGAGTTCCGTTCGAAAGTTTTTGCACCTTACAACGGTCATGACAGGCCTTGCAATATAATACAGCATTGTCACGGTTATACCAGGCTTTCACGATAACACTACCATGGTCATAGCAGGATCCTTGCAAAACTTAAAAACACTTAATAACATGGTGACAGTTGTGCCAGTCATAAGTCTTGCAATAGATAGCATGTGAGTGATTGACGCCTGAGACGAACATAGACAAACATAACATTTTATGATGGTCTCACTTGATGCCAACATTGAAAATGTCATTATTTTCTGACATTATAACTGGCTGATCCAAAAGATTTGAACTAATATCCTGATCTCAGGCCCTCCAACTGTCATTTCAACTGTACTTTGGTCATTTTCACCAAATATTTCCCCCATTTATCTGGAATGTACTAAAAACCCTTCGACCCTTCGACCCTGCAACCTACGACTTACAGCGTGTCAAGAATTTTTGAAATATATTTTTATAAAATCCCTTCGACCTTCTATTTCTCAGTCCATATGAAGTTGCTGGAAATATTACTTTGTGTATAGAACTTAAGAATCTGTCCCAAGAGAGTTAAAGATATTTAAGCTGGACTTTGCCCCGAAACGCAATCTTGGGTTGTTTCGGGGATGAACATTATCATTTTGAATGATGAACAAAAACGTGACGTCACTTCCGAATCATAGCATTCAAAATAAGTAGCGTTTAATTACTTACACCATTCATAATATCACGGTGGTCTAGCGGTAGAATGCTCGCCTGGCGCGCGGGAGGCCCGGGTTTAAATCCCGTATTCGCCTTTTTATTTTTTTTAACTAAATGATTGTTCTTTGACATTACGCAGATAATTTTTTTTTATTTACATAAACTTTATATTAGAGCTTGAAAATGTAAAAACAATATATGTCAACATAAGCACATTCGAATGTGAACGTTTCTTACCTCCTCAGTAAAAATATTTGTGCTTTTCCCATCACATTGTAACAGTGGCGCATCGTGCATATTTTCAGGAGGTCAAATTTTTTATATAGTTTAAAGAGAACCGTCTTTTGATTTTATCAACTTTGATTCAATTTGTATAGTTAAGAATCTAATGCCAACTAAATAAGTAGATTCTTTGTTTTGCATCCTACAAAATCCAAAGCATGCAAGGGTACAAGGAAAATAAACACAAACTCAAGAAAAAGCTTGCAAGCTAGGTCATATCAGGTTCGTATAATCAGCTTTTGCCAATTTAAGTTTTTCAAAAGGATCAAGGGGTGAACATTTGACAATTTTCAAGTGGCCCAGAAATCTTGAAAATGCTCAGAATCGTGAAAAATTGTACTGATTTTGAGAGAATATTTGGCCAATGGAGTGGTCCACTTGAACCCACGAATGTCCCCCCCCCCTGAATATATACATTTTAAGGGCATAAAGGTTATTACAAACACATCTATACAACTATATTTATTAGACATAGATATGAAACATTTCAGAACTAGATAACAGCAACGCAAGGTGGAGCAAATCCCATCGAACTTTTGATCTCAAAATCGTTCAACTACTTTTCAAGTTTTAGTAAAAAAGTAAAATAAGACTTTAAAATAGAGGCCACTTTTCAAAATGGCCACCTGGCCAATGTGCCATGCTTATGAGTATCAACATATCAAATGTGAAAAAATAGGTCCACTACTTTGCGAGTTAATATGCAAAATAACACACACTAAGTTAGAAGCCATTTTTCAAAACGGCTGCCTACTTGCCAAAGTGTCATAAGATAGTGTCCCATGCTTATGAGTTTTCACAAATTATATATGCAAAAATCGCTCCATAGCCTATTACTCTTCCCAGTTACAGCAACTTAGAATTTTGACACAATTTTGACAGGTGTGAATATTTTCGAAACAAATGCGTGATATATACACATATTTTGTACCAAATGCGTGACATAAAGAGCACTCGCATGCAAAGACCGAACGGAATGCGTTCGCTTTTTTCGCCGTTCGGTATTTTACCGTGTCAAAAATTCTTTTTTAAAAATTTCAACAAAATGCGTGGTTTGCGTGATATTTGATCATACACGCTAAATTGATGCGTGATTTCTATTTTTCCAGCAAATGCGTGACAATCACGCCTAATGCATGAGGGTTGACAGGGCAGTATACGTAATCATTTAGTAAATTGGACTGGGAAATCAGAGGTCGAAGGGTTTTTCAATAAAATATATTCCAAAAATTCTTGACACCCAGTAAGTCGTAGGGTCGAAGGGTCGTAGGTCGAAGGGTTTTAAGTACATTCCCATTTATCTTACATCTGATAACCTAGCTGCCATCTTTAGATCACAATTTCACGCTATAAAGAGATAAAGTTAAACAATTTAGATGTTTTTAAATATGGCAGACCATTAGTAATTGTAATTAGGGGTCAGACAATTGTCCCACCAAACTATCATACATAAATGTAATCATCTGGATGTCTATCTTATCATTTCAGTATTTCACGGAGAAGGAAGACTTTTGGGTATTTGACAAAAATGAAGAATGTTCTCAAGGCGACATCGTTCTGATTGAGGAACTCAAGAAGCAAGTTCAACCCAGAGTGCGATATGAACTGAAAGAAATTGTCTTTAAAGTTGGACGGGCAATTGACCCAGTAACTGGGAGACCATGTAGAGGCACTGAATTTTTAGATGATTATCACGACAGTTCAATTATTGAAAAATATGAGGAAGCTAAAAGTACAGGGATGATAGACTCAATGGATGATGAAACATTAAAATCAGTTACTGGTAGTAGTAAACAATAGACAACTAATTAGGATGTTCATTGTTCATCTATTGAGGGATATCAATCTGTGATGAGCGGGAGCATGACAGTCTAAACTCATTGGGATTACTTATTTGAGAAGATGATTCAGAACTTGATGACTGGCAAGAGGTTGGTGTTTAATAACAGACAGTTGGAGGGTGTAACAAACAATTAATGTTCTAGTGTATCTCTTAGGGATAATCATGCCTCATCTAATTGCAGCAGAATTAGCAGAATAGCAATACTTACCAACCACATCAAGGAATATTGAAGTGTTACACATATACCAAAGATACTGTAATAATTTGAAATTTCAGTTGATCAAAGTAAATTACTGAATTGTTTAATAAAGTGGATACATATAACATAGCAGAACTCCCCCCTGTCACAAGAATTATTACATCTGTAAATTATATTGGTGTAAATAAAATACTAGAGTATAGTAAATATAAAACAAATATAGGTTTTCCAATTATGACTTTAGTTGTGTACATGTTATTGCCACATAACCCTTAAATGCCCCATATAAAGTTTAAAGTTTTGTAAAAAAGTGGTTTTTGAAGGACTTTTTGTTCTAAAAAATCTTGATTTTTTAGAGGTCACATTTATCTTTTAATAAGCGCTATAATTCTCACCAAAGTATTTCAAAATTGTAGTTAATTTTTGAAGTTAAGCATATTAAAAAATATTGACATTGAAAAAAAATTCAATTTAAAAAAAAAGTTGGATGCAAAATATTTTTAATATGCTAAAACACAAAGTGGTACATTAGATGTGAAATTTTTATTATTGAAATAGTGTGTCCTTTGATCAATCTTAGCATTGGTGTTAAAAGATAATGTTTTTGCATTGTAAAGCTGTATAGTGGAATATTTGAGGATTAAAAAAATTCAACATTTATTTGGAAAACTGGGAAATTTGAATATTAAGAAATGAAAAGCTTTTCAAAGATCTCAAAAAATTACTCTTGAAGTCACAACAAATAGTAAATGAATGAATGAAATAGAAAATGAATAAAAACATATTTTTAAACTTTATGTGGGGACTTTAAAGGACTTTCTAGATAAGCTGGAGGATTCCAGATGATGTCCATGGGCCTTTTACTTTGAATGAATTATAATATTGTCAGTGAAATGAACTAAACTCATTACACCAAGAATAGACTTCATACAACTACAAAGACTGAGCATTCAGTGAGAGGTACTTTCAAAAATAAGTTCCATATTCCTCCCGGGATGGTCCTCTAGGATGAAAAATATAAAACCACCAAATATATCAAATAGAAATAATCTTCTGTCCTATTTGTGTATTTCTTGATAAAACATTAAGTTGATCTTGTTAAAGCTGAAGTAAAGTGAGCAACATAGAACTCCAGATGACACTGGAATATAACACCTAAGACAGGTATTTATTGTTAAGGTGTCCAGGAATGACAAAATAAAACTTTAGTTCGAAATGAGGGAACTACATGTAGTTAAACTAAGGCAGGGCCAGCCTGGAATAATGCAATCTTAAGGTCGGTGATCAAATCACTTCTGAAACATGTGGACCACACTGACACATAACGCTCTCTATAAGAGCTCTCCTATCAGGAGGTAAAAAGATTTTTAAAAACTAAAATAGTTGGATGCCTGCTAAAATGGCAAGAATTTGCATAACAGAGGATCATAATGAGGTAGATTTCATTTTTTATATCAAACTGGATTCTAAAGCCAGTGTGTGAAGCTGTGGTTTATGCGTAATTTACATTTTATTGAGCCAAATAAAGTATTGAAATCTTGAAAGTATTTCTTGTGGGTGATAATAGATATACAGTAATTCAGATCGCAGTAACATCTGTATAAATAACTGACATGTAAACTTACAAGGAAGTACTTTAGCAGCTACTAGCCTGTCTATTTTTAAGAGAAAGATATACTTAGATACTACTCTTCTGTACATTATGATGTAGATTTCTAGTTTTATTAGAGGACATATGTGCAACGTTGATAAACTCCACTTTCTTCATTGATCATCGACTTCACTTTTCGAAATTCTAGGTCCTGCCTCACATCTATAGATCTATTGGATCAAAGAAACTCCCCATCGATGACATCACAATGGTGCATTTCGATTCACATCCTGATTTGTTAATTCCCCAACACTTGGCTGCTGATAGTGTATTCGACAAAGAAATGTTATTTGAGTAAGTATAACCTCGTCAAAAGTTTACAGATGAACGCTTCATTAGCTTGTATCACTTTAAACAATGATTTAATGAGTGTTCAACTTTAGGCCATTCCTTATTGAAAACTGAGTGTTTTTAGTTCATAAAAGTTCATAATTTGGATGGATTCCATAAATTATTCCCAGTAATGACATTTTAATGTATACAGTTTGCCACATAACAAACGACCGACAAACCCAAAAATTAATAAATTGAAGAATTGAGAATCAATAAGTTGATGGATCTGCATGTATTTATTTTCATGTGTTCCACAGTCCCGGGGGGTTCACTGTGTACAAAATTTGTCAGGGGTCCTAGGGCCTAGGCTGAACCCTCAGATATCAATATATTCCCATACCAAAATGTCAAATTTGAATGTGTTCCCATACCAACCAATATTTTGCCCAAAAGCCATCCCAAATGCCCAAATATGAAACCAAGGCCATACCAAATGTCGAAATATAGGACCAATGCCATGACTGGTCCAAAGTAGAATATTTCCTGGGAAAAAAGCTATTTATTTAAACTGAAGAAGGTCCCAAGAAGAAGGCGATCTTTGAGGAAAACAAACCAAAACAACCTCATATTAGAATATGTGTAACTACTAGACCAATTCCATACCATAATTGTGAGATAACATATTTTCCATGACCATTCTCATACCAGAAAGTTGAAAAATCTGACCATTTCCATCCATCAAAAGTTTAACGAGGGGGCATTCTCATACCACATCCTAAAACTTGGGTCCATTGCCATACCAAATGTCCAAAAAGGTACCCCATGTGCGCCGAGGATCCCCATCAAGGTTTATATACAGTGAACCCCCCGGGTCCACAGTACAATACAATTAGAGTTGACATTTTCAGGGCACTGAGTATTGAGAATTGGATTATACCCGCAGTGTATGCTGGTCACATACATCATGTTATTTGGGTTAAACCACCTTGGGCAACGCAAATGCAAGATGCAACATACCACTTCCAGGTTGGCAAACATAGAGAAACTGGCGAGATCAGGTAATTCAAACAAAGTACATGTGAAGTGTAAATATATATATAGACTGTACATTGTGTGATTTTGCTATTTTTTGTATACAGATATAAGGGTTGATCCAAAAGTTGTACTCTGAATATTGTTCACATTTCACCTCAACCACCACCCACCAAAAGTATATATATAGACATTTGAAACCAGACATCCGAGTTGATGGTGGAGTTTATTGATTATTTTTACACAGAATAAAACTATTATATAGAGTTTGACCGAGGTCAATTAGGAAGAATTTTGTTTAGAGGAAACAGTGCAGAGCTTTTGGCTCGACCCTTGTATGTCACATCATTTGTTGTATGTGATTAGATGAACTTGGAGGATTTTAATTTAAACTGAAGCATTTTTTATTTTTGTGAACATCTATATAACCAATCAAGTCACTTGCTTCAATCATTTTAGGAGACATTAAATTGTTGTATTACCCTTCTGTGTTTCAGGGTGTCTTGCACAGAGAGTTACTTCTTGAGTGAAGGCCTCTACTCCCACATTGATGAGATGATAAACATACAGCAATTAACATTGACAGTCCACACACTAAGGCCCTCTGGGAAATATCCTCCTTTATATCAAAGTGATGATCTTAGGGAAAAACAAGCAGACATGAATAAGGGAGATGTTAGAGATGATGATTGCTCAAAATTAATAAAAGACAGCCTGTCCAAAGATATAGAACACAAAACAAATCAATCAACATTAAAACAAGACATTTTGCTTGAGGATGGTACTAGCAAAAACTGTCTTGACGAAGCATCATCAAATAGTGCAATTAAGAAGTCTCAATATCAGTGGAATGATGAGGGACCTACATGTAAAAGGACCAAATTAAACTCCAATGACGAAGAATCTTCAAGTAGTGCAGTATGTATTAAGAAAGAGAAATCATGTGCACAGTTGGACACAAATGAAGAAACCCTAAATAGTAAAACTGATGCACAAACTGACTTTGAAAACATTCATGATATATTAAGTAACACAAATAAATCTTTTATCTTGGACATTGACCTCGATTTCTTCTCAACAATGAATCCATTCAAGATGGAGTTCACTGAAGGGCAGTATGACTTGCTGAAAAAACTCTACTTCTTTGAGAGACCACTAACAGAATCTGGAAAGGTATGCTCATGTATAAACCTGTTTTTCTCAATTTCTTAAAGCATTGCAAATTGGCATTTCATGCGATACAAACATAAACTCAATTTAATAAAGCATTCAGCATCTTTTGCACATTGAGAATTTCAAAGTACTATCATATTGTCATCATCCTGAGCTGATGGCTGTCTGGGCAGACAGGCACCATTTTAATCTCGTTAATTGGATGCTGAATATATCTTGACTTTTCAGGATCTGGGAGATTGTGTTACAAAGAGACAGCATCAAATTGCAGAATTGGAGGTGTCTTTTCAGACCCTCAGTGAAACACAGGGGGATCTCTCTTGTTGCCATAACAACAGGTAACACACCTTAAAATAATCATATTTTTAATTGAATTTGGGAAAGAAGATATTCTGAATTTTATCGTAGGATGCTGTATGTGATATTGTTGTCATCTTGGCAGGCAAGGTTGTACCCTCACACTTCTTGTCTGCATCTTTTCTTTACTGCTTGTCGAGGTGATTTGAAATTTTCAATTATCTAATATTTAGGCGTAATTGTATAGAGTCAATATTCAAAGCTTTTGTTTCTGTATTCACCTCAGTGCAATACATGCAGGCTTATTGTGCATTGCTTGTTTTTCTTTTTTGCCCCTAGTGTTGTTAGATTACAATGCTCTAACTTGAAATTCCAATGTAATTTCAGCCAAGCATTCTACAAGCTTGTGACTAGTATTAAGGATACCAGGCCTGACATAGACTGGAACATGGTCCACTCTGCTGGCTGTACATGTGATGACACAGATCTTCCTCATCATGTCAGCTCAGAAGATGAAATTGTTAATTTTCATGAAATAGTGAAAGACTTCTTGAAGATTATGGAACTTCCAAAGCTTATTACAATCGCAAGGTTAGTTTATTTAATACAGTCATTAGATCAGATACTTTAAAAATGCACATGTAGATGCACATTACACCTACATGCCAAAAGGCATGTCCATATATCCATGAAAAATTTATCCTTTTGTCAAATGGTGTCCATATGTATCAAAATATGTCCTTATGTATCAAAATGTGTCCATGTGTATCAAAATATGTCCTTATGTATCAAAATGTGTCCATATGTATCAAAAAATTACATTCATGTGTTATAACAACAAGGTACAACTATCCAAGAGCCAAATATTTAAAGTATTCCTAAAAGGTTTTCCATATTTTCTGCAATTTACCTATTAACAACTTATTCCTTGGAATAGCAAACATCAACTTATATCCATTGTTGTCTATTTCCAGGTCGAGTGTAGATGACTATTGCCCCAAAGACCAGGTGGACTTTATACAAGAACAGACTCTAAGGCTAATGCAAGATCTATATGGACAGTGTGATATTGTAAAAGACTATGAGTGATAAAAATATAGAACCACATTACCTTAATAGGCACTAGTGTAACTGAAGCACATTATTTCTGTTGGAAAGTTATAATTTGTGGTAATCAAAAGTATTCAGAATGTTATCATGCTCAGATAGAAGGTGTTCTAGATTTCTAGAACTACTTCTCAATGAAATAAATAATTAAAAAATCAAAATGAAGTTTATATTATCTGTATATATTCTCTTTTTCACGATAGCCTTTATTGATTTGATTTACACCATTTGTTTACAATAAGCAATAAAGTTGGATAAAAGTTGACAAGGGTAAAAATAAATGGCATATAATATCTGTGCATCTCCCATCCATGGTTAGATCTTCCAATTATAAGCAAATCCTATTCATATTCATCAATTATTCTGTTCATATTTATCAAATATTTGAGTTGGATGTATTTTGTCAAGTTAAAGATGCTTTCCAAAATGTTAAGTTTTCTATTTTATGCTAGCGAGTCTTCCCAATATTTAATATTGTTCTTATGCAATCACCAAACATTTGCATGAAAATGATTTTCTCAAGCTAAAGCAATTTTAGGAGTGACTGATACTGAAAGTAAGTTTAAAACATTTCCAAACCCTCAGGTATGATCTTGGTGAAATTATAAGAAATCAAGACAATAGTTTAATTGATTCATGCTGCCTCATGTATAATTTTATTGTACTATACACATACAGTGTTCAACATGTTTCATGAGAGTGACATATTATGTGCTAGAGTGACATTTCCATTTACCTCACTTTACAGGTAATCACTTTGCTGTATCATGTTAGACAAATGATGATTTTACTTACAAAGAGTCAAACTGATTTTAAATACAATATAACTTGAACCTGTTAAAACAATATTAAATATTATTTTCTAAAATCAAATATCAATGTTATTTCTTCCGACTTGGTTGCATGTCATCAAGAAGTTTCAACATTCCTTTATCTTTAATTTGTCCATCTGATTTTGTTTTAAACCTATCTTTTTTCAAATTTTTCCCCTTTGATTTTTTATTTCCAAAATCTTTCTTTGAGAATCTGTCCTGTTTTGAGGATTTAGAATCTGAATCTGCGTTTTTGGGTGGTGATGAGTCATCCGTGCCATTTACACTAAAAAAATCGTCCATTTGAATATTTTCCTCATGAGAGATGTCATTTTGACGTTTCTTATTCTGAGGCTTTTCATCATCGAAAATTCCATCTAAAATTTTTCGTTTTCTAATATTCCCTTTTTGGTTTTCTTTCCAGTCCTGTCTGCGATGAATAAAATTATGAATGCCACAGTTTCTGAATACAAACTTTCCAAAGTTATTGTTTCGCAATTTTTCAGATTCCTTAGCTAGGTTTTCAGCCATTATGAACTTATGTTTGAGTATAGCGCAGTTCCACAAGGTGTCAATTACTCTACTTCCTGTTCGGTCACACGCAATCACTGAATAGCAGCCCTGGAAGCAGAAAACGGGAATTTATTACATTCAGATTTATGACATGTACATTACAATGCTATGCTATTGGTACCCCGTAATTATTGTGACATTGTGTTTTCTGTGACACCCTACATAGGCAGAGCACAAATTCATCAACCACTGACAACAATACCTTAGCTTTAAATAGATCGTCATAGCTGGCCTGTCCTAATACTAGGGTGAATGGTGAATGCCTTGAATGACAAGCAACAGAACCTTTAATTAACCTACATACCTGTAGTTTGGTATAGAGCTTGTCATGACTGGTCTCTCCTATACTGGGGCTCTTAATGAAGGACTCTATGATATGACATGCTATTGGATTACATGCCATCGATGTCAGCTCCCTCTGGGTTAAGCTCAAGATGCTTGTTACAAGAGACTTTGGATTGCCAAACTTTAGCAATTGTTGTAGTAACATGGAACCATGGTAGTTGAACACTGTCAGTTCTTTCTCTACAGGAGTCGGCTAAAAGACAAACATTAAAAGGACTGAACTTTGAACTAATGGCTAGGAAGGGGAATTGAACCCAGAACTTCATGTAGGAATGCTGACACTAACCTGCCTTTTCCAAGTACCAAGAGTCTCATAATAGAAATGAACTATGAAAATGAAAACATTGACTAGGTCACATAATTCTATCTGAATATTGTTTGATTTTTTCTCTGAACAAATTCTAATAAAAATGTACAAATACAATATGACTTGCTTGACTACATGTATATTCTATTGATGAAACTGAATAAAAGTTCAGAGCGAAGTATGTATCAAAAATATATTTCCTGAATGAATATTGTCTCAAAATAAACAGATCATTCAATATGCTTTATGCTTTAAATATTCACCTCTGCAGCTTTGGTGTCTTTTTCATCACCTTCATCTGATTCTTCAGTTGGTTTAACTTCTAAACCAAAGTAGACCTCATATGCGGTCAGTGATGTAAGAAGTCTCACTACATGTTGCTGTCTTTCCTCAGGCTTGTGACAATGGAATGCCTTGGTGATATTCTGAAAATACAAACAATTCAAAATTTAAAGAATAACACATGATTTGATGAAATAGCTAATTGCAAATTTAAAAGTTCCTCTGGATTAAGGCATCTTTCTTTACTGAGAGGAAAGAGCGACTCTATTTTGCTCTCTGATAAAATATACGTGACAAGTCTTAAGTTTGTAGTTTACATCAGCTTTCAACACAACCAGACATCTTACCTTGTAAAATTTATCCTGTCTGGTGCCTAGTCTTACACAAGTTTCAGCAATTTTCACAATGACTCCCATGTGGTTCGCAGCTAGAATGTCTTCTATATGGTGACTTAACTCCTTGTACATTGCTTCAAACTGTAAGCCAAGAAAAGTCAAATATTTCATAAAAATATTGTGCGAGGTTTTGTTTGAAAAACTGGGCCATTGCAAATCCATGAATCTGATTGGCCAGCTTCAGTCACATGTGCTGGATAAGACAATTTCAGATGGAATGTCTCAATTTAAAGTCTTTATAGTCCCACGAGGGAGTCAATTAATGATAAATACTCGTGAAACACCTACCTGTTCTTTAGTGTGGGCCTTACTAAGGAGAGTCTGTACTACAAAGTTGCCTGTGTGGTGTAAAGCCAGCTGCAGCAGCTTCCCTTTGAAATGTTGTTGGTATGCTGAATCATAATGCTCACTGTCTAATACACTTAATACAAGCTCCACCATGTGTGATCCTATCTCATCTTCTGCCAATGTACCAAGACTAAAATTAAAGTAATATGGGTTGGATAAAAGAGGTGATATGATATTCTGCTTATTTCAATACAATATCATATATCAGTCCCAGAAATGTCAGTTTTAGGTTGCTATCCAAAATTTTTAATTTTACAAAAATGTCCAGGGTTCCAAAGTCCCGGCAGTTTGAATAGCAATGGCAACCAGTTTTCACTCTTAGCGATGGACTTCGAAAAACAGTTGACTTTTGGGCAATGGACTGAATATTATATTATATTATGATATTCAAGACAGCGCATCAGCTGGGGTTTGTTTATTTAGTGTATAACCAATAATTTGTCGTGAATCAAGGTGAGGATAGGTCCGAAGCTTGATGAAGCAAGATGGGGTTTTGATGGGTCCATGTTTGAATAGCCTTTATACCATATTCATACACACCTTGCTTCTTCAAGGAAAATCTGGTTGATGATTTTATGGCATCTCTTTGGTCCCTTTTTACTCAGTACCAACAGTAGAGTCTGTATTACTGGGCTTGCGGTCGCATTCTTTACATGCTCTAGAAAATAAATAGTTGAATAGAATTCTTCTTAAAAACCTTTAAATACCACAAATACATCTTTGTCTAGGCTAAATTTTATTTTCTAATAACAACATTAGTTTTCTTCATATCCCGATCACATGATTTCATTCTTCAATTTCCTAATCTATTCCTTGAATGATATTAAATGATGAATTAAACAGAACCTTATAAAAGCAGCCTACCTCTTATTTCACTAAGACTGACAATTCGTGCTGCAAGCTCTTTCAAGATAGGTTTAAATTCTTCTTCACTATTAGCAATGGACACCTGGGCTTTCTTGTCACTTGGACCATGTGGACCTGAAAATAAACAAAATCCTGAGGATTCAAAATAAATCTGAATTTTTGAGGATTGGTTTCAGGCTTTTGCCAAAAACTCTGACATTTGACAACGTTTCCGAAATACTTATATATTCAATAATAAATGGCTTTAAGTTCCAAAGTGAATATGGCAAAAATCTTGAGAAGTTTTTTCACCAAGGTTTATTCTGCATGTATTGTTCCAAATGTGAAGCAACTGCACGCAGCGCAACATGTGCTTGTTCTATTTCATAAAGGCATCTTTAAATATTATGCAACCTACAATATGCAAGCAAACACTTAGAATGCATTAGTACTGTTGATCTACATCAATAACTGGTAATTGACATTTAGCACTATTACTATTACAAATAAACAGTTTATAGATAAATGATCAACATATCACGTGGTACAAGTATATATGACTTAGTGAATTATCCAAGGAGGATTAGAAGCTGTTATTCAAACTCGATACTCCATTGCCCAGCGTTATTACTCATATTTGAAGACTAGAACTGCCAAGGAAACTTGAGTATTACCATAATATTTTTAATGTCCATCTTCCAACGAAATACTTGGTCCAAAGAGAATCTTATAGAAATAGTTTTACTAAATTGTTCCACGCCAGGCAACAGAATACCAAGTTTGAACAATGGCTGCCAATTCCTCCTTGTGAAGTATCTGAATTAAAATAAAAGTGGTTTCCTGGAATCCCATAACAGAAATGATCATTAAACTTCTAAAATTGCTGCCAGAAAACAAGTTACCAATTACCCAGGGATCAAATTTTACATAACAAGGGATGTATTATTCCATCTTTTGATATTTAGACAAGGTCTGTCCCATTTTGACGCAGACCAAGTGTTAAGATAAAATCAGTTGAGACAAATCATCACTTTGCATATAGGAATATAATACCAAGCAAAAGATATTGCAAGAACACACAAAAACACAAAATCGTACCTTCGACGTTCCGTCATTTTGTTACCGAAACGAGTCGTTTTGGTAACCAGCGTAATTGAGCAGATCACCTGTTTGAAGGCTTGTATTTATTTACTGATTTAAAATAAGGCACATGGTGAACAATATATGAACAATACATGAGGTTAAAGAGGCTCTATGCCATAGGATAGCACAATCAAGATCCCTTTTTGCATATTGAGTTTCACCACATATATACCCATCTACTTACCAAATGAGAAGTCCCAAATCCCCCTCTTTCAGTGTTTATTTTGCAATTGTGCTGGCCGATCTAATTATTTTCGAAGAAATTAATTCAATCTGAAGTTTGAATAAACCGGGAAAGTCCTCCTGTTATCTGATTGGTCGTTGAATTTGTTTATCATAAACCTGATTGGCTGCCTGGTTCAAGGCGCTTTTGTGACTCAATGGGGATTCCCCTCGCTAGCCGAGGAATCGATTGTGTTAAATTCTGGAGTTTGGTTGTTCTGTTGATTATTTCCGATATTTCGGCAGTAATATAACCAATAGTTATTCTCAAGATATATCCATGGTATGTGAGATATTATATGAGCAATAAAAATAGGACATCATTGATTGTCTGGGGGAGAAACCTATGGCATAATGCATCTTTAAGGTTTTAAAAGTTCCTGAAAATTTCATCATTTTTGCTTTATTTTGATGGTTATTTTCAAAAATTTGAATGCACTTTGATGCATATTTTTGGAAAATAGAATCACCACAGGTGGTACACAAAGTAATTATCTCAAAAGCAAGAAAGGGTATTTTTCAAATATCTTTTATAGCTATCAATCGGTGTTCCTTAATCCCCACTCATTCAGTTGCCTGGCCTTAAATGTTATATTACTAGACTATGTAAGCAGAATTTCTGATGATGTAGTTAAGGAACATTTCAAAATATTTTTAATTTTCATTTATTGCATCAAAATGAGAAATACAAATTACATTAAATGAATAATCATATCTTATCAAGAATCTATAATAATCATTCTACACTGGAAGTTATCATTGGGTAGTATATCAATCCCTGTTAATGTTTGAATTTTAATTTTGTTCCTTATAATAATTACAAGATGAAACATTAAATTTTCAAACAGGCTTTGATAAGTGATGGAAAAGAAAATTTCCATTTGCCAAACTCATAGAGGGGAGTGTACTTATACACGTCTATGTAAATCCAAACTTATGGAGGGGAGTGTACTTATACACATCTATGTAAATGACAAACTTATAGAGTGTAGTGTAGTTACACATGTCTATGTAAATGACAGGAATAAACTACAATAGACAGTAGACAATAAAATATAACAATACTCAGTCTTAATATGGTTGCTAGAACTGATTATAATAATCACTCCATCACTGAAATATATTTGGATACATTGACAATTCAAAATTAAATCAAACTCTTAATTTGCATATAATAGTACATGTATATGAAAAAATGTATAATATGGTCAAATTATATTTCTAATATTGTCTAGAATTCAAATTCTGCATCCTATATTTTTTAAACAAGGCATTAACATGACAAAATGTCACCACCTAAAACAATTTGGTCAATTTAAAGCAAGTTGGAAAATACCTTTTGACCTTAAGAAGGTTTGATTTGAACTTCTTAAAACATGTAGATGATTTTGAAAAAAAATTCGTCAATTTGAAGCAAGTTGAAAAAATACCTCTTTGACTTTTTTTGACATTGAGAAGGTCATTGAAGGTCAAATGTCAAATCTAAAGTCAGATTTGAACTTCTGAGAACATGTAGATGATTTTGAAAAAAAAATTAAGTAAATATGAAGCAAGTTGAAAAAAGACCTTTTTGACCTTGAAAAGGTCATTGAAGGTCAAATGTCAAATCTAAAGTCAGATTTGAACTTCTGAGAACATGTAGATGATTTTGAAAAAAAAATTTAGTCAATTTGAAGCAAGTTGAAAACAGACCTTTTTGACCTTTTTTGACCTTGAGAAGGTCATTGAAGGTCAAATGTCAAATCTAAAGTCAGATTTGAAGGTCAAATGTCAAATCTAAAGTCAAATCTAAAGTCAGATTTGAATTTCTGAGAACATGTAGATGATTTTGAAAAAAAATTTAGTCAATGTGAAATTTGAAGCAAGATGAAAAAAGACCTTTCTGACCTTTTGACAATGAGAAGGTCATTGAAGGTCAAATGTCAAATCTAAAGTCAGATTTGAATTTCTGAGAACATGTAGATGATTTTGAAAAAAAAATTTAGTCAATTAGAAGCAAGTTGAAAAAAGACCTTTTTGACCTTGAGAAGGTCATTGAAGGTCAAATGTCAAATCTAAAGTCAGATTTGAACTTCTGAGAACATGTAGATGATTTAGAAAAAAATTGAAGTCAGTCTAAACAGTATTTGTTAAGTTATAGGAAGTTGTAAGAAATTGTTACAGACGCCGGACGCCAACCACCAACCACCGGACGCCAACCGCCGTCGCAAAAAAAAACGGAGACCATAACAATATGTCACCACTTTTGGTGGTGACATAATTAAAAACTGTACATGGCCAGTAAAATCTCTCCCGGGCTTAGGGTGGTGTTTTGTTGCTTTCCTTTGTTTTGAGTCAATGGCATCGTTTCCTGTCAAAAATCTTGAAAGATGGCAGCATACTCAAATGGAGATATACAATCGAAAATTTTACCTAGCCCCGGGACCTATACCTTGGATTTTACCACTTAAATACAATTTTTAGTAAGGATTATCACATAATAACAATGTGTCAAAATTTGTGTAAAAATACTGAATTGAACTGGAGATATTGTCATTTCATTGGTGTACATTGTACAAATATATAGTATAAATAATATTGTATAAATAGAAATAATGGTGCCAAAAAGAGCCAATCGTCCTGAAAGGTATTACATAATAGGGCTCCATATGGACCCTTTTGTCGTGAAAGGGTTTAAATTAAGGTTGTAATAGAGTTGCAAAGAAACTTGTCTTTGACATCTCAGTGATCATAAATCCTTGTATCATTTATGAAGGCATAGGCGTAGCCAGGGGGGGCACCCCCTCATAAGAAAATAAAAGAAAATAGAACCATGAGATAGAAGAAGAAAAGGGCTTAAAATGCTTTTTATTTGAAGCTTCTACCTCAATTTTGAAGTAAGTTGCATAAATGTTTGTAAAATTAAAATAAATCTTATTTTTTGGCTTGTTTATGCCACAATCGCACCCCTTGACTGAAAACTGAGATTTGTAAATTTGTAACCAGAGAGATATCACAGACCAATTACAAGGTCACTGCTCTGTTCTAAATGCAATCAATCAAGCCTTGAAGCAATCCCCCAAGATCATAGACGATCTCTCCATTACCATGCTGTTTTTAATGTTTTAGCCATTGGTTTCACTGATGTTGCTTTAATCTTGCGTAAAATCTTCACAAACAATCCTCCAAGTAATTCGAATATTTCTACCACACCTATCATACTCCCTCCTAGGCACAGTCCTAGTGTTCCCCCAAGGTCACTAAACAAATCAGACCCTGTGTAGTCAGGGGTCATTGTTGTAGTTGACACCAAAGTGGATGCAAACTTAACATTCACCCTTAGAAAGTTCTTTGATACCAATTCCTCTTCTAAAATCGTCTCCAGGGCTTTGTTACAATCAGCTTTTGTTCCATTTTCATTCATCACTGCCCCCATTAGGAGGGAGTAATATTTGGGCAGGTCAGAACTGTCCTCTGGACATGCAGTGCCTGCTAGCCTCTCTAGGAATGAGTACTGGTAGGAGCTTGGTAGAAACACCCCCTGTGATATAGTCGGCTTGTATGTGATCTGGTCACAAGGTGGAGGGCAATTACAATCTGCCTTTGTGGTTGCATTGAACATTTTCTGATTCTGCACTAAGCATATCCATTCAAAAATACCATCATAGACAGAGGGTAGCATCGTAACATTTGCAAAATAACCACACATATCTTCAGGAGGAGATTCCTTTGGAGTTGACGCATATGATACTGACCCACACCCACATCTCTCTATCAAGAAGTCCTGAACACAGTTAGAGAAGCATGTCTCTTGGCTGTAAGTGTCATTATGGTGATTTTCAATCTCAGTTGATAGCACACATGCTTGATTAGGATAAGGATCATTTAGCCATTTTACATTCTCAACATTTAATCCGATATCTGTTGTCATGCCAACAGCTGCAGTGATTCCACCAGTAGCAACATCAATAGGAGTACCAGGGGGGTTGATGAATACTTTCACCCCAGCGCTATAATCAGAAGGTCTATCAGCTGCAGTATATGCAATAGTTTTGTACTTGTCAACACCCTTTATAGCATCTGAATGCACTTCATCTTCAGTGAATAAAACAACGGAGAGTCCCATTAGTTCACCAGCTACATCTACAGTTTCATTAGCTACAAAGCTAAAACAATTTTGGTATGCGACGGACTCGAGTACCTCAAAGTTTTCATATGTACATCCAGCATTTTTAAATCGACACGACACAATGAAATCTTTTGCCTGGTGCCCCATTTGCTGCAGCTCAGCATAAGGTATATTTCGATAGGTGAACTGACGATTTGACGAGATGATACTTGTTGAAAATACTGCATTCCTGCCTAGAGCAAAATTGTCTAAGGAGTTGAAAAATAAACTGGATGCTGTTGAACTGTTTCCTTGAAAATTTTCTTTATTGCTTCTCGAGTAGGCATTCAAAGGACAGATGGTGACAGTTGGAAACTGAAATTGTGTTGCTTCGATTGTTTGAACTTGTTTGACTGGCATCGATATGAATAATAATATTTGGTGTTTGCCAAACAGCACAAATGTGACAGTGAAGTTCAAAACAGCAAAACACCAAAATATTCGCAGTGGTATATTTTTGCTGGCACGAACATTTTTAATCCCGTGTAAAACACTATTATCAACCCATTGATAAAAATATTCCTTTATTGAAACTGTTTCATTTTTTGATTCAGGTTGAACCATCTCTCCAAATGTCTGTTTGTCTCTCGTGTCATCAATGACTTTTTCACTTTTCGTAAAGTAATCTATGGTTGGTTTCGTCATTTTGTACAGATATACGTTGGTCCTCACTCGAAATTTATAATAGTATTCCAATCAGCAGATTTACTTCAAATGAGGGTGACCATCGAATCTTACTGCTCATTTCTGCACTGTGTGTGGAATACTGAGTTAATGGTTTTCAGATTTCCATTTTATACTAGGTGTCCTTATAGCTCAAGAATCATCAATAATCTATTATGACAATTATGAAACTCGGTCACATGTTTAAATGCGTGATTCCTAAATAGGGTACAGTACCCTTAATCCTGGATAACAAAGTTAAGTATTTATAAAAACAATGTTGTATAAAACTAATTCTACTTAATGCATCTATAGAACAAACATAATTCAGGTTGTAATATTTGGCATAAATGTACAATAACTGATACACCAATATTGTTCCAAAAGCTCTATGATTTTTTGAAGGACAGTCTGAATTTCAGATTATGAAAGACCTATCAAAATTAATAAATATGTCGAATATCATTATGTAATAGACTATTATATAAGTCAGTAGAAATATAGGGAAACTGGTAATTAACTACAGGCACCTATAAAATGGAACTCATGTAATTTAGATACTTCATTAGTATATTGCATTAGTTATTTCTCTTAACTTAAATGCATTCTAAGTGTTGTTTCTTTGTAAGTACTTAATAGATAATAAGCATTGCATAATATTTAATGGTAATAATGCACATTGTAAAACTCTACGAGAAGCACATGTTGTGCCCCGTGTACAATTTCCCATTCAAGGTTCGGAATATTTCAACTTTAAATGTTTTAAATATTATTATTAAGGCTAATATATGTAGCCTGGAAATAAGGATAATAGCAAACTTACTGCGCCAAATAGAAAAGTGAATTTCCGAAATTATAAAGATAGTACATTATCCATATATCAACTCTAAAGGGATGGATAATTTCCCAATGGGGGCAAATGATAGAGTAAAAACGAAAAGTATTGATTTTTGTTAATATTCAAGTGAAAGAAAAATCAACATTTTGAAATTTAATCAAATGAGGGGAGGGGGAGTTCAAACCATAACAAAACTTCATTTTTCCATGACTGCAGTTGGTACTTGGACACCAAGCCAAGTATTCTATCATTTACTTACTGATTTCTGATCACTAAAATCCAAGCATGAAAGCTCTTAATAAGGTATAATTTTAAAGACATCAGATTAATTTGAAAAATGAACTCTAGATTAAAAAGTGGCAATTACAGGAATTTAGCAAAAAGTTAAATAAATACGGGGTAAATACGAACCTTTATTATTTTGATTCCTGGATATTTTGCTCCTGACAATGTGCTCATCAACTCTCACCCCACAAAGCACCTCGATGACAACTCTCACGATATGACTTGCATACGTATGTATGATAAACTCGGGAAGATTAGCCATGACTAGCTTAGAGAACGAAGTGAACAGATCTTTAATCGATCCCTCTGCATCAGTATTATTGTTTCCATCATCATTGTTATTTCCATCATTTGGCTCGGAGTCTTTAGTTTTTTCTTTGAAATACTGTGGAGAGTGTAGGATTAATGCTTGTACGACATGAGATGCAAATCGGTCCATACATACGGTATACCAGTCCGTAGAGAAGGCCTTCATGAGGACTTGCAGCTGGGTGGCATTGGAGACTGCGATTAGCTGCTCTATGATTCTACTGGCTGTTTGGTTTCGAGATACTGAGATACATTCTGTGGCTAATTGTTTGATCACATTGTTGAGAAACAGATCTGAAACAGAGATTTAATGTATTATCAGTTTTATTACATTTCTTTATTTTAGTTTGGTTCCAGCAACAAGAGATTTTTTTTTTTGTCATTTATAACTACATGTATATTGAATTGCGACTTTTGGTCTTATTACCTCACACCAAATCCCAAAACATACAAAAAGTGATCAAAATGTTATTTCAATTCATTCCGACTATTCTTACAAAAATTGTTAGAGCATTATTTAAACTAGAAAAGGGCAACCCCACGGAGTAGCAAATCCCAACGAACACTATATAAATCATGAATCTGTACAGTCACAATGTAATATTTACCATCTACTCTTCCCTTCAATAAATATTTGAGATCATTGTCGTGTCATTTTACCATACTTTCAAGATAACTCTAAGTAATGGTGAATTCCTGCTCTAGGCAGCCATTTTGATTTTTTCTGAGGCACAAATCAGAAAAACAATAATTGCGATCTACTCTGAAATTCCTTCAATTTGAGTACAATATAGCCACACTTTAAGATCAAAAAAAATTGCGAAATCCCACATTAGGCAGCCATTTTGAATTTTACGAGGCCCGAGTCAGAAAAACGATACAATATTGCAATCTACTCTAAATTGCCTTTAATTTGAGTATAATAAAGCTATTCTTCAAAAACATCTCAAAATTAATGCAAATTCCTGTTTTTCAAACCCCCCATTCATGGCACCTGGAGGTCAGGGTGAAAAACACAAAGTATATATGAAATAGATAGATCTTGTGAATATACTACCAAATAATAATATTTATCATTTTTGTTTAAAATGAAAAACATTAGAATTTTGCAAAACATTCCCACCATTTTTAAACTGGCGGCCATCTTGAATAATTTTTCAAACTATTCACCAATATACATCTTTCCACCAAATATGTAGAAAATCTGTCAATTAGTATTCGAGTTATCTTCTGGACGGACGGACTGACTGACGGACAGAAGGACGACTTCACTTTATCCTTACTGCACTTCGTTTGTTGGGATAATTAAATATTTGTCTAAAGGAAAACTTTTTATAAGTTTACAGTGTTCCACATGCCATGTACTTTGACTAGAGTCTCCACTAAGATTGCAACATTTTGAACCACACCCACTTTTTTTGCCAGACACCCCAGATTATGTTTTGGAACTTAGAGAGAAAAAGTATAGATCATGATTAATTGAGCATGTCCCAAATCATAACTGCATAATGGCCAGACAAAAAATTACCCCCACAAATGTTGGATTGATTTTTCAAATCATCCCCACAACTACAGTTTGGACCATAAATTAGTAGTGGATTTGCTTCAAATTGGAGATTTCCCATGTAAAAAATTAGGGAATTTCCAAGAGAACATGCATCAGTAGATGAGAGTTTACAAAATGTTGAATATACAATTTTAGGGGATTGTTTCTAGACAATATTGGAATGGGCTTTCAAAACACCATGGTTTGGAAATAGTGATAGAAAATCAACTACTCATTTATTTATGGTCCAAACTACACTTGTGTACATTGAAAACTTGGGGTTGTTGTAGTTGATATGAAGCTGAATTTTATCTACATAACCATTTATCTCATTTTGAACTAAATACACACAGATGACATAATTTTTTCTATAATATCCAATACAGAAATAACCTAAAGTGAGGAAACTCAATTGAAAAAAATACTTCAGTGTTTACACTAAATACAACATCATAAAATGTTTGAGATGTAACTACAGCTTTACAATTAACATAGTTCAATGCTTTCATAAACAATGAAAATATACCACAAAAGGATTGCAGTATTGTCCAGTCTTTGAAGATTCTTATAGAGTTTTTAAGTATTGAATGTTGTTCCTTGCATACTGGCTCCTGTCAAATCTCAGGAGAGTGCAACTCTTGAGATATAACTCTAAATAAAAAAATAAAAATGATATTTACCACAATGTTGCACTCGTCTACCATTTATCTAACATTGGAATACTGTAGAAGTGGAAACTTTAGCGCAACAAAACTTTAGCGAGATGGTCCCAAAAACTCTTTTGCCAAATTAAAATTTCCGGAGCAGCAATCAAGAAAATGGAAAATTACTTGGGCGAGGTTATAAGCTTATTATTAGGTTATCATGAAGCATTTATTCACCAACATGATTGGTTGCATTTTTGTAAACCCTGAGTTGTAAGCATGCATATCACAGTTATTAGCCCTATATCACAGTTATTAGCCCAATAATTAAACTTACCTTTCGAGGGATGGCGTGTCACCATCAAAGGTGAGTCGTTTATGTTTGTGTGTAATCCCCAATCAATGTGCTCAAACCTTACAGTAGGTGTTAATACCCGACAAACAATCAAATCAGTAACAAATTCGGCTAATTCACTATCAAACTTTATTCTATTTATTGCACCATTAAATTGTGTTTATGTTCTGTTCAGTATCTTATGTTTTGTTTAGGAATAAATACTAGTATATTCTTTAAAATAATTGTGTCATTCATGCAAGTGATAAGTAGATATCCAATCAAATAACAGATTTTGTGATCGAAAAATCGAAAAATTATTTCTGTAATATTTTCATCATTTAGGGCAACAAAACATGATTGCAAAACAAAATAGATATTAATTATGATTGTAAATTGATGAGGAAGCACTGTGTTTTGTATTATTTATATATTCGAAATGTAATTCAGCATCTGGATGTCGAACTGTATCGTCTTCACGGTATTATCGCCCACCGATATATTTTTTTCATATTTTTCTACGAATTTTTATTTTGGCGTCTCTCCTTCAACGCTAAATTTCGCCAAAGTTTCCACGTCGTTAAAGTTTCCACTTCTACATTACACCAATGTCAAAAACATGATAGGAATATAACAACTATTTGATTAAAAACAAAATAAAAATATATTTTGAAAGTTTCAGTTTCATCGCATGAAAATACAGCATAGTATTAGCTTCGGGTGAATATGAGCAGGACAAATATGTTTTTCTAGTGGAGGTATGGAAAACGTTTTCTAGGGGGATATGGATAGACTTCCATCCTTGAGTCTGAAATTTTTTGAAATTTGAAATGATTATATTCAGACTATAGTCCACATGTTAAAATTTTGGATTGAAAAATATTTATTTACATAGGAAGTGTCATTCAAATTGGCCAATGGAGTAAATCAATTTGCATAAATTTTGTTACTTCCCCAAGCTTTATTTCCGTTTGATAACATGCTATGTTACTTTTTAAAGCATTTAATTGTACCTTACTGCATAATGGCCTTTTGATTTCTTATTTTTTAGGTTTTACTGGCGCAATATAACAGGGAAATGGGCTGTAGCTTCATCAATGTCCTGTATAACTTTTTACAATTTAAAACCAATTGTATTACAGTTTTATATGTTGTATCTAAATAAGACGATAACATTGGTACTAAAAATGTAGCTGAATCGCCAATTGTATGGGTTTATCGGCAGAACGAAGAGGTTTTCGTTTTTGATAGCAATATTTGCGTGTAATATTTAACTTATTTCAACCGTCAAATTCCTCCATTCAGTTCCCGGCATAAGGGAAATCCTTGGGAAATTCCCCTTCCGACATTTTGAAAATTGCTGACATATTTCTGATGTAAAAACTAAAATCTCTTCGTTCCTTCGATTAACCCATACAATTGGCGATCTAACAACATAAAAAGAATTCTAAAATACTAAGGAATGTATCGAGGTAGGTCATTTAGGTGTGCAATGCGTAGTATTTTCTCCAACTTTGTAAAAACATTGACTGACCTATGATTCGCGTGTACGACCACAATCTAAAGTGGTCGTAGAATTCGATAAATGGGTGCCATTTTAAACATAGGAGACAGGTTACCTGAAAAGGAAGATAGATATCATTATCTCTTATCTAAACAAGGACTGTCACTGAGGCAAGTCTACCCTGGCTGAAATCAGCTCTGAAATAACAATTACTGCATGTCAAGCCGTCATTCAATGCTGATTTTGTAGAAAACAGATCTGTCCATCCTTCTACATGTGAGTTTTTCCCATAAAGATGCCTTATTAAGTAGAAATTCATCAAATTATACCCCTAGAATATCAAAGTTCAACTGTACATCAATCGCGTAAGGAAAAAAAACAAATCCATTCTTCACCTTCTGTTCACAAACCCTTCTTCTTCTTCTTGGAAAAGTTGTCCCTCATTAGACTAACAGCAAATGTGTATGTTTATGCAGCAATATATGTTAGTTTAGAAAATGATTAATTACAATCTTACCTGTACTTCACAGAAACATCCTAAGCATGAAAATATTTCACTAAAAATACATGCTTCCATTTTGTCACATGTTCATAATAATTTAAATATTGACCATGTGATGTTGACAGGGAGTGTAAACGCACCTAGCGTACAGGAAATAGGTTATGATATTTATTAAGAAATTAGGTATGGTAATCATTATTAATTAAGCATTAAGTAATAAGCCCCCAACCAACTTCACAAAGTTCATGAAGGATATAGTCCTGAGTAAGGACACTAGCGGTTACCGTTAGTGATTTGGTTTTCTGTATAAAAAGTCATTTTTCTCCTTTCCTACCCCATTGGAGCGCCATTTGGCGTTTGGGAAGTGAATTGGGACTAAATATTTATAAGGTAGGTCCTGATTTATCTGAAAACATGCCAAAGTTCAGTGGGAAATCTCATTTTAAGCTGGCGGCGGAGTGATTTTGACCTTGGTGATTTTACCAGAATTCTCTGAGAAATCTGACGATAGAGGGGGTTAGTGTCTTCAAGTTTATTTATCTCAAAAATTCGGTGGACAACCCATGGTAAGATTGTTATAGCAGTCTAGGCGAGTCTCTCCCGAACACTGTGGTATGTTGCACTAGGCTTGGATACTAATCGTTAATAAGATACAGGGTAAAATGTTATAATGGCCACCTATGGGAAACTCTACTGTGGTCTTCAACCGAAGTACCAAGGAAAGACCATAAATTAGAAAAATTTGAATTTCCCAAAAAATCAAGTGGGCGATAATAGAGTCTCTGAAACATTAAATTTTTCCTTCATTAACTTATTACATACATTATTTTTAGATAATATTAGTTTGATATGGTGTGGAAAGCACACAATGATAGATAATTATCAGGAGTATGCATTGAAAATTACAAAATATGTCACTTTTGCCAAGTTTCAGAGGCTATATTATCGCCCACTTGATTTTTTGGGAAATTCAAATTTTTCTAATTTATTTAATATTTGGTCTTTCCTTGGTACTTCATGAACTTTGTGAAGTGGGTTGGGGGCCTTATACTTAATGCTTAATTAATAATGATTACCATACCTAAACAAGTTGCCATTTTGAAATATTGGCTTTCAAGCAGAACCTCTACCCACATTGGGCACATGTGTACAAAATATAAACGAAATCAGGCCAACAGTATTTGAGTTATTGCCATACAGATGGACGGAGGGACATACAGACGGAGGGGTTCCCTATATCCCTCGAAACTTTGTTCGATTGGATAATTATCTGAGTGGGGGATTGGAGAGGAAAAATTCTGCACGCATGGCCCATTACAAAAAATTCTTCCAACTGTCCAGAGTAGACTATATCCTATTTAGTCTGAATTATATTCAGACTATAAGGCACCTATGTTAAAGTTTGGTAATCATAGATATTTGTTTACATAGGAAGTGCTATTCAAAATGGCCGATTGGGTAAAATTAATTTGCAATTTGTTACTTCAACTAGCTTTATTTCCATTTGACAATATGCTGTGTTACTTTTTATTGCATTTAATTGTACCTTACTATTGAAATTTTGTAATGTTTATTTTATTGAAAAAATGGTTCCTCTAATTGATAATTTTGTGCAAAAAATTTCACTGCAATTTCCACAGGAAAGTAGTACATCATAACAGATTGACTTCTAGTCAGTCTGTTGGATACATACTACAATCAAATTTTTTATTCTGTCAATCAGTTCATATGGTTAGAATAAGGAAAGAATGTGATGTAACCACGTGTCTACTTACTAGGTTGTTCTATGTCATCCATCGGACTAGGTTACATCGTGGAACGCAGCCAAACACGACAATGAAGCCAGTATTCTGTGGTTATAAAATCTAAATCTAAATAATTTCCCATTTGCAGCCCCTTGGAGATTTCCGGAATTGAACAAAGTAGCGAACGTTGCGATCTTTCAACTTTAGTTCGTTGTTTTTTCACCACCTTATGTGTACTGTTTTCATTTAGGAGGCGGTCTTATTTGAATGCATCATTACAGGTCTTTATGAATCAATAGATCAATAAACAGCTCTAAAAATACAATTTAGCAGTTTCTTTCATTGCGTACTGCGCATGTTAGGCACGAAAACAATTTAGCAGTTTCGTTCGTTGCGTAATTGGGCCTTCTATAATCAGTAGCAAATGCTCGGAAAACATTTTCAAAAATATTTACTTCCGTTTTCCTTGAAGACATGATTGGGTGACACGTCATTGACACGTGATTAAGTCACATGATCGATACAGTAACTAGTCGCGTGATCAGACATGTGTCACGTGTCAGTCACGTGAGCTTGCAAAATGGACGATCTAAATTTCCAAAAATTCGGCTAAGATCAAGTTAGATATGCTGTTGCCTTCAGCGTCCTGTTCGGCTGCGTTCCACGATGTAACCTAGTCCGATGGATGACATAGAACAAGCCGGTAAGTAGACACGTGGTTACATCACATTCTTTCCTTATTCTAACCATATGAACTGATTGACAGAATAAAAAATTTGATTGTACTGTCCAGAGGCTGATCTGTGAAAATTTACAAAACATCTCAAAATTATTTACACCCAAGTCTAACGACCTCACCTTTCTCTTCCTGGGTTTCAAATTCACCTTGTATTGTCTCAGATACCTTACGGTAATATCCAAGTACATTATCATCTAATCGACCAACTCTACCTGCTCCTTTTGGCTTAGTTTTGGACGAATCTGAAAATGTTTTCTTTCCCATGCTTAATTTTTTAAAACGAGGCTGTCATTTTGTATTCCAATAACTTTTTAGTATTTTAATAAAATCTGAAGTTACATCATTATAGACTGAAATTATAATATAATATCAATTAAAAATCCATATTTTACGGTATATAATATCATCATCAATTTTGTTATCTTGTATATTACATATTAGTGATTAAATGAAATACCAAATACGCGCAACTTCATGGGCGCCAGCTCTTTAAACAAATTTACGTGATATAACATTTTCGTTCAATTCAATCTAAAGTGTTCTACAACAAGGAAAGTAAGATGTCCTGTCGATATATTGCGCTTGGGAGGCAAGGCGAACGACTTATTAATCGATTGATTCACAGTAACTGCAAAATAACAGACGTAAGTATTGAATATGAATCAGTATATAAATTTGTTTTTATTTTTTGATTTCTCACCAAATTTTAGTCATTACATCACTTTTTATTCCATAGTCTAGTCTAAAAATCATAAAAATAGGTTTTGAAAAATATCAAATAAAATACCCAAAACTAAGCAGTCTACTTACACTGTGTTACAGTCCTAGAATCTGAACACAAATTCTCGGTAGAAGTTCATGTGGTGAAAATAACAAAATAATGAAATGTTACCGTGTGTCTACTTAGCAGTTTGTTCTATGTCATCCATCCTGAGGTTACATTGTGGAACGCAGCCAAACACGACAATGAAGGTAACAACATGTCAATGTTGATCTTAGCAGAATCGATCATGTGACTTAATGACGTGTCAATGACGTGTCACCCAACCATGTCTTCAAGGAAAACGGAAGTAAATATTTTGGAAAATGTTTTCCAAGCATTTGCTACTGATTGTAGAAGGCCCAATTACGCAATGAACGAACCTGCTAAATTGTATTTCGTGGCTAACAGGCCTACTACGCAATGAAAGAGACTGCTAAAAATTGTATTTATAGTCTGCTTATTGATCTATTGATTCATAAAGACCTGAAATTTTGCATTCAAATAAGACCGCCTCCTAAATGAAAACATTACACATAAAGTGGTGAAAAACAACGAACTAAAGTTGAAAGATCGCAACGTTCGCTACTTTGTTCAATTCCTGAAGTCTCCAAGGGGCTGCAGAAGAAGAAGAAATTGGAAATTATTACGATTTAGATTTTATAACCTCAGAATACTGCCTTCTTGTCATCTTTGGCTGAGTTCAACAATGTAATCTTGCAGGAGGGATGACATAGAACAAACTGTTAAGTAGACACACGGTAACATTTCATTATTTCGTTATATTCACCATGTGAACTTCTACCGAGAATTTGTGTTCAGATTCTAGGTCTAGTAATTTCTATTGAAAATGTGACTTCTTGTTCGGGTTGATTCCCCATAGACCCCATGATACAAAATCACAAAAAGTGAAATATCTTTTCTTGTATTGGATAGATAACATTTTCTTTTACTGGACATATTTCAGTTTGCATAACTATTAGATACATAAGGGTTATATGAAAATTGAATCATTAAAACAGATGTGATTTAAGTTTAAGGGAACTTTCTCCTATACCCGCCATGCTATCTGACCCGAACGAGCCACCTGGTGGTGAATCTGGTAACTACCTACTCGCATCTGCGTTATTTGTATTACTATTTTTATTTATTTTTGTAGGCCCAGAGAAGCGTGCATTTTCTAACAAAGCTTTCGAAGCCAGGATATATCCAGTCGATTGTCAAGCAGTGGGCTATTCTTAGACAAGATGTGCCAAAAGGATTTGAAAAATTCTTCAAACCAGGAGGAAAGAAAACTAGTTCAAAACCGTCCAGTTCTAAGCCACAACCAAAACAGAAATTAGGTAGCAATTTAAACCCGCACATTGGTCTAAAATGCAATATTTCGACATACAATTATTTTTATATTTTCATTCAGCCAACAAGATTGCTAAAGGTCTAGTGTAGTGTTTGACATGAATTCTGCGTAATATCAAAGCAAAATCATAAAAAACAAACCTCTGCTGTCTGCGTTTACGGTGAGCATTCTACCACAAGACAAACATTGCTCTATAGAACCTAATGGGTAATTTATGCTACTAATATTGAACGTTCTAATTCAGTAGTGATGTCACTTTCCTTATTTAGAAACCTTCCAAAAATAATATTGTCTGCGACAATCAAAGGACAATCCTCATAATAACACATTTATCGTATTTCAATGGTAATCCACTAGATTGCGCTGGTTACTGAAATGGCTCGTTTTGGTAACAAAATGTCGGAATATCGAGGGCACAATTTTTCTTTTTTCCTTATTTCACACGTTGTAGGCAGAATTCCCACGACATTTTTAACACAAACGTGTATCAGTATCATATGTTTAAGAAAATGTACATATTTGCAAACAAATTGTTCAGAAGACAACAGAATTGTCGATTTAATTCCTCACTTAGTTACATAAATGGTTTTTCGGAAAACAGTTAAGATCTGCACTTTTAACCCAAACCATTTATGTAACTTAAGTGAGGAATTAAATCGACGATTCTGTTGTCCTCTGAGCTATTTTTTCGCAAACATGTACATTTTCTAAAACATATGATGCTGATATACATTTGTGAGAAAAACATCATTGGGATTCTGCCTACAACGCATGGAGTAAGGAAAAAAGAAAAATCGTACCTTCGACGTTCCGACATTTTGTTACCAAAACAAACCATTTCGGTAACCAGCATAATCCAGCGGATCACCAGTTTATTTGTAAACAAGATTTGCCCCATTTGTTCACCATTGAATATGCTTTCATTGAAGCTAAAAATCTTACAGTTGGCCCTTTAACAACCCAAGATTGGGTTCTAGAGCGATGTGCAGCTCTAATAAGTGGTCATTTTTGAAAGCAAAATAGATAAAAAGTTTGATGTGTCATACAAGTTATTCGGATAATATTTAAAGAAAATTGAAATTCATATTATGGCCTGCTTTTCATGCTTTACATATCACATTGATGCATATTTTTTCCCCTTTATTTTCAATCAAAATGTTTATTATATGTTTAACTGATTTTGTTCCATGTTGTTTCAGACCCACCACCAAAAAGAACAATACCACCAGAAAAAGACAAAATTCCAGAATTCTTTAACTTTAAGCCTGGGTAGGTCTAACATCTTATATGTTATAACTTAAGTAAAAAAATGTCAGCTATAGAAAATATATTTAATTACATCTCAAATACCATATCATTATGAACAATCATGTACAGGGCATCCACAAAAAAGTATACCCAACTTTGTGGACGTCCTGTATTTATAAATAAAGAATCGCTCCTTTAGATTATTTTATAATGTGTGGCTACACTTAACACATACTTAGATAAGATAACTGTTGCTTATATCAATGAATCCAGAGGATTTGATTCACCAATTGATTTACAATATTGTTGTGTTTCAGGACTGGGGGTGGAGGTATAGGGGGTCAGGACCCCAACAGCAAGATGATCCTGGGGGTAGTCATAGGTATCGGGTTGGTAGCATTTGCAGGCATGTACAACACTAGCTATAGGGAAATCACGTGGAAGGAATTCATCAATAACTATGTTAACAAAGGCGTGGTAAGACAAGACATGTTTAGGGCATCAGTACAAATAAAATCCTATTATATGTTATATTATATATTTTCTCATGACAGGTTTATGCTGCTCATTTGACAAAATCAAACTACATTGTGCTGTTCATTGCTCTTTAATGGTCTCTGAATTCATTGAAGTGATTTTAATATAAGAGAGAATAAGAAAAATATCAATTTTAAACATTTTTGAGTGATCACTCCAAACATGGTCTTACTATTAAATAGGCTAGGACTATCACTAAAATTGATATATGGACTTCATTTTTTTCCAGGTGGAAAGGTTAGAGGTTGTAAATAAGAAGTGGGTGAGAATAAAGCTACAACCGGGCACTCAGATAGATGGCTCTGTAAGTAACATTTGTGCCTATGAAATTCCAGTACATTTTATACCCATTCAATTTATAACAATTTGTTAAATCAGGATACATACGTATTGATTGACTCATTTTAAATCTTCAATATAAGGAATTGAAGAATTGGTGCTTAAATTCAAAATATAACTGAAGTGAATAAACTGTTCATTATTTTGCATGTCTGATTCGGAGATAGAGTGGAATCACAAATTTATAAGAGAATGTCTCAACCAGAGCATATGACCAGTCATGCTAATTTTTAAGATTGTATTTTCAGAGTACTATATATTTCAACATTGGAAGTGTGGAGTCATTTGAGAGAAACTTAGAGAATGCGCAGTTAGAGATGAGCCTTGATCCGTCAAACTTCATCAATGTCATCTACAAAAGTGAAACAGAGTGGTATGTGATCTTGTTATAATAAATGTATACATTATACATTAATGCATACATTACTTAATACATGATATATGTATTAAGTTGAGAGATAGTTTAGTGCATTCAGAAAATTATATCATGGAACGGATAAATATAAAAAGTTATATCCAAATGTTGCATCTACCAAGGCTTAGTCTTGTGATTATTTAAAGGAATTGTTGAAAATTGTGTAATTGGGAGAAAGGCTTCCTCAGATGTAAGCATTTAGGCCTGTAGCCAGCTTTTGTCAAATAAAGGGGGTACTTTTATTTAATAATGCATATATGCAATTTTGTTTTAGGGCATCTGTAGCATATTCCTCCTTGAACTTCCTCATCCCAATAGGTATCCTTATATTTCTGTTTAGACGTATGGGCTCAATGGGAGCAGGGGTAAGTGCAATACAAGAATTGATACAACAAAATTATTTAAATCCCTATTAAGATCATGTGAAACTGTAATTAAGATTGAATCATACATCAAATCGGATGTTACAACAGTCTGAATCAATTGAAATAGAATTGAAGCTATAAGAAATAATGACAGAATATAATATTTGACCATAGCTGCCTTAGAATTTAGTACAGGGCAACCTTATTCAGAACAGGTTTAATGTACATTAATCAATTTGATTATAATTAATGTAATAGTTTTATGTATATTGATGAACTATTTCAGGGTATGGGTGGACCCAAGGGAGGCAAACATACAGTACAGTTTAATGTATATTGATGAATTATTTCAGGGCATGGGTGGAACGAAGGGAGGCAAACATACAGTACAGTTAAATGTATATTGATGAATTATTTCAGGGCATGGGTTGAACCAAGGGAGGCAAACATACAGTACAGTTAAATGTATATTGATGAATTATTTCAGGGCATGGGTTGAACCAAGGGAGGCAAACATACAGTACAGTTAAATGTATATTGATGAATTATTTCAGGGCATGGGTTGAACCAAGGGAGGCAAACATACAGTACAGTTAAATGTATATTGATGAATTATTTCAGGGCATGGGTGGAACGAAGGGAGGCAAACATACAGTACAGTTAAATGTATATTGATGAATTATTTCAGGGCATGGGTTGAACGAAGGGAGGCAAACATAAAGTACAGTTAAATGTATATTGATGAATTATTTCAGGGCATGGGTTGAACCAAGGGAGGCAAACATACAGTACAGTTTAATGTATATTGATGAATTATTTCAGGGCATGGGTTGAACCAAGGGAGGCAAACATAAAGTACAGTTAAATGTATATTGATGAATTATTTCAGGGCATGGGTGGACCCAAGGGAGGCAAACATACAGTACAGTTTAATGTATATTGATGAATTATTTCAGGGCATGGGTGGAACGAAGGGAGGCAAACATACAGTACAGTTTAATGTATATTGATGAATTATTTCAGGGTATGGGTGGACCCAAGGGAGGCAAAGGAGGTGCAGGTGGAATGTTTGGATTTGGCCAGTCAACAGCTAAAGTTATCAACAAAGATGAATTAGGAGTTAGATTCAAGTGAGTTTTACTGTAGATGTATTGTATTAAAGATCACTAACAAAGGCCTAAGAATTATTGTTACAACCATTTTTATTGTGTATATTACAAAAATCTACAAAAATATTTTGAAATTTTCAACAAGGAACAAGAAATCAGAAAATGACTGTAAAATAGGCTACTTGAAGACAATTGATGTGGTACTTTTGAATAAATACCGACATTTCATGACATAACATTCTTGATTTTACTTTCCACTTTCAGAGATGTTGCAGGTTGTGAGGAGGCCAAATTAGAAATTATGGAGTTTGTAAACTTCTTAAAGAATCCTCAGCAGTACATAGATCTGGGTGCCAAAATACCTAAAGGTGCAATGCTTACAGGTGAGCTAAATCTTCATTTTTCAATACAACTAAATAGCTACCACAGTAGTTTAATCTTAGAAGAGAATATTAGCACTTTTTTACAGAGAGAATCTGGCTGTTCTTTGCGAAAAATGTGAAATATTTAGACATTTTTATCAAAACAACGAACAATAAATAGGATTAAGCTCCCTGTTCTGAGAAGAAGACTGAATATAGATTTTTCTGTATTTACATTTCAGGTCCTCCAGGGACTGGTAAAACCTTACTTGCCAAGGCCACTGCTGGTGAGGCCAATGTTCCTTTCATCACTGTGTCTGGTTCAGAGTTCTTGGAGATGTTTGTTGGTGTAGGACCTTCTAGAGTAAGTGCAGTTTCTTTGATTAACTCATCAATTCAATTTAATTTACATGGGAGTTTTACAGTTTATTATGGCATATACCAGAAGTGTTGACATACTGTTAAAGTATCAAACTATCTTGTGGACTGTACATTTGAACTTATGCATGTATAACTGATGCAGAGTCTCACAAAACTAATAGGACTGATTCTGGTATTTTAATTTTGCACCAGTCTTCTTACTTTTGGGATGCCCTATACACATGGAAATACATCACACAGAGACATGCATTACATTTTGAGTTAACAATTATGTCAATGTATAATTCCAGGTGCGAGATATGTTTGCTTTAGCTAGGAAAAATGCCCCTTGTATCCTTTTCATAGATGAGATTGATGCGGTTGGGAGAAAGCGAGGTGGCAAAAGCTTTGGTGGGCATAGTGAACAGGAAAACACTTTAAATCAACTTCTAGTGGAGATGGATGGTAAGAGAGAAGTTCACTATAAACTTCTCATCAAAATATCTCTGATTTATAAAACTACTTTCACTCATTTGATAGTTCTGGAGTAAATGCAATTGATATTACGATATTGAAACCACATATATTAAAGTAAATTTATTGATTCAACAAATAGCAGGTTAATGCATGTTACTGCCTTGCTTTACATATGTTAGCATTTGTGTTTTTGTAGGATTTAACACACAGACCAATGTAGTCATATTAGCAGCAACCAATAGATCAGACATCCTTGACCCTGCATTGATGAGACCTGGCAGGTTTGACAGACAGATCTTTGTAGGAGCCCCTGATATAAAGGGAAGGTAAGTACCCACCATGCTTCAGTTTTCAATTGAACTCCTCTGTTTAATATGAATCATTAAGTTTCAGTCATTCATGTATAATTGCATCGTAAAATATTATTTAGATTTTAACTTTCAGGGCCTCACATTTAATTTACAAATTTTCTTTTCAGGGCCTCAATATTTAAGGTGCATTTAAAGCCTCTTAAATCTTCTACAGATAAAGATTCACTTGCGAGAAAGATGGCAGCACTTACTCCAGGTTTCTCAGGTATGTGGAACATGAGGCTTTAAATTTTCTGAAATATTTTGTGAGAATAAATAAAATGTAATTTGAAAACATTTGTAGAATTCCACATCCCCATATCCCACCAACCAGACAGTAGGAACTAGTTTGTGTCCATGTATCTGAGTCATTTTTTCAAAAAACTATAGATTACGATTTTTTTAAAACTGATATAATATCATTAAAAACAATAAAAAATATCAGGGAACACGGGAATTCTTACTTTAATAATTGTTTTACTTCAGGTGCTGACATTGCCAATGTGTGTAATGAGGCAGCCCTCATCGCAGCAAGAGACCTCAGTGAGAGCATCACCCTCACACACTTTGAGAATGCCATAGAACGTGTCATCGCAGGTAATATATATTAGTATATGATTTATGAAAGAGTATGAAGCTTGTTGGGGGCTTACCATCTTTTTATTATTATCATTACATCTAGTCTTGTAATTATAATACAACATAATTATTACAAATCATGGACTTGTGAAATGGTAAGCCTGATTTCAAATTGTGCAGCGAAGATATTTAGCCAACTGTCTTATCTAAAGCTAGATGTATTTTAATAGATGAATTTTTTTGATAATTGAAATCAAAAATATTTAGATATGTAAAGAAGCATTCCTGTCTTTTGTAATATATACACTGTACAATATTTTTTATCCAGGTTTGGAAAAGAAAACTCAAGTGCTCCAGAAAGATGAGAAGAGAACAGTTGCATACCATGAGGCTGGACATGCTGTGTCTGGGTGGTACCTAGAGTATGCTGACCCGCTATTGAAGGTAAGACCCATGTGTCTTAATATACAGGGTGGGCCAAAAAAAACAATACCCAACTTTAAATCAGGATAAAAATAGTTACGTTCAATATGGTACATTGACTTATATATCATTTTAAAGGTAATTCATTTTCAAACAATTTGGTATATAGCACTATGTCATGAAATCAATAGTAAAGTTTTATTATACTTAAAGGCCCACTATACTTAATTTAGAAGAAAAAAGAAAAAAATCATCATTGAAACATATTACTCACACACTCTCTCAAATATGAAACAAAGTTTGATTTGCTTTAATATTAAACCAAGAAAAAATAACTCACAAAGAAAAAGTAGTACATCTTTCAATGACATTGATAAAAACTTGATATATAAAGCTTGACAGATCTGTTGTTGGTGTCAAATGAAAGATAGGGTTCTTATCAATACATTGGACATTCTATAGAATTTATATAAAAGTCTTTCCTTTGCCCAAAAACATTGAAAATATGCAGAGTGGGCCTTTAATATACATATTCTTGGATATTGTCAATCAATATCGTCATGGCTATCTGTCTATCTAACAACTGAAATAATTGCATTGTTGTCTTGTATTTTTATACAATTTAAACTGTTTGCTACATGCCTGTTTACTTTATTCCTTGCAAATTCCTTGCAAACCTTTTTTTCCACTCTTCTTTCCATTTTGAAACCAACTCTCTGAAAATTAGTTTTGAATTGTTCATTCAAGGTATCTATCATCCTCTGAAAATTAGTTTTGAATTGTTAATTCCAGGTATCTATCATCCCAAGAGGAAAAGGTCTTGGCTATGCTCAGTATCTCCCTAAGGAACAATTTCTCTACACCCGTGAACAACTCTATGACAGAATGTGCATGACATTAGGAGGACGTGTCTCAGAACAGATTTTCTTCAGTAGGATAACTACAGGCGCCCAGGATGATCTTCAGAAGGTCACTCAGAGTGCCTATGCCCAGGTTAGTTGATTCTGGTTGCCTATGATTAGGGTTTTGCTTCTAGCATTCTTAAATTTACAATTTTCTTTTGAGCACTCAAAAAGTCAACGTATTTGACCTAAAAAACTTTAACTGAGCACATTAAGAATACACACGCATGGTATCCATTATTCATTATAAACACACAATTAGGAGGTTCACAGAAATAGTAATACTTGTATTTAATGTTTTTAGATTGTCCAATTTGGGTTCAGTGACAAGGTTGGCCAGCTATCCTTCCAACAGCCGCAGCCAGGTGAAATGGTAATGGACAAGCCTTACAGTGAGCAGACAGCACAGATGATTGACCAAGAGGTTAGGGAACTTGTGAAGTCAGCTTATGACAGAACACTAGAACTGCTAACCAAACACAAGGCAGATGTTGAGAAGGTAAGTGAATTTCGTTGAAATTGATGAGATAATGTGTTATTACATTCAAATTGTGTACCTTTCTTGAACCTGTATATTTTATTTTTAGGTCTTGGTTTTTACAACAAAGGCATTGGATCTATTTGGTCAAAACTGAAAAAAATAGTTGAGCTTGTTTTCAGTAGCTAGTCTTCTTAGACTCTTTCCATGAGCAAAAAGGTTCTACAGTTCACTATTTATCAAGTCCCTAAGTGGCTCAGGAGCATCGATTTAAAAATGTTGTACTCAGTTCATGAAAATACATATTGTATGACCAAAATATTGTCATATTTTTTTAGGTTGCTTTGAGGCTGCTTGAACAAGAGAAGTTAGATAAAGCTGACATGGTAGACCTACTAGGGGAAAGGCCATTTGCTGAGAAATCAACATATGAGGAGTTTGTCGAGGGAACGGGTGAGTCTCATATTTATTATGGAATCTGTTTGTCCATTGTAATGAGAACTAAGCCCTGAATCTGGCCTAAGAGATTGTGTTTATTTTTTTAGGTCTTCCTGACTCATCTCAATTGATTTTTACGGGCATCTAATTACAACTATTTCTTAATACATTTGTGTTCAGTCAGCCAATACTTCGAAAGGGAGAACTAATCCATTGAGGATCACATTTCAACACATTCATTGACTGGACAAGCTCTCTTAAACTGCTCCATAGACTTGAACAACTTCATGCACTTATATAACCCTTCTCATTTTAATGTCTTGAATATTTTCTTTTGAGAGATAAGAAACAATTTCGTTCAATTGCGTGTATGTATTTATCCATTGTTGTGACTTAATTTCCAGGTTCAATGGAGGAAGATACATCACTACCCAAGGGCCTAGAGAATTGGAATCGTGACTCAGAAGATGCTGAAAAGGACAATGAAAATGAATCTAAAGAAAAATCAGCGACTAACTGATACAGATAAATACTAGGCAATATTTTTAAATTACAAATACCGGTAGCTGAGCTAGTATGTTAACTTATTGATATTCAAATATCACATATTGAATCAGTTTATTTCTAGTGTGATATTTCGCTCTATCTTGACAGTTCTGAATTGATACCTGATGAACTCAATATGCATATGGACTGTACAAATAAGTGATTTTAATAGACTAAACTGGGTCATTCTAGACTCATGGACTAGATTGATGGATCTATCATTTCTTGTATGATTGAATGCATTCACATTTATCCACTGACTGCAAGATTTAAACTTGATTTCATTAATGAGTTTTGCTGACTCAAGAAAGTCACGTAACCTATTAGTTATCATTTCTGGATCCTCTGCCTTGATTCAGACAAATATTCAATTATGCTGAATAAAATCTCAAGAGTATGGCGATGCATATATTGTCAAAATATTTTGTTTCTTGTTCAAGGGTTTGACATTGAAACATTGATTATTCGGAAAAGTTATTATATTGTCCAAGTGAAGAATTTCTTCATAAATTATTGAACTGGTCTGCTAATTGATGATTTGCGATCACTGGATGAATTCTATCTTGTAGTGACGTCACAATTAGGCCACACTGCTAAGTCTGCTATAGCTTTTTTGATTTTGAGAGATTATCTTCTGTATTTCGTACTTTATTGATTTATTTTTCACGAAAGTGTTCGATTTGACTAGATCAACATTCATTCTAAGCACATGCCAAGTCTAAGATCTTACTGACATGATTTAGATAGCGGTTAAGCGCCCCCCGATTTTGAAAAGAACGGGGGGTGCTTATAGGCATCAATGTTTAGTATGAATTTCACAAAAACTTCACACATATAAAGATATACTCATGATCTAGTCAAATCGACATACCTGGTAAATATCCGACCCTTGGTTTTCATAAAAGAAACAATAACCTATTTAGATCAAAACTGCCACGTGTTCGCCATTTCGTCTCTCCATCATGTCTAATATCATTTCTATATGACGTCACACCAATAAGACGAAATACGTGACAACAGTATCCATAAACAAAATACCTGAATTCTGATCGCAAAAGGTCAAATCAGCGTTGACCAGTCCTAGTAGAATAACTACCCAAACACACCCTGTCCTTAACATCAGCATTTCCTTCATGGAATGTATATATTGTAAATATTTGTTTTTTGAAAATCAATGAGATCATGAAGCATTACCATGATCGTGAAATAGTTAAATAATAAATGTCAGAAATACATGAAATACCCAAAATTGAAATACAGTATATGTCAAAATAGAAGTGATTGAAGTTTTACGTTAATCTTCTCTGTTATTTCTCAATGGATTAGGTTATGCAATGGGAGGGAATGGATATGAACTTTATTCAAAGTGATGTTCTAAACTTCTAATATGATATAATTTTAATAATATATATTGTGCATAAGTCCAAGTGCTAGTTTATGATTTTGATAACCAATTTATTCCATGTAACAACTCATGATGTGGATATGTAAACTCAAAGGTCAATGGGGGAAAAACTGAATATTTAAAAAAACACTATTATATAAAGGTGTGTGAACAATTTCAAATGACCCCCATTCCTCATGAGAATCAATTCTAACATGCAAACATTAGAATAGTAGTGAATACTATGACCATTTTTTGTAGTAATAAAGTCTTACATGATATGGAAAATGAAATGCTAACCTTCAACATGATGAAGTCCATCAAATACAAAACTGTCATCCGGACAAAACTGTTGCATAGATAAGAAGAAAATAACAATCTGACATGTTACAGTATCTAATGAAAGAATTTGGCTGATTTGACAGTATTTCGAAGCATCGATTCTTTTCATGAATATTTCCAAAGGGAAGTTGTATTTGTGAAATAAAAATAAGCCAAATATCAAGCATCAAATTCCAGGAGATAGCAAAACAAACAGTAAACTTATCTTCTCTCAATAACTATCTTGTCTTGCAAAATGCTAAAAGTGATTCAGTTTATTAACAAACTTTGAATGTGCGTATCAAATATATTTATTCAATTTTATCAGATTGGTGTATTTACATCAATTATGCATGTACCTATTATGCACCTGTATGTTCCCAACAATATTTACACATGAAACTTTTGAGAATTCATTATTAAAGGCTTATACATGTACAAAGCCACTCATGTAAAATTGTATAAATTATCATTTTTGTGATAATGCTACACCAATATAAATAATACAATAAAAGAATCCACCATCACAAAATATTGTACAGTTGGACTCAATGACTACAGTTAGACTGTATTATTAAACTAGTCTATCTACAAACATGAGTCCATCATAAACATTTTTTGATATGTCAACTTGCGTCTCATTATAAAAATATCTTCTATTAGCCTAAGCAAATCAACTGATAATTGTTTGAATCCTCTTCACACAAGGCAAATCATTCTTGCATTCTCGTTGAAGAAAAACTGAATTCACAAAGCTTAACATGTTCATCAATGTAACTTTGTACATTCTATAGATAATTAGATATAGCTTTGCAAAATGATACCAGATAAGTTCTATTGCTTTTAAAAACATGTTTGCCTTATGTGAAAAACATTTAAGCATAAGTACATGGGACAGCTAGCCAAATAATACAGCTATTATAAATGTATAGCCTTGCCTAAGTCAGTGTTTATTTTAATTTGATAATAAATGTACAAAAATCAATAATCAAAGGCATGTGCTTTCTCAAAAACTATGCATCGTTATACTGCATTCTGATTGGTCAAATGTGACTTAATGCACGCCTGCTGCCTGGCTATGTAAGTCTTCATTATTACTGCACTATGTGTAACTGTACATGTATAATACTGCACATTCTTCAACTTAAGCTGTACTATAACAATTCAAATAATATGAAGCTTGCCAGTAGTACTTTTCCCATTACCAAGTTTCATTATCTATGATATTTGGAGATCTTTATGATTGAGTGCTGATTCAATCTCTATTCTTTCACTATTCTTAACTTTTGACCGAATATGTGTGATTTATTTAGTCCCATTGTTAAACAAACACATAGACTAGTCTACTTTATACATGGTATAAACATTGTACATTTACAGAATTTGAATAGATTTTTCAATTATTCAGATAATGTACATTAAAAAGAACACCTGTTTATAAAAATTGTATAATACAGTACACTACAAGTAGTAGTAAAATCTTGACAATGTCTGACTATTGAAGTATCACTAGAGCCAAATGTAGTGCAAACATAGTTGATGGATCTTTTATATAAAACTTTGCGTTCCAAAGAACTAAAACTAAATTGACAATTTTGTCCAATATAATATCATCCAATATAAAAGCACTAATATACATTTATCTTTTTTTTTTAATCTCTGCAAGATCAGTGTTCAACATAAAACACTGACACTGTTTCAAAGCACCGTGGCTTAAGGTGGGAATAAAATGCTAGAATACATGACTCGTAACAGTCACAATCAAATTCAAAAGGTTAGTTCATATAATAGATAAGAAGTTTGGAGCCTTTTTGATATTCCAGATCTCAGATTTTTGAAATCCTATAACGCTATGATTGTATAAAATGTATAAAGTAACTGTAACTTCCCCCCCTGTAAAATAATGCAGTCTGTGCTCTCCTTGTTGAAGCAAGCTTGGATTCCATCTAAAAGTCTCTGCTGGGCTGTTGGCTATTGGTCATGACTAATGTCAGCCTTCATGCTATATCAGCATGGTGTATTATTGCCTTTGTTGTCCAGTGGCATTAGAGCTCCAAAAAAATGGACTACATACAGTGAATTTCATAAAGGGTTATAAGTTCAACTATACTGTATGTATGATGTATTGCCTCTAGTGCCAAGTGTCTATTATATATACAAGTCCAATAAAGAGTTATCGGGAATATATAGTTCAAGGGACTTGAGGCTTTGGTTATCCAAGGAACTATAAACTTTAGTTCAGTTATAGCTATCAAGTGCATTAACATAATGTTGCCCCTATTTATATCTATACATGGCTCTACTGCGCAAGGCTACAGTTTGGTAAATGTTCACTTTACCGAATCAGTGTGATGAATGGTGGCTTCTACTGTGGACACTGAATGTGAATCTGAAGAGTCTGGTGTACAAGAACTGCAAAAATACAGAGGAAGGCCATTTATATGGTTACTTAAATGTATATGTAATGCTTAAATGAGCTTTTAAATAAGTCAAGTCACCACATGCATTTCATATATGAGGTGTCACCACATCACATGTACATGTATGTTATACAATTCAAAGTACAGATCCTGTTCTCAGATTGTACATTTACTTTAATAGAACCATATGATGCAGGCCCGTAGCCCGTTCGTGCGACCCCCCCCCTGGCCAAAAATTCTTTCAAAAGCATGCAGTTTTTCACCATTTTGAGCACTTCTCAAGTGATTTTAGCCATATTTGGGCCAAAATTGTCAAATGTGAACCCCCCTGGAAATTTTCGAAAACTGGCCCCCCTTGGCAAATCCTGGCTACGGGCCTGTGATGACCACTTGAATGATCATTACCTGTCTTTGCTTTGAGCATAAGGCTGGCCAAGATCTGCCTCAATGCATGATGGTTCATCCTCTGTGATGTCATTTATACTTGGAATTGATGACTGTGATGATCTTTTCCTATTATTCATAGACCTTTCAATACTGAAATTGTAAAATGAATGTAGCTTCGTTAGCATCAATAAAGATATCATTGTATACCCCTCTGACTCGGCTTTGAAACTTCATAAATCATTCATGGAAACTGATACAGGACTCCAGGTAAGGGTGATCTATAATTTCATAAAGGGAACCCCTGCCCATAAAGTTTTCTTAAAGGTTAAACAATTAGTGCAAAGACATTACCAATGATCATGGACCTAGTGTCAAAATATATCGAAGTATGGATATTTCATCAAGGCTAACATATATTTTCATTATCTATAAAGAAACCCCCTTGATGAACGTTACTTCAGCTGAAATTCCTGCAGTTAAAATCTTGAAATGTAGTATGGTATACAGTGTATCTTAGAAATCTAAAGTGGGACTTCTCCTCTGGAAACTTAATTCACACTTCTAAATGCTGAAATAGATAGGCATGTCCATACATTTTATGAAAATTGGTCTGACAAAGAAGATCTAAAGCCAAACATTGCCCTGATAGCTCAGAAAAAGGTGAAATTTTTCTCTCAACGGGCCTTGTTGCCACTTTAAGTGAATGTTGCTTAGTCTAGACATGGAATTCCAACTGTTGAAAGCCCATGGTCTTGACCATCAATAACACTATTGAAATAGTAAAACATTGAAACATACATACAGTGTGTCATTAGTTAATTTTCTGTGGAACATTAATATTTACCGTAATGCCTTCATCAGTGCCTCCATTTGGGATTTATGCAGAGCCAGCTCTGATTCCAATAGCTCTATTTTAGCATCTCTTTCCTGCAGATCTTTCTTCAAGTTATAAACTGTCTCCTCTAAACTCTCACAAAGTGTCTGAAATAATACAAAACATGGTCTTGTACCTGAAATTCTTTAGTGATATTTAAAGGGATGATCAAAGACTTGTTGATATCATTGCATTATTTCATTATAAAATGAATCCAAAGGATTTGAACTAATTCTGCAATATCTTCATGTTTGTTTTGGAATATTCTAATAAGTTGTAAGACAAAATCTTACAAGAAAATGTTGAAGTGATAAAGTGGCTCTACCTGGTTGTTAATCCTGGGTGAGTCATAAGATAAAATTCAGCTTATAGATTGGCTAATCATATTGATCGTGACACCATGTATCAATAAAGGGTGTGCCACAACTGACCAATCAGTGCATTGTAGACATCGCTAAAAGAATCTTGACAATGCGACTTGTATCTCAGATAGATAAGGAGATATGTCACCAGCTTATCAATCTTAGTATTAAGGTATAGTAAAATATAATGGTTGTTATTTTCATTTATCAATTCCAGGAGTGCAGACTTTTATGGAGGAACTGGTACTTTGCCCCTGAGCCAGGCTAAATATCATAGAATAACCACTAACATTCCTTAATGAGAGTCATAAGATATTACATGGACTGTTCAGTGATAGTCAAGCTATACCTTGTATCCAAATATAGGCCAATATTAATTTCTGATGAGGAATTACATTTACTGACCCTTTAAATATTCTCTCAAATAAATCAAACTTGTTTTTCACTGCACGACCATAAACAAATGTTTATCATAGAAATTGTGTTCACTTCAAACAGGTTTTACTGTAATGAATAAAAGAATCATCCTACCCGACTCTCCTCAAGGCTATCATGTGGTCCAGGTGGGTCATCAAAACAGAAGAAATGTCGCACAGGGCCACTGAAATGGGTATGAGCGAAGATTAGGAAAATAGAAATGGTATCATTTCTTACACATAAGGAAGATCTAACAACAGGAAGGTTCAAAATAAAAATGAAACTTTTAAATCTCTCGTAAATAGTTATCAATTATATCAAATAACATGACTCTAGTATTTGAACAAGAATATATTGTAGATTGCAACTTCCCCACTATCATAAACTACACAGTGTGTCTGTACTTAATGAGGAAACAGAAATTCATGAAACTAAAATTAAAAAAACATTTTTCTCTTCCACATTTATTTAATTATCCCTACTTATCTAAGGAAGATATGAAAAAGGGAATACATGGGCATAATTGGACTAGATCCCTAATCCCCCTCCCCCATATTATATAGATATTTCTAAATTGAGTATTTTGCACCATTGTATAGAAATCTAGGAAGCTTATATGGTGGATACCCTCTACCCTTAGTGAGCCAGAAAAAGAAACTGACAAGGAGAGAATACTATATGAAAAATACATATATAATTATATGCATATGACTCACCTATTACATACTCTCTTATGACTGACTACATTATTGAGGAATGCTTGGAGGCCCAATTGACGATCTTCGAGAAACTCTGCTTCAAAGTTATCACCGAACCAACGTCTTGGTGGGAGAGCAAGTCGAAAATGAGGAAATAAACCCTTTAGCTGAAAACAACATAACATTGGTTTGTTATCAGTGATATCCCAGGCATTAGAGCAACTACCCTATAGAAAGTTTCTAGGCACTTTGTCGAAAGGATAAAACAATGAAGGACAGTAAAACCATAAGTGATTGAAATGCCTTTGGAATCTTAATAAAAAAAAGTTTAATCAAAACTGGTAAAATTGGGAAAAGGATTGCTGCCCCTCATTTGTACTCGAATCCAACACTTAACTTGTAAATATCATAAAACCCGAATGTAATATTTCTATGGTAGTTATTGGAAAATATAGCAATACTTTTTTTTCCTTTTTTTATTTCCAATTTTATCATTTTCCAGTATAGCAATACTGATGAAAACTAATGACTTTGCTGTCAAAAACCAGTGAACCATATATAGAGTAGAACCTGTCAAATGGAATACCTTACTTTAAAACATTCAATACCTTCGTAATTTGAACACCTTTCATAGTCCTGTCAAGGGCGAACGTAATACCCGGATCGTTCGCAAATTGGTGTTCGGTTTTTTACCGCATCCGATTTGAATTAGCCAATAAATGATCGGGGTGTGATAACTTGAATTTTTTTCTGACGATGTGTCTTACCCCCCTTTGGACATAAAGTCCAGAGCTGAATATGTCAGCACATGTTGATGATTGGTAAGTAAAAACAATCTATCCTTATAACGTAACCTATTTTCGATAGTCTAGTGAATTACGGTCACCAACCGTTCGGATACAACAGTTAAAACGAAGATTGTCCGCATCCGTTTTGATTGCGCTGACGAGAAACCAACGGGGTCTTCTCATTTGCATGATCAGGTCACCTTATACTGCGCTATAGAGCTGGGTAAGGGGGGTAAGACTGACTGACAGAAAACACAATCGCCACTTCAAGTACATTTTCCTGTTTATTCTGTTAGTGTTAACCCTTATTTACATATCATATATTTAAGTTAATCAATTATGTAGCTAATGATGTGAACGGATTGCAATGCCATAGAGTAAAATAACCGCAAAACGGTACAGAAAAAGGTACCTAGGTCTGAGAAATCCTACCCCTTTATACACCATTGTCTAATGAAGACCAAACAAAGCCCCGGATGTCGTGTCGTTTCTCGTTTCGTTTGGTACACAACTATGCCCCGGGTATTAAATAAGCCCTTGGTCCTGTGACCTTTCAGACGTAACACTAATAGGATAGTTTCTAAATAGCAGAAAAATCAATGAAATCTCGTGCTGCCATCTTTTATTCAGCTTTTAACTCGGGCTAGAGCTCCATTCATTTACATGCTAAAATCTTGGAAAAGTGGCTTAATTTCATGATTTATCAAAGTGTGTTTGTTGAATCTGTATAAAACTTGAATGATATACCACATGATGACCCTGTTTATGTACATGATGTGATTAAACATGCAAATGTTGATTGACATACAAATAATCCACAGATTTAAAGAATTTTAGCATTGCATCTATGGACATTTGGCCCAAGTTTTTTTAAATTGTTATAGAAAATTATTCAAATTACATAACTGTGTAAATCAAAGCTATTAAAGGAGAAAACATTTCACTGAATTCAAATATGCCATTTAAAAGAAGGTAATGTAAGTCATTAGAGGTCTAATATGCAAGTCTCTTAAAATCTCACGAAAGTAGTTTTATTAATAGTTTTGGAAGGCTGAATAAGGAATAAAAAGAGCTAAAAATGAGGTTTGATAAATACAAAACTACAATAGTTTTGGTGGAACAATTAATATATAAAGTAAAAACGAAATTCTGTAAGGCTTAAAAATGACTTGTTTTTGACCCCACTTAAAAAGTCACTACACATTTGTTATTGAATGAAGTAGATATGAATGAGTTGTTATCCTTTCATATCTTGAGAGCAATAAGGTTAACAACGACATAAGGACGACATGTGATAAAATTATCTCTAAAAATACGTCAATATGAGTAGTGCCGATGGCTATCACATGAGTCATCAAGGATATTTGTTAATTAATAATTACCGCAATATAATAACAACTTGTAATTACTTTATCCCTGAGATTTTTTATTAAATATATCAAATAAAGCAGATTTTACTCTACTTTATGATGCATTTTGGGATGGGGAGTTACACACTTTCACAATATTGTAATGCTGAAAACAAAAATATTGTTTCAACATTTAATCAATTATTTGGATTATATATAAACTGCATACGCATATTCTATTAAAATATGTATAAAATTTCACTAAAAAAATTTGGTCCCGATTTGTTTATTTCATTTTAATGGCAAGTTGCAGCATAATTGATTATGTTGTAAAATACAAAATTGTTTATGAGTAATTACAGGTAGTAACTTACCTGACTATTCAACTGAACAAAGTCAGTATAACGTCTAAAGATAAACCACTGTTCGGTATACGTTTTCTGTACATGGATTTTAAATACCTGAAAAAGTAGAAATCACATTTAGGAAAATAATAATGCATTTCTTGCTAAAAAATATGTGAATATGTCAAGGGATTATGGAGAAATCAAACTCACAGTGAATCGTGCGCGTTGTTCCATCCTCTCAAACCCTACTATTGGCACTTTAATATCCTCGCTCAGGACCATCTCAGTCTGTGAACTACAAGTTGACAGTTCAGATAATGTCCTATGTAATCGTACATTTATGTCTTCAATGTCATCTTCTTGAGCAATATCTCCATGGTCTCGATTCTGTGTTTGAGCATTCGGAGTACTAGCACTTTGGGGATGGGAACTTATATTCAAACTTGCGTCCTTATCATTAACATCCTCATTAAATTCTTCCATGGAATTCCGATTTAAATGATCAGTGTTTTCTGTCTTTTGAGATGGGCTTCCATATTTGGCACTATCGGATTGGACTTCAACTTCCCCTGCCAATGAAAGTGCATCTTCAGCAGGGCTGGGGCACCTGGGTAATTGCTCCTCTTTGATAATCTCAGGCATTGATGATGCTCCATTTGACAATTGGTCTGTAGTGAGCGATTTATCCATTTCTAACTGTTGTAGGAAATCACTTCAGCATATGTGACTATATTTCAGATTTCATCTATGATAAAATTTAATGTTTAGGCCACATATATGTCTGTATTATGTACACTATATGCATATCAACAAATTACCAGATAAACAATAGTTTTGTAAGAGACACATGCTGTTTGTTTATGTCGTTTTTGAGATAAACTCTGTAAGTCCTTTGTATACTTGGGATGTGTCACGGGGACATAATTCGCTGCACATTGAGAAACCAGAACTGTAAACCTGGATGACAAAGTTAGTAAAACCCTGGGGACGCAACCTACAAGTACAAATCAAAAGAGTTTTACAGAAACAACACTTTTATTACAAAATAACCTTTGTCATGGATAATTACTGGAACTAGAGACTACAGCCAGGGCTCTCATGAAAGCCAATGCTACATGCAACCTCACTCTTGGACAGGCCTTGTAGCCTATTGACCATGAGTCATCATGTGATAAAAACAAGGCTACAGAATGAGAATAAATTTTCAAAAAAAGTTCAAAAATTGAAGACAAGTTCACTTGCTAACAAGGCCATATGTTTTATCAATCTATAAGTCTAATTAAACCTTGTGATACTTACTATAAGTTTTATTATGTTAAATTGCCATTATTATTTTGTAAATGTGTTCATTTACCTATTATTCGTTTGTTTATTCCTTAAGGACAGGGTGCATGTTGGGAAATTTTCTGCATTCCTCAATTGAGTCACATGTTATTTTTCAAACATGAATAACTCCTTCCCCACATTGTCTACATCTTCCAAGTTTGCACAAAGAGTGCACTTCTGTGCCTAGAAAAGCATTGTGAGAAGGTTTGTTTTGTAAAATGTATAAAAAATGAGAAAATTCAGTGAAAAAAATTTCTGAAAATTTTCTGATTTTTTTCACTGAATTTTCTCGTTTTTTATACACTTTATCAAAACATTCTTCTCACAAGTCTTTTCTAGGCACATAAGTGCACTCTTTGTGCAAAACTGGAAGATATAGACAATGAAGGGAAGGAGTGATTCTTGTTTGAAAAATAACATGTGACTCAATTGAGGAATGCAGAAAATTTCCCATCATGCACCCTGACCTTAAGTTAAAAGTTCAGCTGGTTAATTTCTAAACGTCCTTGACCTCTTCACATGCCCTGCCACCTATCAGTGAAAAATTGGAATTCATTGATTGATATTTTGCGACCTATCATCCTCATTCTATGATTTTCTTACTTTTACAATGTTTCGTTTGTCTTTTAGTTATTTCTACATAGATATAGCTAATGCTACAAAACTCAATTCTGAAAGCAATTTATTATTAATTATTTATTAATATTATTAAAAAATAAGAACTGATTTTGCTATAACTATTAGTGATATTAGTTTTTCAAACCTGATCTATTAAAAGCCCGGATGTAATCAGGAAGTAAACAAAAGTTCAAAATATAGTTGCAAATCTGTCAACAAAACCAAGGAATTAACGTATTTAGATACAAAATCAGCCATCGAACGGATGAGGATATATTGATCAATATTGTCGGTATAATTAGGACGGAAGAAAGTAGCAGAAAAGTCAACATAAGAGCCACGACTAGAAGTAAAAAAATACTGATTTTTGCAATAATTTTTTTCAAAAATTTTTGACATTGAAAAATGCTGTGGCAGGATTTTGAAGGAGAACGTTATCCAATGAATGATACAGTTAGATCACCACTAGCAGGACTTCCCAAAGCTCTTTTTCAGCATCCCAAAAGTATTTTAAGAACTCTAAACTCTAGTATTACAGATTTGATTTGTCGGCCGACACAATAGATTCTCTAGAGGTTACGCAATAGCCTAAAGATCCCCTACTTCAAAATAAATTCCACAGCCACAGCAGCTTATGTCCATTTTATTAAAAAATACCATCCAACAGATTCTAGTCATATAGTTATACTTGGTATAGTTCCTGATCTTATACGTCTTCGAAGAAAAACACTGTTCTGTTCTCATACAAACTAACAAAGCAATATGAAGCTGCTGGAAAATTCAAAGTTTGAGGCGTTGAATATGGCGTTATCTACACAGGCAAATGATCAGAGCAGGATAGATGGCAGGTGAGTTACAAATATACCATCTCTCCAAAAATATATAACTACTCAGTACTGTGTTGTCTACCTATTAATTCATGGACTGTCTTGAATCAATCACCACAGACTTTATTTCAGAAATTCAAGTCCCTGATAGTAAATTATCAAATTTGACCGTATATACAGTGATTTTTTGCTACCTCCATGTACTCTAAGGCAGAACAGGTTTACTTTACTAAGTTTAATTAAACATAATAATTCAAAGGTTTTGATAATCCTGTATTAGTTTTCTAAGGAAATAGCTACAGGATTTTGACTGCTCAAAATACTGGTAGTAAAAATCAAAGTTTTCAGTTTTGCATCTAGAACTTAGTGCTAAATAATGCTAGAAGTGAAACAAGAAAATGGATGTGTAAATTGTCTGATGGTCAGACAACTAAAAAGAAGATAAGATGTATCACAACAGACCTCGACTCATCATATTAATTTTGACATGCGGTTCCTTGTCGTTAGTAAACTAGAGCTCAGCTCAACCCCTCCCCAGGGTTCTGTCTCTAGATATATAATTTTTATCATGTTTATTTGATAAATATTTATTTGGCAACCACTATTAAAGTAGCAAGCTGTAGCGATAAACTTGACAATTTAGATTACTCTGCTCTGCTTAATCTGTATAATTTTTATGTTCATCAAGGTTAAAGCAGCATGACATGCTCTACATATACAGTGTAAAGTGTATAATTTATCACTTGTTTATCTGGTATGAAAGTTCACTTAAGTTTTCTCACTGACTGGCTACCCTAGTACCCTTCTTCTTGCAAGTAATGTTATAATCATTATAAAACATTCTGTTTATCATTTTTTAAGTTCAGTCAATCACAAAGTGCTTCATTGAATACTCATATAGGAAAATGTTGTTATTATTGAACTTATACATCAAGGTGGCAAATCAGGTTAAGTTGAATATTTATTAATTCATAGTAAATTACTGAGTGACTCCAGCTAAAAAATAAATAAAAACAAGAAAAACTGACTCATAAACTTGGTTATGCTGGAGGAATTGAAGGCAACATGTGGCTAATGTAACCACCTGTGAAGCAAAATCTGACATCTGTTTTCTACAAATACACCATCAAGGCCTTGGAACTTGTATATTTACCTGGTGCCAAAATAACTCCCAAAAGTTACTTGCTTGCTTTGGTAACAACTTAAGTGTATTCAAACCACAGACTTGTATCAATTCAAGATTCACTGCCTAGAATATAATGATGATTTAGAAATTGAACATTATTTGTTCAGAATTTCATGTATTGTCTCAAATGAATAAATGAGATGATTGTTTTAAGCATAGAATAGGGTAACCATATATTTTTTTTAGTAATATCATGAGATTATTCCAAGACAATTAGCACAAATCACTAATGGTAAAAATTATAAATTGGTAAATAAATAAATAATAAAAATGGTAGAAATTTATAACTAGACTACTTTGGCAAATTGCAAGTTTCAACTCCTGTCATCATATGTAAAATCAAATCCTTTACACTTACAGGGGTGTTAAAACCATATGTTAATATCAATTAAATGCCTGGCTTGTTGTTGATAATTACATGTATGGCTGGAGGGTCTTATTATAACACCTGGATCACCTGTCATGTTGTAATTTGGTTACTGTTCATCTCCTGGCTTCAAGTCAAGTAGGCCATCCATCTTATCACTGTATTCAACATTTTCGGGAATTCAAATCTAAATTAGTGATACTAGAATTGTCAACATAGTTAATTTTTACCTCTCAGTTTTCCACATTCTTATATAAAACCGGACCTAGTTAGGAAATACCTCTCAATGAATGCCTCTCAACAAAGCCTGGTTTCGGCTATGTTATATACAGAGAGCTCTTCCTCATATTTTCTGTGTAATAATTTATTCCTTATACTTGTATTATTATCTCCTGAGGTTATAATTTATGAACATTTAAAAAACATTTTATTTTTTTCCAGGGTTGAGAGCTACTCCTGCAAGATGGCAGGTAATGACAAGAAGCTGTTCAAAATGATACAGTCTGAGGATGGTCTAGCCCCCAATGACCTGCAGGCCTTGTCGCCTCCACAAAGCACTTTATCACTCAGTCCATCAAGGTGAGTTGGTTAAGAAATTTCAGAAATTTAATTCAATATTTGAAAATAGAATTCTAATGTGTTTTGGTGTTCATTCACTGAGAAAACATAAAATACATTTCGGGGGTTATAATATTGTGGTAAATACTCAGAATTCCCCAAGAGTTTGAGCATTTCAGTCAGTTTTATGCTGGCACCTCTTTGTTATATGATTTAATGTCTGAAGCGAATAAATAACAATGTATTGAAATCCTGTTTTTCACGTTTCATTCACTTCTATATATGTTATTAGAACCTTCAGTGTGAAGTTCTTTTGATGAAGAATATGAACACTTTTAGCTAATTTCACACCAGACAGACTGCTTTAAATTGTAAAATTTATGATTATATTTTGCAGTAAGGAGTCGCTGAATCAGTTTATAATCCTAATTTTCTATGAAGTGGCTTCAAAGTTCAATTTTAAATTATACGAGTACATAATGTTTATATGCAAATTCAAGTTGTAATAAACCATTGACATGTAGTTATTTTGTGTCTAATTATCACTCATGAATTTAATATATAGTGCATCAACTACATAGTGAATCAACTTGTATTTTCAGAGCATACAGCCGCAGTTTTAGTGATGAAGATAAGAGCCCCCTATGTGACACAATCAGTACTAAAACTCTGTTCTATCTGATTGGCACCCTCAATGCATCATTCAACCCTGACTATGATTTCAGTAGAGCCAAAAGTTCAGAATTCAGCAAAGAGCCCAGTGTACAGGTAGAGTCATTTGAAGATTATTAAAACATCAATTTTTTAAAATAATTTCCCGCAATCACCTCCAAAGTCGCAATTCATTGCTTTATAACATCAATTAGATTGAAGGTGTGAATGTGTTGCCTATGTGATGTACCTTGTTGCTTTAATACTCAGGGGAAATCACTGTTGGATGTATTCATGAATTCACACATGAATACATAAGTAATGTTGACCTATTTGATTTTTGCAGTGGGTGGTGAACTCCATAGATAATCAACTGTTTGCCACAGGGGGTGAATCATTTAACACCCTCAAGCCGCAGTTCTGGGCCACACTGGATGAGGAAATCTCATTAGTGGAATGCGACGTGTATAGGTGAGTGACATATTGCAAAAGAACTGCCAATACCATATTTTTTCCTGCTTTCTCAAAATATATATTCATATATAATGAAATTAACATGATTTCCGTAAACCTTTTCTCAAGATTTCTGAAATTGCCCGAAAACCTTAAAGTATAAAAAAAACATCATAAATATATCAAAGTTCTGAATTCTTTGAATAAGTCTCAAATTTAATTATTGTATGACTATTTGTTTCAGTTACAACCCTGACTTGGCGTCTGATCCTTATGGGGAAGATGGCTCCATATGGGCTTTCAACTATTTCTTCTACAACAAAAAAATGAAGCGAATTGTTTTCTTCACATGCAGGGCTTCCAGGTACTTGAGAGTGTGAATATTTATATCACTTATAATAGTCCTTACATTTTCAAATGTTTGATATTCAATTGATATACTTTGTACATTCGTAATCTTTAACAAACAGTTCTCATAACATGACCTTTCTCAATCTAAATCTCAATCAAATTTAAATAGGACTATTAATGACTTACAAAGAAAATTAAGACAGGATAATTAAGATGATCCTAGCCATGTTATAACATGTAAGAATGTAAAAACTACCCCTCCTTCAAGCTGAGTCAACATATGAAACTTAGAAAATATTATTTACAGGGTGGGCCAAAAAAAACAATACCCAACTTCAATTCAGGATAAAAATAGTTAGATTCAATATGGTACATTGACTTACATATCATTTTAAAGGTTATACAATTCTAAACATTTGGTATATAACAATATGTCATGAAATCAAAAGTGAAGTTTTATTATACTTATTTGGGAGGCCGGGTTGCTATTTAAGGTCTCCAGATTTAAGGGAGAAAAAAGTAAATCTGCGGAATTCTGCTAATTTTTTTTTATAAAATATCATTCTTTTGTAAGGTGAATACATGCTTGGATATTGATATTTGCATCATTGTGTGACTAAATTTATTGTTTATGAATTCCAGTGTTGTTTAATAAGATTTTACACTTTATTTATTTAAACAATTTTTACAATTGCTCAATATACCCCACACCCTCCCCTCAGCATCAACAATAAGCTTCAAGTGGTAGCGCAATGTATCAATAGCCTTATTGAGAGATTTCTGTTGCAATTCATTTCAGCACTTTAGGATTCTGTTTCATCTCATCAATGCTTTTGATTGTACCATTTCCTTGAGATGAATGGAATGAATGGTAATCAAACACATTAGCATCGAGGCTGTTGGGTGGCCAAGCATCAAGATCAATCAAATTGACACCTTGTTTGCAAAGAAATGCCAATGTCTCTATGCTTCGAGGCAATGTCTTGTTGGAAAATAAAATCCTCGTCCCATATACGTTTAATGTATTTTAACAGACCCCCATTTGAGTACTTATTGATAATAAACAACACTAAAATTCATATACAATAAGTTAAGTCACACAACTATGCAAATATACATGGATGTATTCACCTAACAAAATGATATTCTATAAATAAATAAAAAATTAACATTATTCCGCAGATTTACTATTTTCTCCCTAAAATCTGGATACCTTAAATACCGACCCGGCCTCCCAAATAAGCATAATAAAACTTAAATATGGATTTCATGACATAGTGTTATATACCAAATTGTTCGAAAATGGATTACCTTTAAAATGATATATAAATCAATGTATAATATTGAACATAGCTGTTTTCATTCTGATTTAAAGTTGGGTATTGTTTTTTTTGGCCCACCCTGTATTTAATAATTTGTCTCTCCTTGCAGTGCCCTCTCTAACTATTCTGACAGTGGGCTGGGGAATGATCTAAGCATGGACATGGAGGATGATGATTGGTAAGATTCTAGCATGTTTATTTTTCTGTTTCTCTATATATGGTGAAAATGTTGTGTTAGAGAGGCAGGAGCTCAAATTCAATGCATGAGCACCCCTCTTCTTACAGTCATACATACATATGTCTCAGGACTAAAATACTATGGTTAAAGCTTCATGGTTGGTTGTATGTTTATGCAATCAAACTATAAAATGAGACCATTACAAGGAGGACTTTTGTTATCTGTCTATTTTGATTTACTTGTATTAGAAATATGTAAATAATAGAGAGGTCTATTGAGAGCAAAATAATGACCTCAGTTGCTTATTAATTTGGAGTTAACCTAGAAAAGTAAAACAGAGTGAATATGGTATAATGCTTAAAATGTGCATTGTGTTGTGTTATTGCAGCATAGAGGAAGATGTTTATTAGACGACAAAGAATAATGCTATATGGCTATATTAGGGGCAAATGTACCATGTACACCTGTTATGTGAAAACATTTCATCAACATCTTTGTGCACCAAATATGATCTACATCTGTGGCAAGAAGTTAGCATCTGCAGCTGTAGAAAGTATGGATACAGTGTATGCAGTTTAGGGGAAAACAAAACTACAGCTGTATAGGAGAAATATCAATCACATTTATGTGTGTGGCCCATGATTTAGAGCTGCATATGATCCAGATGGCCCTGTTTGTTATTGTTATACATAGATGTAGTTAAAACGTGTCAATGTTAGAGTTGCTCTGTATATAGCATCTTTTTCACCTTTCAGCTGTTAACACAGTCTCTATAGCAACTCGATGTATGTAAAGGGAGTACTAAGCTTGTATTAGGTTGCTATGGTGATAATTAAACTTACTTATGGATGAGTGGATGAGTATGATAAGATTGTTAATCTTAAAAAGAGGCTGTAACAATATTAATGTATTGTGCAATGTATTGTTATTGACATGTATGTACTTAACATGTTATGTACATGTTGACATGTATGTTATGTACAGTTAGTTGTACAGTGTTTGTGTATGTACCATGTACATAATTTCAACATATTCTGTTATTTCATTTGAATTGAAATCTCCCACCAATAATGTGAGCATGCAGTGACATCTATAGTTGTAGACCCTGCAAACATCACAATTTATGGAAATCAAAGCTATGGATAAAATTGTACAAAAATTGTATATGACTTGAGTCAAGATAATGAAATAGTTGATATAGACAATTCATTGCAACAATTCAACAATGACTGATCTTATCTTGTACTATGGGATAGTAAACATGTACAATAAACATATACAATAGATAGATAGACATGTACAATGGATCTGAAATATCGACATGGGATATTTACAGAGATAATTTATGAACATGTACAATGAGTTTGTACACTGACAATAAATGTGTAAAGTGAAAATGATTGTGTACAATAAATGTACAATTATGCGGAAGATGCGGACCATTTAGATCTCATCAGATGATAGAGATTACGGGCAATAGTGAGTGAGAAAAGTCACATTATAAACAAAGAGCAGTCAGACATATAGCGTTACATAAGAACTGAAATGCTTAAAAAGGCAGTGTAAATGAATTTGTATCATTAGTTTGAGAAAGCGGTGCTGAAAAGATTTCCACGAGGTGTGAGAATCTTCATAGCAACTATTTTGAAATAGTTCTAAATGAGTAATGACATATTAATAACTTGTAGGTATTTCACCCATCCATCCAAACACTATTATGTTCGTGATTTTAATGTGTATTGTGTAGATATAACTTCATCACTATTAATATTATACTTATGAACAGTGAAGGAATTATATTTTAAAGTATTGAATTTGATCATTGTATCAGAAAGGTACATTCAATATTTTATTTAAAATTGCATTTGTTATATTGTAACATAATTTTAAATTTTAAAATGCTTAAATTTCCATTGACGGAAATATTGGAATTGAGGGGTGTTCAATAAATGTGGAATCAGTGTATCTTCTCGTATTGTATAGTTATTGAATAACCCAGAATTCTGAAAACATTTACAAAAGGTCTAATGGTTTCTTTGTGTATAAGAATACAGTGTTGATACTGAGTATGAAATAGTGATCAGTTATTCACGAACAAATGTATATAGCGGTTCTTATTTTATGTCAATTTTATCGATACAAAAATATTTATTTACATTGCTTTACATTATAAAAATATATGTAAATGTAAGCGCAATAAAGATTTTTATCAATTGTGCTTTCCAAAGTAAAGCTTTATATTTAGATTGTTTATTACATTGGATAATGCTTTTCTTGCCGCTCTGTTCCAGCTATAAATATAAGGTCATAACAAACTATTCGCTAAATTTAGTTTTTCTGTAATGTATAAACTTGTTCTTGGGATAGTTTTTTATGTAAAATTATTTTTGAGATATATGTATTATATTTTACCATAAAGAAGCAGGGCATACATCCATTCCTCACTTATATGGTAAATAGAGAATCGTGGGAATGGAGCCTCTGGGTCTCTTCTAGTATTTAAGGGAATTATGGGAACGATAGGCCTCCCCTGTTGAATTTATTACATTAATTAGTATTATGTTACTGGACATCTATTATTGGGAATGTTCGGTGCTATATTTATTTATGTGAAGTTACAAGTGGCAATACACTCTATTGTACAACAACAAACACTAGCTCAAGAGGAATACAAATTGCTATAGTGAAAATGAGTAATTCATTCATTTAAAATGGGGATTGCACTTGCAAAGACCTTAGTTTGAGATATTTTATGTTGTACTAAAGATAGCATACGGGATAAAACAATGTACTCCTCTTGAAATCACTTGCTAAATGCGCTACTTCTTTGTGAAGATAGTATTACTTTTTATTTAGCCATTTTGAAAAATTCAAAGACTGAAGCAACCATTTTGTACTCCTCCGGTGTAATGATGCATCAGAGAAGTACAAAATTGGTAGTAATTTAATAATCTGAGAATTCAGAAGTCACTTTGTATTGTGATTGGATGAAATTGTCAGATTGGAGTTCAAATGAACACAACTGTTCACATCAAACAAAGATGTTAAATGTTGTATACTGCACAGTAACTAACAATATGGTGAAAAATGCAAGGATTTTCCAAAAAAGTTCTTTGTTGTATTTTCCACCATGCTGTTCCTTGGATTCTCCATCATTTCAGCTAGTTATAGATGGAAACATTAACTGTTTGAATGTCGAGTAAATATAAGATAGAATATTAGAATAGACATTAAGACAGTTTTGTGTGTTTCCAAATGTTTATTTATTTAGTCACAATATGTCAGTGTAAATAAGGTATTTTAGGAAATATAGTTTTAAATCAAATATAAAATAAGTGTGATGTTTTACAACAATAAATATAGTTATACAAATTACATTATTGGAAGAGAACTTAAAAATAACAAGCTCATTAACACAGATTCATCCGGTGTTCATGGAAATAAAAACACAAATTTTCAAAAGGTTGCTTGGCAACAAGAGGGTTATGATTGAAAATTCATGTATTTTAATGGTCTATATCTTTTCATTAATCTAACTTAATAACTTGAAATTAACGAAATGTGTTGGGCAAGTGTGGGCAACCATCCAGCAAAATGGGCCAAAATAAAGAAAATACAAATGACACGTTTGTTATCTATAACAATTTTAGTCCTTTCAAATTACACAAATATTTTATGCTTTAATTCCTCATATTGCAACAAAAATATTTAAAGCAAAATGTGATAAACAATACTACATAAATATACTACATAAGTTGCAATCACTTAACAATATATGTAAATAACATTAAACAGACCAATACAAAAGAACATGGAACAATATAAACATGGAGATATTTGGTGATACAGGTTCTTCTGTAAACTATGAGATAACAAAAACACAGGATATACAGGGTGGCCAAAAAGTAGGTTTACAGAGAGAGATTGTTGAATAAGTGTTGACATACTTTTGGGTTACCAAGTATATTAAATTATGAGGCCAATAAGCCGATCAGATCACTAGAAATTTCACCATCAATGAATTAATTACGTATTATATATTGGTTTAATAGAAATACCAAATTTTTCTTTAAGTAATTTTGATCTGCCTTATTTTAGGACTAGATATTTTTAAAATGACTTTCTTTTACAAAATGAAGATTTAAATATATTGAGGTAAGATAAATCAAATCATGAAAACGTTGATTTATGTAAAAAAAAAACATTCTACATAGTTCAGTGGTCATCAATCGTCTTATAAACATTGCATTGTACATGTTGTAATGTAGATTTTGATCCACTATTATTATACATGTTGTCATGCATTGTATATGTTTTAATCCAGTGTACACATTCTGATTAATTATGCAAATCTTAATGCATTGTACATGTTGTCATGTATTGTGCATGCTTTAATGCATTGTACATGTGACACATCATATATGTTTAAACGCATCACACTATGTTCTTTATCTATACAATATCTTGCATCAATGAAAAGTGAACACAAAATTCAGCTTGACATGTGACACTACTTACACCCGTCATCATTGCCAGCCTTCATTGGCAAAATTATGTGGTAATAATCCACTTACATTAAGAAGAATACCAGTAGTGAATACAGTGTAAGTTGCATGTCATACTGATGGAGTACATAAGGGAAACAACCTACAGAACTAATGACTAGATAGGTTCTTTGGCAAATAAGCCACTGGATACAGTTAAATGAAATGACCATTAGCATCAGGCCCGTAGCCAGATTTTGCCAATGGGGGATCAGTTTTTTTAAAAATTCCTGCTGGGTTCAAATTTGACCCAAAATCACTTGAAAAGTGCTCAAAATGCATGATTTTGAATGAACCCCTGAACCCACCAACCCCCTCTGGCTTAAGGGGCCTGAACATAGTCACATTCTCCTGATCAACTGTGTCAGTATACTGGCTAATCAGAAAATTGCACATCTTAATATGGTAGGTATCTCCCTTGGCATGTTTCAGTGTTAAACAGCTGTTTGAAGTCATACAACCAATAAATTAACAGATCTTAATCTTAAGAACTAATGTTGTACTTTCCACATAATCTCAATGCAGTATATTAAGTAACTATGTGTACTTAGAAGTGAATTGCACATTACAGTTTGTTATCCCTCTTCCTCTTGGTATAACAGGTTTTTGAAGCTATACTTCACACCCTTATATATTAACAGATCTATCTATCCCCTACAACCTTCTGAAGCTGTGATATGAAAATTGCACATTTCCCTTCCAATATTTACAGATTTATGCACTATGAAATACCCAAACACAATGACCAAAACACATTTCATTTTCACCTAGGAATATGGGAATAGGAAATATATACAACATGATCTCAAAAACATTTTCTGATTCAGAAACTAAAGTTCTAGAAATGATTTCTGTTCTCGAACACTCACTATTGTTTAATAATAACTCTACAAGTCGTCATGAGGACAAGACAAAAATTTTGATGGCAAGATTTATGTGACTCCCACCCCCACACCCTCCAACCCAGCGGCCCAAGACAACTCAGCATTTTTTCAAAATGCAATAAAAATGAGCTCCTTGAAAGTACATGCAGCCCCTCCAAAAAAGTGAGGTCTTGCATTCACATATGATTTTAACTTTTCAGAGACAGTTACCTAAGTTTAGTACATGTATATTCCATTATATGGTGTGCATCTTCGACTCACTTATCATCTTTGTCAAACATAAAGCTGCAGTCTATTACTATGCTCTGTCTAGAATTATAGTGGGCACGAAAATCTTGTATTGCCACTTAACAGTAAAGTATATACCTTTAATATAAAAGTCCTGTCTTCAGGTATGGTATTCCATGTCTTATTCTATGTCTTATTCCAAAATTCCATATGACAAAATGAACACTACATTGGCAAATCCTGAAGCACATCTTCTGGTCAGTGGTATATTAATTATGGACCCACAAATTTGATGTTAAAATTCCTCCTCAGCACTCTGTATGATGTCTTTCAGTCTGTAGCGCTGATATTGAGCACATGTGCGCCATCTTTTATAAGCTGCAACAGCTGTGTAAGCGTATAGCATGACACAAAGGTAGGCAAGACCCTGAAAATAGTAAAACAAGAACACAAATAATCATTTTGAAATGACAAAAGAGCACAAGAAAACTATTACAACTCCAAAAAGCAACATTTAGTACTCAATATTGATATTCCTTGAAAGCTAAATAGTAAATATCTTTATCCTGAACTGAGGCTGAAATTGGTGAAAAAAGATAGAACAACCTTATTATAGTGGAGTATGTTTTGTTTAAGTAAAATTTCCTAGATAATTCATTCCCCCCAGCCTTCCTTAATAAAACACTTTATCCTACACTTTGTGTGCTATATGTATAATAACAACAAAAAATAAATTTCATATCATGACAATTTACTCCGGGAACCAATATGCGGCGGATATCGTGATGATATACTCCGATTCTTGATTAAGAACATCCTATGACTTTTTCAGAATATCATTTTAATCTACTCGGTGATATTGATATATTTGCTTCTCTCTGTCTCTCGTGCAGATATCAATATCACCTCGTAGATAAAAATGATATTCCTCAAAATCATAGGATATCCTATAAATATCTTACTGTAGTTATATAAAGTTGGTCACTAGTCCAGGTAGATAGGAACTTCTCCGAGGCAGTGTAGCAAATGATGGAACCCCCAACAAGGTACAAGACAGAATACACACTGTAGATCACCAGATCCTGGAAGAAGAATTTAATGCATATTATTAACCAATCATTTAAAATGGGAAGGTGAGTCCATGTTGATGTTGGATCTCAAGTTTTTAACAAGTTGTAAAGATGTCAGTAGCAGCATAAGGGCATTAGATTTTGGTATGCTTAGAGCAATCTAAATTTCAGTTTGCTGTCTAATAGAGTAAAGGAAGAAGGGATAGATATTGTACAGATGCAATGTGTCCCTTACAATCCTTATTACATTTATTATATTTTTGGATATCTCATTTTCAAACCATCCACTATCAGATAACCTTATAAAACGAAGGATTATGAATCCTGAACTGAAATCAGAACTTGGGTGGACCTTTTAAAAAGCAGGAATGCCAGAATGAAAAATATTGTAAAAATTGTGACATTTTTCAAAAGTTGCTCTCAACCTGTCTCTGTCTCTAAGTATTGTACTACCTTTAATTCAATCAAAATGTTCTAAGGGCAACATAACACAACCCAATCCCTACAAACTAATGTACGAGCGATAATTTATTTGATATTATTTGCTTTTGAGTGATATTATTTTCATAAATGAGCTCATATCATACCAGTCCAGTGAGCAAAACTATTTAATATCATCTAATAACATTTTACGTAATACTAAATGTCATCTCTACTTCCAAATTATATTGTCAGATAAATACCCCAAAGATGGTGTTTAGATGGTGTTTACATTTCAAGGTTTCTAAATATATGAGAAACATGGGAGGTCCAAGATAGTGTTCACATTGAGAGGTGTTCACTGTTCAGATTAATGAGATGTTCAATATACAGGTACTGTATGTTTTACTGTATGTTTATCAAACTCAGTCTAAAACACAATCTCACAAAGACAATCAACAACCAGAGACTGTAATTAGCTCACATGCCAGTGAATGAACTTCCACAGCTTAATATCAATTTGAGGTATAAGATTAAAAGATATCCTATGGGGAGAAGGGAAATGACATTGACTCTTTGCTAATTTCTTCTAAAAACAAAATCTAGGAAACTTGGCTGCGCTAAACATGTAACATTCCCAGGCAAATTGATTAGTTTCCTTTGACTCTTAGGAACATTTACGAGATAATCATGTAATTCTACATTAAAATGGAAATAACAAATTGAAATAACAAACCAGGAATATTTGGATTTGCACTATAAACATACAAGAATTGATTCAATGTGTATTTTGCATCAGAAATATCAGAATTAAAAGGAACATGGTAGATTTTTTGAATAGGTTTATTTTTATTGTAAGCCCTCTCAAGTCAGCTATAAAATCTGACATGTTTTTCTTGCGTTGGATTAAATCATAGAGCATTAGGTTTCCTAATCTGATAGATACGCCTCAGGCGTGATACTGAGAATCAGTAGAAAACTACAATGAAAGATTTTTGATCCAGCAAGGTATTTCACTTAATGGGTTGAAAAACAGAAAATGGAACAATTAACACATAAAAATGATTAATGCAGAGGGACATGCAAGCTTTTCCTTCATCTCTCCATAATGCCCCCCCCCCCTATCATTAAGATTACATGAATGTCTCTGTAACTGGAAATTGAAAATAACTTGATCCTCATGTAAATATATATGACCATATTTGGTCTCATGTCAATCTATATGATCATATAAGGCATCATATAAATATATATGACCATATATGGTAACATATCAAAATACATGATAATAATGTATGGGTGGTCTCATGTTTATATATATGACCATACATAGCATTATGTAAATATATATGACCATATATGGTCTCATATCAATATAAATGATCATATATTGTCTCGTGTCAATAAATATAACCATATAGCTGCAGCATCATGTAAATATGTATGACCATATATGATCTCATATTAATATATATGATCATATATGGCACCATGTTAATATACAATGGCATCATATTATATATTACTATATATAGTCTTGTGTTAATATTTATGACCATATATGGCCTCATGTCAGTCTTTTACTTCATTCTTTGTCACTCTATTTTGCAATTATATGTATTAATGTGATAGCTAAGCATGACATTTTTTATAGAGGTTGGGTTTTATCTCGACTTTATATCAAATTAGAGAGGATAAGGACAATAAATCTTCATCTAAACTGTAATTGTAGGAAATCATGCAAATATTTAATTCACTCTGATTTCAACAACTTTGTTTGAACTACAAGCCTGTAATTTCATATCTGATCGAGATTATCATGCATTTGAATTCAGTGAAGGAGATGATAATATTCTGTTCCACAGTAAAATAATGATATAATATGTGACTATCTGATATGTGACTTTCTTTGACACTAGAGCCAGGCAACTTTTCTAGACAATACGTGTCACAGGGGTGTACCATATTCTCTCTAATAGATGCACACCCGACTTTTCCAAGAAAGACTGGCAACTTGAGTTACAAAAAATCAAGAAAATGTTTTTAAAAATTCGAAATATTGACTGGGCGATAATAGGGCTAGCATTAAATAATTCACTTTAATGCACTTTTAAAAAAGTAATATGCTAGATTTCATGAAAGAAACCTAATCTCCAAATGTATCTCATTTCAAATATGAAATCTCTACAATGTTTGATTTAAGTTGATCAGTGATATTTCTTCAAAGCAGATGCTACTGAGTCTAATTAAGCCGGGTTTGATCTGGAGAAGGCAACAACCAGGTTTTATAGTTCGACGCAACCCAGACATAAGCAATCAAAATGATGGAATCATTCTTGCAGAGATGATGACAATACTTTAATAATAATGAGACAACAATAATATCTTTAGTAAAACATTTCAGCAACAACAAATGGAAATGATAAATTCCTGCAATCTGCAACCAATATTTCAGTATCTTCAAATTGCATTGGATTTTAATGTTACTTCCATGACTAATGCTCTGGTTCCATCGCGATAGCAGCGCCCCCTTTGTCTTTATCCTTCCAAAGTGGGGCTCTGGCATACCAGAATGCTCTGGTTCATTCAGTGCTAACATTGCTAAGTTAGTTGCTGAACTGGCAATACGAAGGTGATTTAACACAAATTGGTGCCTACTAGGTGCAAGTCAAATTGTTATCATAATACAGTATAATATGTTTTTCAGTATTCCATATAAAATGCCTCCAAAATCACAAACCTACTTTTCCTGTTTTAGCAAAACCTAGAAAAATGGCAGGATGGACTGATAGAGAAAGGAAGTCTATATCCCCCATCAGCCTACCAAAAATATATTAATAGTGTAATATGTCAGTCTATGAGAGATAACAAAATAAGGACCCAGAAAAAGTGTTCATATTGAGAGGTGTTCAGATTAGAGAGGTGTTCAGATATACAGGTTTCACTGTACTAACTGGAAAGTACCATCTGTGTAGAAAAAGTGTTAAAATTGAGAGGTATTCAGATTAGAGAGGTGTTCAGATATACAGGTTTCACTGTACTAACTGGAAAGTACCATCTGTGTAGAAAAAGTGTTCAAATTGAGAGGTATTCAGATTAGAGAGGTGTTCAGATATACAGGTTTCACTGTACTAACTGGAAAGTACCATCTGTGTAGAAAAAGTGTTCAAATTGAGAGGTATTCAGATTAGAGAGGTGTTCAGATATACAGGTTTCACTGTACTAACTGGAAAGTACCATCTGTGTAGAAAAAGTGTTCAAATTGAGAGGTATTCAGATTAGAGAGGTGTTCAGATATACAGGTTTCACTGTACTAACTGGAAAGTACCATCTGTGTAGAAAAAGTGTTCAAATTGAGAGGTATTCAGATTAGAGAGGTGTTCAGATATACAGGTTTCACTGTACTAACTGGAAAGTACCATCTGTGTAGAAAAAGTGTTCAAATTGAGAGGTATTCAGATTAGAGAGGTGTTCAGATATACAGGTTTCACTGTACTAACTGGAAAGTACCATCTGTGTAGAAAAAGTGTTCAAATTGAGAGGTATTCAGATTAGAGAGGTGTTCAGATATACAGGTTTCACTGTACTAACTGGAAAGTACCATCTGTGTAGAAAAAGTGTTCAAATTGAGAGGTATTCAGATTAGAGAGGTGTTCAGATATACAGGTTTCACTGTACTAACTGGAAAGTACCATCTGTGTAGAAAAAGTGTTCAAATTGAGAGGTATTCAGATTAGAGAGGTGTTCAGATATACAGGTTTCACTGTACTAACTGGAAAGTACCATCTGTGTAGAAAAAGTGTTCAAATTGAGAGGTATTCAGATTAGAGAGGTGTTCAGATATACAGGTTTCACTGTACTAACTGGAAAGTACCATCTGTGTAGAAAAAGTGTTCAAATTGAGAGGTATTCAGATGAGAGAGGTGTTCAGATATACAGGTTTCACTGTACAAACTGCTAAGTACCATTTGTGTATAATCTCACACAGCAACTGGCGCATTTGTATTGAACATTATAATCTAAGTATCATTTTCATAGTGTTATAATTATAGCATGTTAGGGCTGAGGTTTATTCTAAGAGGAATTATATTACAAGAATTATATCCAATATTGTATTATGTATTCATAAGATTAACTTGAAGTATAATACAGTATCACCCTATGCAGATGGGGCTTGCAGAAAACGCTCAGTGTGGATATATCCACGCATGGTGCAGATTTAATAGTCATTTTTCAATTTAGATTTGTGATAACACCCGCTAAAATCCTTCAGGAATCTCTCCTTTAATGCTTTATTCACAAATACATGCTCGATCTAGTTTTCTGCATGAGAAAAATGTAGATTCTGCGCAGAAATTCTGCAAATACTGCGATAAATTCTGCAAGCAACACCTTCATCAGTGCTATCACAAAATTGCAACAAATTCAAATTTCGTGACATATTAGACGTAATCTTTAGGTACAAAAGGCAGAAGTTTGAGAATTTTAAACATATTTCATATTTCTTCTTGGAAATCCTCACAACACCAGTTTCTGATGACAAGGTGAGAGTGTCAAATATAAATTATGTCGTTTTTCTGCATTCTGCGGAATCACAGAATTCTAGTATCAGTGATTATTACACATTTGGGGAGAACTCTTCGAGCGAGTTTATTAGGCCATAAAATATGATGCAAGGAAATATATTGGTATCATATATTATACATTCAATTGGTATGGCAATATTATAGATGCTGATGAGGCTTAATCGAATAAGAATTGCACAAGAAGTAGCGTAGAGGAAGTCTAGCTACTCAGGAGGCTTCAAACTATAATTATTGGATGACATGACATGACACATCTTACCTAACAACCCATGACTGGAAAGAGAGTGCTTAATACATAGTTTGATATTACAGTCTGGGGCAGTGAAAATGTGAATCTAACAGATTCTATAAAAAGAACCACAGTTAAAAATTAAATGGAAAAATAAATTATCTTTTTAGCTGCATTTATATTTTATTTGTATACATATACAAATATAAAAATTTATTTTGTATATAGTTTACCAGAGCTCTCACCAGGAAATATTTAGGGTGTGGTAGAAATATCTTCAGCATAACCATTCAATTGTGATCAATCATATTTATGTTATATTTTATAGAGTGTGGTGCTGCACCACAGTCTAAATAGAGTGTGGTGCTACGCCACAGTCTAAATTGAGTGTTAGCGAGAGCCCTGGTTTACTTTACGTTTGTATATTTAGGTTTACTTGTGGTTTGGAAACACTGCATAGCTTTGCATATATCCGCTGAGTGTACGAGACTTAAGTAGAAATAAGCAAATCAAACTATTGGAACATGCATCCTGATACTCGGACCATGTCTGCCATGCAAGGAATTTTCTAGAAGGAAAGTGATAAGGGGCTGTGATATATCACGATGTGAGAAATGTAGTCTCTGCAAAGGTGTGTTGCAAGGGTGCTAAACAATGTGGAGTCCACACCACTAAGTCTATAATACAATGTGGTTGGAAATGATAACTAAAGATAAAGAGGCAATTTCATTCATCATTTCTTTACTATGAATTATAGCCTGAAGTCATTGATGTTGTTTAACAGAAAATAAGTAAAGGCAAAGGACGTCAATGTCAGTTGCATGTCTGAGCTGTATGAATATAATCATCTCTCCCTTTCAATGAAAAACGAAAATTTATAGAAAAAATATAACAAAGGCAATTTACATACATGTAGTCACAGGATATAAAAATATAAAAATAGATGCATAATTCTAATTTTGTATTAAAGTTGAACCACTGGGAAATATTTTCATAGATTTTCAATTGATCGCCTTAGAGCCCCACAAAGAAGAGATTAGTATTGTCAAGGTTTTAAGACCACTAATAACTTCCTGTTTCAAGACAATGCACACAGCGCTACATTTATTCCCAATAAATTATGTTATTACTGTTAACCAATACTCCAAGTAGCGATTAGCGATGCTATTATCAGCGTACAATTTGTTATTAATGACCTTTAGTAAAACCCCACAATGCTTAATCAGGCTAAAAATAGAAAATGAGGAGTACATTTAAGCATTGTAGAGTTATTGGTCTTCAGTCCAGCTCTTGCACTGCCCCTATATCTACCTCCTCAATATTAATTCTCCAGGATAGAGGGGAGGGGGGTAGAAAGCAGGGGGAGAAAACCTTACCTACCTCCTCAATATCAATTCTCCAGGGTAGAGGGGAGGGGGGTAGAAAGCAGGGGGAGAAAACCTTACCTACCTCCTCAATATCAATTCTCCAGGGTAGAGGGGAGGGGGGTAGAAAGCAGGGGGAGAAAACCTTACCTACCTCCTCAATATCAATTCTCCAGGGTAGAGGGGAGGGGGGTAGAAAGCAGGGAGAGAAAACATTAACTTCCTCCTCAATACTACTGCATGTATATTTATTTCCCCGCTATGAATATATAAATAGGCAAAAACAATGGAACCTTCATTCAGCTCTTGATGAGATAATAAATTACAAGAATATTTTGACATTAACAGCTCACTATCAGGCAGTAGGAAGTAAATCTATATTAGACATAACAAGTGCAGCATAACTTACAAGTTCTTTCTGGTTGAAACATTTTACTTCTTCTGATTTCACTTGCAATGCACACCTGTTCATAAGAGTGCATTCTATCAGTTTCTGCTGTTTCAATGAGGTGCAAATTAATATTCACCAGGGTACAAAAAGATTTTCAATTATGATGAAAAACATATGTTATTTAAATACACAACTGGGAATACCCACAATGCACGAAGGTGAAGTCTGCATGCATTACCAGAATGGGTCAGTCACCCAAAATTTTATTTCTGTTTTCAAGGTAACAAATTTAGCTGCAAAACTGAGTAAACATTATTTGATAAATATTTGAAGACTACAATTTATCTTCTCAATTTGATATATTATCTTAAATAATTCAAACACTATTGATTTAAATATTGTAATATCAAATACTACAGATCACTCCTGCCATATAGATCCAAAGTGTTTTATGCCTCAGTCACATTTGATCTATGGCGACCGTTTGTCAGCCTGAGCTTCCCCAAATCAAGAGATATGCAGCATAAAATATAGGGATAAGCAGTATGATATAGATTTTCTTCTTTGAAACATTCTTGAAAGTGTTAACATTATCTGCTGTAATCTTGGGGAGGGCATTAACATTATCTGCCCTAATCTTTGGGAGGGCATTAACATTATCTACCCTAATCTTAGGGAGGGCATTAACATTATCTGCCCTAATCTTGAGGAGGGCATTAACATTATCTGCCCTAATCTTGGGGAGGGCATTAACATTATCTGCCCTAATCTTGGGGAGGGCATTAACATTATCTGCCCTAATCTTAGGGAGGGCATTAACATTATCTGCCCTAATCTTAAGGAGGGCATTAACATTATCTGCCCTAATCTTGGGCAGGGCATTAACATTATCTGCCCTAATCTTGGGCAGGGCATTCCATTGTTTAATTACTCATTGGCTAAGGTGTTTTGTTTATTTGTCTTTGAGCAGGAACATTTGAGCATAACATATCTGCATGGGTTTCATTTGAAACATGCAACAGGCAATTTTCAACTTTTCAACTTTTCCATGCTAAATTTATGATTTCCATTAATTTTGCCTGTTGTTTTCATTTATTTAGCCTGTTGTGAGAAATTCTAGTGAATGTGGTGTTATATACTTAACACTAGACTAACAGTTTATAAGATTATCAAGACTTTATTGCTGGATAAAACTTAAGACCGCATGGCTTCTACATCCGGGCACTAGACAGCCCAATCTGATGACGTCACACATTAAGGTGGACGATGAGTTAACATTTAAGGTGTACAGAGTGACTAACACTACAGTGAAAACCCTGATCTGGTTATTTGCTCAGCTAAGTATTTGGCCTGCATTTCTATTTTGTCGTACTGGAAATATGTCTAGGTATGGGCTTTCAATTAGAGTTGAAAGCCCATGGTCTAGGCTAATTGTACAGATTGTTCATATACTTAAATGTTTTGATTATGTCGCCTCTTAATCTTCTATAAGTTGGATTCAATGTGTCATAGGTTTCTCCAAACAATCAGTGATGTCCCATTATTTGCTTATAGATCTTATAATAGTATTGCTGATATTGAGAAAACCAACAGAACCAACTGTCAGAATTAACACTTTGATTCAAGTAGAAACAAGTCTGTCGCACAGTACTAAAACCAGGCCGCCAATCAGATTCAGAGCCAATTCTCAATTCATTTTCGAATTGCCAGAACTGCCATTTACAGAATACTATTATTCAGTGAAGATAATTCGACAGGTCACTACAATCGCAAAATTAGTACATATAAAGCAGTAGATTTCTTCATTGGTAAGTAAATACACGTAGCTGAATATGTGGTTCGACTTAGCGTGCAAAAAAGTTCAGGAGTATGCTGCATGCAGTTGCATTCGAAAGCTCTGACAATCTACATGTATTTATTTAGGTTAGTCAAGAGGAATCCATAATTAATAACAATGTATATAATCAATATGTAAGTACTCACAATTAAAGCCCATGGAAGCTGGCGGAACATGTCTATCAAACTTGTCACTTGTATGAACAGAAACAGGAGGCTTGTGAGGAAGGTCAAGCTGGTGATGAAAATAAACACTCTGATACGCCACGACTGGGGTATCTCATAAATGTCCATTCCGCTCTCCCAGCCTGCACTAAGCGTGGTTACCAAGGCAACTAGTGATATGACCTGGAACAAAGTTTTTATGGAACCTTAATTCTTAGCCCTCATTAAACAAAATTGTTCTTGAAGTTTGACATTACAAATGAAATGCTGATTGGGGAAGTAATGCATGCTAAGTACAATAAATGTATAATAATATTTTAATATAATTTACATGCTATGTACACAGCTGATCTAAAGTCTAATAAAACAAGGCACAGGGTGAACAATATCGTACCTAAAACATAGCAGTGTGAATTCGCGATGAGAAGATTAATCTAAAAACTTCCAAGATGGCCACCAGAATCCAAGATGGCCTCCGAAAAGTTAATCACCTTTAGAAGTTAGAACTTTTTATCATGTAACATGTGTGAAAATTTGAAGTAAATCCGTTAAGTGGTTTTCCGGGAATCGCAATGACAAGATTTATCTAAAAACTTCCAAGATGGTCGCCAGAATGCAAGATGGCCACTGAAAAGTTAAAGAGAGAATCAGATCTCGTGAGCAGGCCAACAAAAAATTGTTTCAATTTTAGAATATTTCTGGCTCGTGTCATTCCTTGTCATGTCTATTTTCTAAAAATCCCCAAAGTACACACTTTATTTCAGTAAAACTAAAGATTTTTACAATAATGTATTATTTTTCTTAAAAGAGAGCTTCGTCTTCACTCTTTCAAACTAAAATAAACCTGTGAACTTACCGCGCCAATCAGTGTTCGTCGGACAAATTTGACCGACGTTCTATAGATGGTCATTCCTTCTGACGTCATTGTTGAGCCCGGAATTGACCAATAACATGCGCATATTTAATTAAAACGCATTTGGCGTATGTTTCTTCAAGCTCGCTGATTGGTGGAAGAAAGGTCAGCGCGTAGGTCAAAAGTGATTCATTACCCAAACTGTCACCGGTACCCGTCGTAGGGGCGGGGCTACTAAACTGAAATATAGTCTCTACTAGGCAGAGTGTAGTTTAACTAGACTCTGCACGCAGGGTACTAAATTCAGTATCTCATTTTTAGACTTAACGACTTTAGGTGAAACAAAGTATCAGTATGATAATCATAAAATAAGAAAAATGCTAGGTTATCACGTCAGTTGATTAAGCACTGCATCCTTCAAGATTGATCGTTCACCTGCTCATGTATTTGCAATGAATTACTCTTGGGCCAAGGATGATTAAGCCCCGGGGATTAAGCACAGTTTCAAGATTATATGTCTCAACTGAAAACCATTTGCTCTGACAATCAGCATCAGGTCTGGAATATACTTTTTTCGTATGGTGAGTTAAGGTAGCCATAGTAATCTGGGGCTATTACAAATCTTACCCATTATAAACAATCTTCCTTATACTCACCACTTGCAAAAGGCGCATGATCCCATTCACAGTTTTGAGATATGTATCATCAAATTTTAATATCACCATGTATGTAAAATGTTCTGGTTGAATATGCCTCTCCTCTGCAGGCAATGCACTGGTGCTTGGCTGTGCTTCAATCGCACATGCACCCGCACTTTCATTTGGGACTGCTTTAACTTCGATAGCAGTTGGTTTATCCGCATTGCCCTCATCAGTGTTAGAACCTTGTGTTCCATTGTTATCGTTATCTTCTTGAGCATTTTCAACAGTTATAGATCCCTCACTGGTATATGTACTGCTTTGATTACTTGCTGTGGGAGCATGTTTCTCTGCATTTTTCTCAACCATTTTTTAGAATTTTTTTCAATGACAAATTCATCTTGGTTCAACTAAAATCATGGATATCTTGCAGCCTCAAACGCAACACAAGAATTATATCCGTAACTGCATCCATTGTTTTATCGTTTCATCGCTGTGTATAGTCTTTTATTTAGAGATAAAGTGCAAAATCTACAAACCATATTTTTGTGTCTTGATTTTCATACTCTCGTTTTTGAGTCACATGATAGTCACGTGATATGGATCGGCCACTCAGAAACCGGAAGTAGGAATAATGTCATGTGAGGATGTAAACATTAGATTTGTCCTCAATTCGTCTCTTTTCAAGACATTTAAACACTAATGAATATATCAATTTAAAGATACATTGCATCTCCAGTAAGACATATTAAAAATGTCATCAGGATCACAAGTGGAAGGTGAGACTTCGGAGTTCAAGTTGATTTTTCACAACTCCCATTTTTTATTTTTGCCAAAATTAATTTGATCCTTATAATTTGACAACTTTAGCCCTGAAAAATAGAGAATACGAAATTTATTTGAAATTCACCACCTGTCTACTTACCAGTATGCGATATGTTCTTCCACACCCTAGTTTACATACACCTTGTGAAACTCCACCAAACACGACTGTAATACTGATTATCGTGTGATCTGTAAAATGAAGCCCTCTGAATGGTCAGTTCTTGTGCTTTACCAATCTGTATTGCTACTGAGATTGTCCCCGTTGATCATCTCCGTCGCAATACAGAAAATATTGGTACGGAGGGGACAATCTCAGTAGCAATACAGAGGATCACACGATAAAAACGTTATTGAATGATTTGAAGTGCAATACAGGATATATTCTGCTCTTGATATTCTGTATTGGCACTCGACTTCGTCTCATTCCAATACAGAATTTCTCGAGCAGAATATATCCTGTTTTGCACTTCAAATCATTCAATAACTTATAATGTTGGCATATTCCAGAATTAGTGTTAGCGCTTGTTGACGCAGCGTACGACAACAACAGTGGTGTGTGCAATGTCATCTCTACCTCTATATTGGATCTCGGCAAGAAGCAAACAAAACTTGTTCTAACATCATGCCACACCTACCTGGAAAAACACCCAAAGGTAATATTACACACAAGACCATAGGCACAGGAACATGTATAAAAAAGAGACTGCTAGACGTAGTATTGTACATTTGTATGTGTGTGAATGGCATAGTTCAGAGTGAATTCAATGAATATTCTCTGTTAAATGACAATGCTGATTTTGCTTTTTTGGAACATTGCCTATAACAATGAGTATACTGTACCAACCCTAATGTTCTGTTGTATTTTTAGTTGGCTTCGGGTCACCGTGTAGTCATCCTGAACTGCATAGAACGCATAGTGAATTCAACAATAGCTGAACTAGACCATGATATAGCAGTTGACTTGATCAAGCAGGCTTCACAAGAAATGACACAATCTAAGGTATGTGGTACATGGCCTCATAGAAAGCAGTCAATCATCCAGTCAACAAACCATACCATATATTTCTGAATTCATTGATCTAATTTTGAATCAGAAGTGAGTGTATGTGTAGAGACTAGAGAGTAAATTCTGATATTATTGCAGGAGATCAGTCCAGACTGGCAAAGTGCTGCTAGTGGTGTGCTGGTTGCTATAGGGAGTAAACTCTGATATTATTGCAGGAGATCAGTCCAGACTGGCAAAGTGCTGCTAGTGGTGTGCTGGTTGCTATAGGGAGTAAATTCTGATATTATTGCAGGAGATCAGTCCAGACTGGCAAAGTGCTGCTAGTGGTGTGCTGGTTGCTATAGGGAGTAAATTTTGATATTATTGCAGGAGATCAGTCCAGACTGGCAAAGTGCTGCTAGTGGTGTGCTGGTTGCTATAGGGAGTAAATTATGATATTATTGCAGGAGATCAGTCCAGACTGGCAAAGTTCTGCTAGTGGTGTGCTGGTTGCTATAGGGAGTAAATTCTGATATTATTGCAGGAGATCAGTCCAGACTGGCAAAGTGCTGCTAGTGGTGTGCTGGTTGCTATAGGGAGTAAATTCTGTAATGAAGTAATGGAGGACCTACTGCAGAAGTTCCACCCTGGCACCCTCCCCCACTTCTTTGTACTACAGACAATGGCGAACCTTGCTTCTGCCAATGGTAAATATCTTTTTTCTACAACTTTGGATATTCTTGAATGTCATTGTTTAATTCAATACCAGGGGCTCCAAATGTGATAATTGTTAGAGGCTATACTTTAAAAGTGTCTGACAACTAGCAAATTTTACAGAAGAGGTATCAGAAAGAGGAAACAAATATTTTCCTGTACGATTGATGATATATTTTTTTAAATAACTGAACAAGCACATTTGATAGGATTTAGGATCTATCCAAAAATGAGCATCATATAGATAACATTGTAACATAATATCTTTTGAATTCTAAAAATAAAATTGTCTCGATTCGCTTATAACAGTCTGATGAATATTTCATATTCAGTCTATGGGATAGTACCATTCCTGAATGTTGTGCTGGGGACCATGTTGCCCATGATGGGGATGGCAAAGCAGGATAACCTCAGATGGGTCTTTTCCTCTGGTAAGTGTGCTTGATTTCCCTACAGCATCATACCCAAGACATACGCTTCTTTATATTGTACAGTAAAACCTATATACATGTAACAGGCCCGTAGCCAGAATTTTCCAAGGGGGGGGTTCACTTTTCCCAAAAATTCTAGGGGGGGTTCACTTTGGCAAATTTGGCCAAAAAATCATACAAAAAATGGTCAGAATGGTGAAAAACTGCATGATTTTGAAAGAAATTTTGGCCAGGGGGGGGGTTCGTCCGAACCCCCGAACCCCCCCCCTGGCTACGGGCCTGTGTAAATAGAACACCTTTGGTACATCAAAATAGTATTCCACTTAGAAGGTTCCACTTACAAAGGTCTATATTGCATTATGTTGATTAGTATCGGGAGTCGGGACTTTGAAAAGTGTTCCATTAATTGAGGTGTTCAACTTAAAGAGATGTTCCACTTTACAGGTTTTACTGTATTTGTTTACCACAAATGTAGTAAGACATGCATCGAGATAAATTACAAATATTGGATAAACATTCATGAAATAACATTGTTATTCCAGCCCAACATTCATGAAATAACATTGTTATTCCAGCCCAACATTCATGAAATAACATTGTTATTCCAGCCCAACATTCATGAAATAACATTGTTATTACAGCCCAACATTCATGAAATAACATTGTTATTACTGCCCAACATTCATGAAATAACATTGTTATTACAGCCCAACATTCATGAAATAACATTGTTATTACTGCCCAACATTCATGAAATAACATTGTTATTACAGCCCAACATTCATGAAATAACATTGTTATTACTGCCCAACATTCATGAAATAACATTGTTATTACAGCCAAACATTCATGAAATAACATTGTTATTACAGCCCAACATTCATGAAATAACATTGTTATTCCAGCCCAACATTCATGAAATAACATTGTTATTACAGCCCAACATTCATGAAATAACATTGTTATTCCAGCCCAACATTCATGAAATAACATTGTTATTCCAGCCCAACATTCATGAAATAACATTGTTATTACAGCCCAACATTCATGAAATAACATTGTTATTACAGCCCAACATTCATGAAATAACATTGTTATTACAGCCCAACATTCATGAAATAACATTGTTATTACAGCCCAACATTCATGAAATAACATTGTTATTACAGCCCAACATTCATGAAATAACATTGTTATTACAGCCCAACATTCATGAAATAACATTGTTATTACAGCCCAACATTCATGAAATAACATTGTTATTCCAGCCCAACATTCATGAAATAACATTGTTATTACAGCCCAACATTCATGAAATAACATTGTTATTCCAGCCCAACATTCATGAAATAACATTGTTATTCCAGCCCAACATTCATGAAATAACATTGTTATTACAGCCCAACATTCATGAAATAACATTGTTATTACAGCCCAACATTCATGAAATAACATTGTTATTACAGCCCAACATTCATGAAATAACATTGTTATTACAGCCCAACATTCATGAAATAACATTGTTATTACAGCCCAACATTCATGAAATAACATTGTTATTACAGCCCAACATTCATGAAATAACATTGTTATTCCAGCCCAACATTCATGAAATAACATTGTTATTCCAGCCCAACATTCATGAAATAACATTGTTATTACAGCCCAACATTCATGAAATAACATTGTTATTCCAGCCCAACATTCATGAAATAACATTGTTATTACAGCCCAACATTCATGAAATAACATTGTTATTACAGCCCAACATTCATGAAATAACATTGTTATTACAGCCCAACATTCATGAAATAACATTGTTATTACAGCCCAACATTCATGAAATAACATTGTTATTACAGCCCAACATTCATGAAATAACATTGTTATTCCAGCCCAACATTCATGAAATAACATTGTTATTACAGCCCAACATTCATGATGAAATAACATTGTTATTACAGCCCAACATTCATGAAATAACATTGTTATTACAGCCCAACATTCATGAAATAACATTGTTATTACAGCCCAACATTCATGAAATAACATTGTTATTACAGCCCAACATTCATGAAATAACATTGTTATTACAGCCCAACATTCATGAAATAACATTGTTATTACAGCCCAACATTCATGAAATAACATTGTTATTACAGCCCAACATTCATGAAATAACATTGTTATTACAGCCCAACATTCATGAAATAACATTGTTATTACAGCCCAACATTCATGAAATAACATTGTTATTACAGCCCAACATTCATGAAATAACATTGTTATTACAGCCCAACATTCATGAAATAACATTGTTATTACAGCCCAACATTCATGAAATAACATTGTTATTACAGCCCAACATTCATGAAATAACATTGTTATTCCAGCCCAACATTCATGAAATAACATTGTTATTCCAGCCCAACATTCATGAAATAACATTGTTATTCCAGCCCAACATTCATGAAATAACATTGTTATTACAGCCCAACATTCATGAAATAACATTGTTATTACAGCCCAACATTCATGAAATAACATTGTTATTACAGCCCAACATTCATGAAATAACATTGTTATTACAGCCCAACATTCATGAAATAACATTGTTATTACAGCCCAACATTCATGAAATAACATTGTTATTCCAGCCCTCGGCAAGTTCAGTGAAGCTATCCTTGACTATGTGGCCAACTTAGAGAAAGCCCCGGACCCAACTGTGAGGAAGGAAGTGTTTTCAGCAGAAATATTTGCTGCATATGATGTTCTCTTTAATATCTGGTTAATATCAAAAGAGGCAAAGGTATGACTTTTATGGTAATTGTGACCCCAAGCCAAGGGTGGGGATTCTTCAAAATGAAAATTGTGATGCAAACCTCATTTGAATGGTGCATTAATACCCCCCCCCCCTCTCCTGCTTGTAACTGCTCATTTATCATTTCTTATTTATTTGTGATATGCTGATTGTTATTAAACAAATGTGATTGAGTGATGCCTATAGACATTGTGTAACTGTAAAACATATTTTCAATTCATAATTGAAAATATTTTACTCTTTCATCAGCTGCGACTTGCTGTAGTTGAAGCCATTGGCCATATGGTCCATATACTGTCCCAGGACAAACTGATGGAGCAGCTGCCCAAACTCATACCTGCCATACTTGGGTTATATAGGAAACATTCAGAGCCTTTCCATGTGACACAGGTATGTAATTCAGTCTTTTAGGTAGACATATTCATTTTTCATTTAATAGAACTAAACAGTGTATTTTATTTGCCTGTGGATAACTTCAATATACCAAACCTCATATACCTAGGATAATCTCTATATTTGTATTTTAATGAATTTTTAGTTATAAGATTAGTATAAAGCATGTATAAAGTCTCTCTACCTCCCCCTCCCCCCCCCTCCCCCATCTACCTTACCCCCTTAAGGTGAGGGTTGTATGGGGAGGGGGATCACAGGGGCTTAAGCAGGACTATTAAAAATATATGAGATGATGACATGTTTATACAACAGGGACTCTGTATGGTGCTGGATGCAGCTACCCAGGACAGCAGTAATATCTTGGAACCATACCTTGAGAGTGTACTTGGAGCACTTTTCCCACAGGTAGGAATATTATTGCCCAAGACAGTGAAGCTAAAGGACAATAGAGTAGAACTGTAATGACCTTCGATAGCAAGTCACTACTACAGTCTCAGCTGTAGTGGCTAGCCTTTATGGCTCAGGGGTAGAGCGTCTGACTCTGAGAGCGGAAGGTCCTGGGTTCGGTTTGTACACTTGGCAATGTTTTTTGATATATTTCCTGGGATTCAAGAGAATTATTATTCTAAACAAAGAAATCATTATTGTTCAATATATAAAAGACCTTTTCATGAAGAATTAATGGTGTTATAAACTAGTGATATCATTCTGTTATACATGTAGGCCTGCACTCAGCCAGATTATGCTAATCCCTGGACAGTAAAGAATTACAACGAGGTCTTGCGTAGTTTTACAGTCATAGGCAAGTACTATATACATGTTATTGTATTTTATTGCACGATTGTATATGCAAGGCATGATTATTTAGTAAGATCATGTAACAAATATCTACATTTGCACGCTTATTCTTTATATGTAGAATTTCTAATTTGTTTTTAAATTGAAAAACCAAACACAACAATCGAGTCGCCTTATTGTGTTAACTTGATCTTTATCTACCCTATTATATTTATCTATGTGTTTCTATTTCTACAGCAAAGTCATTCTCAGATCGCCTTTTTGTGTTAACTTGATCTTTATCCATCTATCTGCCCTATTATATTTATCTGTGTGTTTCTATTTCTACAGCAAAGTCATTCTCAGATCGCCTTATTGTGTTAACTTGATCTTTATCCATCTATCTGCCCTATTATATTTATCTGTGTGTTTCTATTTCTACAGCAAAGTCATTCTCAGATCGCCTTATTGTGTTAACTTGATCTTTATCTACCCTATTATATTTATCTGTGTGTTTCTATTTCTACAGCAAAGTCATTCTCAGATTGCCTTATTGTGTTAACTTGATCTTTATCCATCTATCTGCCCTATTATATTTATCTGTGTGTTTCTATTTCTACAGCAAAGTCATTCTCAGATCGCCTTGTTGGGTTTCTCCTGCAAAGAATGGAAGGAAGTAATGAAAAGACCCGTATTGGAAGTCTGTGTGTCTTTCGACATCTCATCAATGCTGCAGGTAATTTATGTCTCAAGAGTATATAAACAGAACTTTTAACCTGTAATATCCATTGAACTGTTTGTCTTGACATTATTTTTATATCCCCGGGATTTATGTAAACTAAAAGTATTTTGTTCAGTGTAACAGGTACTTACAATAAATATGTCCACCATTTACTTGACCAAAACATAGCTAAACACTGTTCATGAGAGGTCGCATTGTAATGCACTATGAAAAAGTGGGTCTCACATAAATATTGTCATCAAGATTCCAGGAAAACCTCTTATATGTCATCTTTTTTTACAGACGCATGAGCACACTTACATTTATGCCAACATCTAGTTATGTTTTTGGCATGCTGGGTGAATTACATGGTGGCTATTTCACTCTCCATAATCAATATTTATCCCCGTTTGTCTTTTTAGACTCCAGATCATTTGAATTATTTTCAAGGTCAGGATACAACTGGAATGGTGCGTCTCATGTCAAATAAATGATCAATAAAAATAGTAATTGAATGATAATTTTGAGTACATACTAAAAATAGAATTGTTTAACTTTTATTTTTCAGATGAACATTTGGAGAATAAAAAATCGCTGGTTGTCTCTGGTCTGAAGATCGTCTTGAATGATCCCAACAGAAAAGTTGGTAAAATATTTGCTCAGGTGATTATAGCGATGGCCCATCATGAATATTTGGAACTTGAAGGTGGTCACGCAATGGTGGAGTTCATCGTGAGGCAATCGGCACTTCAGGATGATCCTCCAGGGAGAAGGCCACCTGACCCGGAATATGTGAGCTGCGAAGCATTGAGGTCCATGTGTGACAATATCCTGAATTTAGCTACTACTACCATAGAACCAATGGAACCAGTAAGTGACTGGGATTCTCTGTTGGTCATTTTGCCGCTTATCTTAAATATTTAACAGTTGATTGAATATTAACTATTTTTACCTTTTTATCATTTTCCTAAAGTTAAAAGTTTTGAAATAGTTATTTTTAGTTTCTGTCATTTGGAGGTGAATTGACAGATGTGTACCACCAAGAGGTGGTGACATACCACCAAGAGGTGGTGACATAATCCAAAAAGTGGTGACATATTGATATACATTGATATATATTGTAGGCCTAAATAGTTCTTGATATTGTTCAGTGTCAAAATTGTTATACTTATGTAACCATTTTCAATAATTTACCAAGTGACGGCATTTCATCATGGTAATGCTGTGTTGTGCAGGTTCTCTGGCCATACTTACTTGAGTTTGTTGTACCTGAAAAATACACTGGAGCCGCAGGAGTGGTTTGTCGCAGCATCAGCCACATTGCAGCAAAGAAACGTGCAAATGGTGATCAAGATTACGAAATCGATTTTGACACGCAAGTGAACATTCCAAAATCAGTTGAGATATTAGCAAGAATGTTGGTATTAGCTGGAAGGCCGTTACATGGACGAAATTGTGGGATACACATACTCTCGGCCATGAAGTCAATGTCGCCAAATTTTCATGAGAATCTAGTGGAATTGTGGGATACAGTTATTCCCAAATTGATTGCATATCTGGAAGAGGTGTCCGAGGATGAAGAGAAATGGTCACAGAAGAATTGGGAGGACTTGATGCTTAAGGTAGACATCTATTTTTCAATTGAATCCATAGCATTAAACCAAGCTGTACAACCACCGATTTTGGCAATTCAATGATATCCATAGCATTAAAAATACTCCCAGGGTGCAAGTGCGATTTTAAAAATAGGCATGCACCCGCCTAAAAAAATACCTTTAAAATGAGACAAATAATGAAGCATTTACATATCCTCACTAACTTAAGTCAGAATTTTGAAAATAAGAAATATGCACCTCCCCAGGATCCCTTGGCTTATTCACTGAGTATCCCAATTTATGTTTCAGATGCTGTCAAAGAGTGTTGAGCAGGTGAATGATGAAGAATGGCTGAGTGACTTTGGAGAGGCATTGGGCAGTCAGATACCACTCTACTCCACATCCTCAGAGGAAAAGGTACATCATGCAATGAAACCTATAAAATGAAACACATTTGAAATTGGAAAGACTCCATATTAGTTGAATACTTTACAAAGTTGTGTTTCCCATTTATTCATGTAAACTGAACTTCAGAAAGTGGAACACTTTCCAAGTGGAACACCTCCCAAGTGGAACACTATTTTGAGGGAACAAAGATGTTCCACTTTGACAGGTTTTACTATACAAAATTAAGAAGCCATGTCTAGAAAAAATATATATTGACTTTATAGAGCTCGAGTGATAAAATGAAAATAACCTGACCTACTTTATAAAGAATGTTTCTGAATATGTCATTCCATGTACCTTTACATGTATATAGGAATATCAGCCATTTTTTCCAGAATTTTCTGTATAAGTGCCTTGGGATTGTATTGCGAAAGTCTACTAAGAAGGATTTTGTGAACAAGCAAATAGATGTAATATTTTCAAGTGTGAAGCATACAAGCCAGACTGAAAGAGAGGTATGTTAACTGGAACATATCAATATATTGATACAAAACCAATTGTTGAGGTGGTGGGGTAAGGGGCAATTTATTTTTGGAATTTAAGAAGTTGAATTTTAGACTTCCACTTTTAGTGGTGACTCACATTAAAGTACCATTTCAATAGATTGGTAAGACTCACTTTATAATATTAGATTATAAATCTGATCTGCAAGTATAGTGTAAATTATTTTAAATGATTTAGAGAATTTTGCGGAAATGAATAATACAAACTTAAGAGACATTTAAATGTAATACATTTACAGGGTTGTGCAATAGGCCTGGGGTTTTCAGCAACCAGTCATTTAGATGCTGTACTCGCTAAACTCGAACACATTGCCAAGAATGATATTGGTAAAAAGTCTTCCGGATTCTTAGGCTTTATAAAGGTAAGATCTTTAATGAAATTATGGTTTAGATCTCCAGGCATGGGGTAAATTTAACTTACCCGTAAGATTCTGTCTTTATGAAATGATGGATTTTGAAGGAAAACGCTATAATGATAAATGTGCATGTTTGGTAAAACATATTCATGGTCTTCAAGATATGACTGTCAAAAATCACATGCCATATATGGTCATTTCAGGACATGAAATCAGATGAGAACACAGAGCGTGTCAAGGCAACGCTGATGTTGTGTTATGGTTTTGTCACCCTCTATTCACCTCCATTGCTAATTGTGTCAAGAATGGAGGCCTCCATACTACGAAGCATAGACCCGCATTTTAGCCATATCAAGGTAAAGAGTTTGTTATATGCAGTGCTCATATTTGCTGAGAAATAGTTTTGATTTTTTCTTTTGGTGGAACACAAAACTTTCTTTCCTTCTGTTCATTAATCAAGAATGTTAACATGTACGTATCCAGGTGCTTCTGTTGTACCAAACATACATACTTTGGCCTTCCCTGTTGTGTAACCATGACAACAAGTAACTCAAAATATTATGAAATGTTCATGCTTGAGCATCAACACAAAAAATTGGATTGTTAACACCTCTGAACATTTTCACTCAGTCCAAGTAACACATGGACTAGACATGTTTTAGTGTATATGGTTCCCATGTATTGTAGGATACAAGTGTAAAACAGAACCTGATCCGTACAGTGCAGCTCATTGGCAAGGCCCTACACGTGGACCACCTGCAAACAGCCTATAGTTTTACCAAGAGAAAGGGACTTTTAACACATATGCAGACATATTTGAAGGCTGAACACCCAAAGGTTTTAGACACAGAGACACGGGCACTTGCTATTGATGCTTGTACATCATTAATGTATCCTTATATTTTAATGAACAATGTACCAGAGGTACACGTAATATCAGTTTTTTTGTTTAAGCTGCATATTCTCTTTCAACGAAATATTTGAACACCTAATTAATCTGAACTCCTCTCAATGTAAACACTTTTTCAAATCAATATTTAATCTACCTTATACTTCAATCCTAAAATACCACCATCTGCATATCCAAAAGAATTTTGTCCAGTTCCAGTGGTGTTCAGGTAAGACAGGTTTCACTGTATTTTAATTTCCTTGGCCTTGCAAAGAATAATGATCTCAAACCATTGAATGTTATAATAGTCTCAACAGGCATCAGAAAGTTGGAGCCTAAGTTGGAGGAAGCAGAAATGTTTGATGTCATCAAAGACGCCACTGATTGCGTCATGGGGTTGCCACTAGATGCCGCTGTTGGTAGCAAGAAGACAAACAAAGAGGAAACCTATGATCAGGTATGTGCAATAACTCTTGATGGCAAATAGATATAGGTATTTTTGGCCCACTCAGGTACTGTATATACATGTAGAATCAACAGGTGCATGTTGTTCATCAAATTAAGGACACATACAAATATGCAGGCAGTAGTATATGGAACTCTATTTATACTGTCTTTATTTGTATATTTTATCCATATATTTCTGTAGGTGCTGGAACATGAGGTGTTGCTAGAGGCAACCTTGGAATCCCTGGATGAGTTGCTACGGGAACTGTTGCTACGTAACCTTGACCCTTCAGGTCTGCAGGATGTATACAAGGTACACATTTAAACTTCGATTTAAAATGTATATTAATTTTATCTTCTATTTTGTAATAAGAGTAAACATGTAGTTTTGAACATAGGATGAAATAAGTGGATAATATGTGGACCCCTTTAATGTATATTAAACATTAATTTTTCACTAAGACTATAATATAAGTGTACAAAACTATTCCCATTTTTTATATATGAAGCATGAACGTACATGTACAAGTTTATTCCTGAGAATGCACTTTTTCAGCATGTGTTCCCCTGGATGGTGTCTTTACATGAGTTTGAGAGAGAAAGAGCTGTGCAGAGACTGCTTAAAATACTTAACTGTTACCTTGACAACTTCTCATTAGGAATAAATGTAAGTTTTAAATACTATACATATCAGTGGACATTAGTCACAATAAGTTATTTTCAAAATTGAAAGTTAAAAAGGATGAGTCTGGGTATCGACTTAGAAAATATTGAAAATTGTAATGTCTGAAAAACCAACTCAATCACACATATTATTAAACTTCAATATCTTATCTTTCTTCTGATATTACTAAAATATCAATTTGTATCACAATTGATGAAGAATATTGGCATCAAAGACAGTGCATATCACTTTGTCAGAATTGAAAAAAAATCAATGGCAAATATTAAATGAGTTTTTTATACAAAAAGTTTGAAACATATCCTCCAAAACATTGCTTATTTTCTTTGTATAGACATTGAATGGTATTTCTGGATAAGTGAATTTTTGTTTATCTGGGTAATCAAGGGATTATAGTCACTCAAAGTTACTGAGCATCCAATTTTGAGACTTCAATTGTGTTGGTGAAGTTACACATATTTCAGTCAAATTCATGCTGAGCACAACATTTTGGTTTCAATTTTATAATCCCTATACATGACCCTGGTGATGAAGAGTCAGATTCAGTCAAAAAACCCAAACCGGAAAACTGTGCTCATTGTGAAAACTAAAAGTGAAGCAACTTTTTTTCTGATATTTCTTACATCAAATGGCAGCCATCTTGTTTTTCCCCCTTCAAATTAAACTGGCGGGAAATTCAAAAATTTGAAAAAAAATTTAATCCTTAAATATATTTCAAAAATATGATTTTCTTTTTAATTCTTCATGGGTCTTAAGTTATTTCTTCTTTGTATGTCATACATGTTGCCATTGGTGTTTTTTTCTATGATAATGACTATTTTTTGTTTGTTAGGCTACTTATTCTGACTCTCAGCAGGGGGCTAATTATGCATCAAAACTCATGAAAAACTAAATATACTTATCAAATATAACTAGGACAGTAATAAGAACCATATTTCACATACGTTTGACTGAGGGACCAAAAGGGCATATACCCAGACACATCCTTTAATGTGTTCCTAATGAAAAAATGTAAAGTGCAAAATATTCAGTTTTTCATACTGGCTTTATAGATCTATTGAGTGACCCTCTCTCACCCTCAACTAAAAATCGGAAGTAATTTTTTGTAATGTTATGAACCATCTCTGATATTAACATGTATGGTAAATCAAGGGTCTACACACTCTGCTTTCAGTCTGCCACCTCATTCCAACATGTGAGTAGTCTTCTAGGACGTCTGGTCCCCAGATGTACAGACCCTGAGCTGAATGTACGAGAAGCCGCCATAGATTGTATTCACACTGCACTGAAGATACTCAATAGATATGCAGGTACTGAGAGCCATTTTAACTTTATTTTCCAAATGCTAACTCACTTTGTTTAGATGATTATGATGGTACTGCGAGTCAATTGACCTTTTGCGATCAGAATTCAGGAATTTTGTTTATGGATACTGTTGTCACGTATTTAGTCTTATTGGTGTGACGTCATATAGAAATGATATTAGAAATGATGGAATCACGAAATGGCGGACACATGGCAGTTTTGAGCTAAAAATATTGTCGTTTCTTTTATGAAAACCATGGGTCGGATATTTACCAGGTATGCCGATTTGACTAGATCATGAGTTTATCTATATATGTGCGAAGTTTGGGTGAAATTCATATTAAACATCGATGCCTATAAGCGCCCCCCATTTTTGTCAAAATCGGGGGGCGCTTAACCGCTATCTAAATCATGTCAGTAAGATCTTAGACTTGGTATATGCTTAGCATGAATGTTGATCTAGTCAAATCGAACGCTTTCGTGAAAAATTAATCAATAAAGCATGAAATATAGAAGATAATCTCTCAAAATCAAGCATCTAAAGCTTGCTGGCCTAATTGTGACGTCACTAAAAGATAGAATTCATTCGGTGATCGCAAATCATCAATTGTAAAATAATTGAAAATGAGTTAATATGCTTTCCAATATTCCTTTTTTGCCAACACAGATCCTGGAAACAAAATGTTTATAAAAAATGGTACCTGATATTCATTGTTACATCACAAAAAGTAGACAATCTTTCAGGTTTTATTAGTATTTTTCACATGTCAACCAATGTTTGTATGTGATTTATGAGAACTTAACCTCACTTAGGGAACAGTTTTCAAAAGAACCAAATATTTTCCCATGTAACATTTTAACAGACCCTCTCTGTAAGGAACACCTGTCTACTGGGAACAAGGAACAGTGTTTTAGGGCAAAATTTGAAAATTCGCCTGTTCACAAAGTTCCTTGTTCACAGGTTTTACTGCTTGTATATGCTTATTGCAGGGCGTGGTACGGATGAGCCAGATCAGATGGTAGATGCTCTCCCAACATTGAAGGAACGACTGAAGAAAACAGATCCAAATGTCCTTTTTAGTGTCATTAAGGATCTTTCTAAGGTATTAGATTCTTCTCACAAACTCCATCATATTTTCCCAATACATGTGAAATACTTTGCCATTCACAGAAACTACATGTGCATCATCCTCCTAAGCAGGTGTCCAGAATCCGTACCTCCTTCTTCCCCCCTGCTATAAGCAGTTAGCATTTCCCCGATTAAGAACTCGCAATCTGATTGGCTGTCGCAACACTGCGACAGAAATCATGTATACGTCATCGGCGCATAATTAGATCACGTGATTCAGTTTAATCGGGCGCTTCCAACTTGGTTATAGCAGGGGGTAAAAAGAAAGAAGATATTCTGGATTTTGAAGCCCTGTGATCGGAGGATGCATGTGCATGTATTATTTAAATCCAACTTTCACATTTCCCGCAATGATGCCCCTCGACCTCTGTAACATCTCCCATTTCAAAAGGATAATTGCATATTTCAGGTGCTATGCAAGAAACTCCCAAGTGACCAACTAAGTGACTTTATGGAGAAGCTATATGATGGTCTTCTTGATGCCCAGTCACATAGCTCATCAGGTGCATGTGTACTGATGAATAGTACAATTAAACTACGTGGCTCAGAGCTACATTCCCAGGTACTTGTTCATTCATTCTTAGCAATCACGGTTTGGTAATGTTGAAAATATTGTGCATATTCTTCTATAAAGGCCTATTTTAGATTCAGTACAAAAATTCTATTCTATTAAAAATATCAGAAGTTTGTTAGTAATTGATATGAGGTTAGATGTCACTCAGTTATAATGTGCTTTAATGAAAGGTTGTTGGTCTATTAGGCTCTCAAAGGCTGATTGTATTTATCATTTTAAGTTTTCATATTTATTTTTGATTTTAAAATTCTAGGTAGAATATATCTTAGGTGTCCTTCATGAGAAATTGGGTCAAATAGAATGTCCGCAGACGCGTACGGGAACATTACGTGCCATTCGCACTCTCTCATCACACCACCTCCTCAGTGTGCTAACCTCTCTGCTTACATACCCTATCCCATATAACAAAGATGTTTGCGACATGTGGACGAGCGTGGCTGAAGATGAGGCTCTGACATCATCACTTCTTGATCACATATTGGATCTGCTAAGTCGTAGTTTGCCATACGAGGAAAAAACTGATCCTAGGGATAAAGAAAAGACGATTAAAACATCAATGCAATTACCGTTGTCAGTAAGTTACCATCTTGAGTTATTCAATGAAAAACATCGAGATTATTGTGTGTCCCATTTTTTCTGTATCTTATGAAATATTATTGAGTAGCATTTTTAATAATGTTTTGGATATGCATGTATGGTCTTTTGAAACACAGCAAAGCAATTTAAACCTGCTTTCCATTTGAATTGTACAATGTATTGAATTCTCAATTCAGGCTATTAGTGCCTTGACGGAGATCTTTAAAGTGGAAGCCTCGGAGACTGTAGTGACTTCTCTCTATCACAAACTGTTTGCTGCACTCTTGGTTGCTATTGGCTCAACTGTTGGATGTAGGCCACCAAAACACAAAGTAAGATATTTAGCATTATAGACCTCTGCTTTGCTGAACCAATGAAACTGTATTAGATAGATTTATGGTGTTCTAATTCTGCCTCTGAACTGTAAGAATGACTTCATTTATGGCATAATCTACCTTGTGATCAGTCTATTCAAACCTTCACATTATATACACTTTCAGGAGCCCTCATGACCTTGAAAATGTTAACCTTTAACTATTTTTGATTGTCAAGGAAGAACATGAGACCAAGTCAGGCAAAGATAAGAAGTCAAGTCACCCGGTCAAAGATATCAAGATTGTACCAGCCAGTATTGCAGTAGATGCATTGAAGCAGCTGCTGATACGAAGTAAGAGTGATGCTCTGGCTGAAGCAATGGAAGAAGGTGAACTGTATGAGAAGCTACAAGATGAAGACACCTACCAAGAAGCTGTTACATCAATTGCAAAGAGCGTCAGTGAAAACCAACCAGATATGGTCTCCCGTATTGTCTCTTGCCTTAACCCAGTCCTCTCTGGACCATATGACTCACAGAGGGTCGTTGCTGCAGCATTCTTTGCAGAGTTGATTAACCAGAAGTGTTGTGGCGATATGACACTGGTGGAATTGTTGATGAATAGCTTATTAGGACGTCTTGTAGACACTAATCATGTTGTTAGAATGTTGTGTATACGTGGCCTTGGGAACATAGCAAGTTTGGGGCATCAGCAGGTAAGATACTTTACAAAATAGTACCCCACTCATATATTTGAAAGTAAACCTACTAGCATATTAAAACACTTGAATCTTCTTCAAATGGGATGAAGTATGTATGATAAAGAAAAGATTTAGTCTCCACTTGGTGTGTGGGGTACTAGGATTCATACTTATAGCTTTTAGACACAAAGTGTATTTTCAGTTTGTGTCTTCTTTTTCTAGTAATTTATACTGCCCTTTTAGAAAAAGACTTATTTTAGAGGTGTAGGAATATAACTTTTCGCATTATAAACCATTTAAAATGCAGCAATATGTCACCAATGTGACCGATTTTGATGCAACTTTTATCATGATGGTAGAATCTCATATACACTGTATGCCGCTACAGATTATTATGCCATTGTTTCAGGTGCAGAAATATGCCACTACAATCTTAAGCGCCATGATGGCAGGAATGGATGACAAAGATGATGTTGAAGATGACATCACACTAGAAGCAATGGAAGGACTTTCTAAGGTTCTCACAGCTATTGATGAGTCAAATATACGTGCAATACTTATAAATGTGGCACTTCGCATTCGGCCATGTTTTGAAAAGGTACATTTGATACTGCTCATATTATTTTTGGACAAAAGAGGCTTTGATATATGATAAATCTCTTGATTTTTAAATAATTTTTCTCTTCATATTCCATGCGGCCTTTTCTTAAATTAAGATATCAATATGTGGTTCACAGAATATTTATCCAAACATTGAAATTCCTAGAATTAATTTATTTTTTACATAGAATTAAACAGAATCATGTTTTCAAATAAGCCCAATAAAAAAAGATCCGGAAGTATAGAAGAATCAATAATTTTCCTTAAAATGAAAGCTCATGGCATTATTTTTACTTTTAATGAATATCACAAAGCACAGGTGGTATAACTGTATATAAAATCAATGTATTCATGTTTAAATTGTATTTTTGTTATTTATGCATGAATGTGAATTTTCCTTATAGGAGAGAGAAAGTGTTAGGGCAGCTGCATTTAGACTATTTGGTAATCTCTCAAGGTTTGGAGATGGTCCCTCACTTAGTAATTTTGTAGAACAGATTCATAACAACCTTGTCTCCCTGCTGTTACATCTCAATGATAAGGAGGAAGATGTTAGACAGGTTAGTAGCCTAGACTTTAATGCGTTTCATACTAAAGATAAAGATGGCCAAAAGGGAAAGATTAAAGAGCTGGGGGGGGGGGGCACTTCTGAGCCTTGGCCGTCTCCACAATTTATTTGATTGATTTTATATTGATTTTATGCAAATAAAAACAATAGTAACCTTATAAAAACCTAAAAAAACTAAAAGTCGTCATAAACATATAACCAAAAAGTATAACATTCATTTTTTGATTATCCCTTTTATTTAGGGACTTCATTGTCTCTGCCCTTCCAGGCAGTGTTCATTTATAAGTGTGACATTTTGCAACTATAGCATTAAGCAAATATCACTTTAAATGAAAACATTTCTTTGCATAATCTCTACCCCCCCCCCTTCAAACTATATAAGATTACTATGATGTGTTTTCAGAAGGCACAGCACTTGATACAACTCGAAGTAGTGCCTCCCAGTCAAAATCTGAACTTAACAATAACTTTTTCAACTATGTAATACATGTTTATAATTGTAGGCATGTAAATATGCACTGAGGTTGCTGGGTCCACTCCTAGAATGTCCACCTGTCAATGAAATGTTCCAAAAGGTTCTCCTTGATGATATACACCTTCATTATGGAGAATTCATGAATGATCTATCCAAAGCAGTGGTACGTATTTTGATAATCGGATGTGTAAAGTGGCAGAAAAGGATATTGAAAAAGTGTAAAATATTGAAACCTTACAACATGCCAATGTGTCCCATGTGATCTCAAAATAAAAGTGATCTGCCTCAATTAGTTGATTAGATATGAACAGAATAATGGTAAATGAATAACATATTTGAAATAGGGTGGAAGAAATCTATTGAGTCTCCAGTTGTGTCTGGAAACATAAAGTTGTGCATGGGTTTGCAGTGATGTTGTAAATCCTATCATTTTGCATAACATTCATCTTGAACTTCACATTCAACAGTTTTGTGCACATTGAAAACATTAAAAGCTTCACTTTTTATGTTTGTTGATTGTCAGACCTCTTGAATTAAAACAGAATAAGAAAGCATTTCAAAAGGTAAAAGTCTAAAAATTAACTGTATTTGAACAGTTATGGGTGAGGGGGGCATGGCCTTAAAAGTTAAATTTCGGACATCGTTCCTGGGAATTTTATTTGAACAGCCATCCTATATTGAACTTTTGAGATTCTCCTAACATATTCATATATACATACTACCACATACATTAGTAATATAGTTAAAGTTATTAAAGGTCCAGTGTAAAACAATAATTTCAAACTTTGCATGGGGCCTTTAATACTGTCAAAATTATTGTTATTTCACTTATAGATTGCTGGCTTTCCTAACAAGCTCAACTTCTATGTATGTTAAAGTTATTAAAGGTCCAGTGTAAAACAATAATTTCAAACTTTGCATGGGGCCTTTAATACTGTCAAAATTATTGTTATTTCACTTATAGATTGCTGGCTTTCCTAACAAGCTCAACTTCTATGTGATGGGGAATGTGTCATTCTTCAAGAGCAATTGGTCTGAGATTAAGGGAAGTGCTGCCATGTTTGTTGGTAAGAAGTGATATTCTTATTATGTAATACAGTACATGTATCTAAATTGTATTTCTATGGTGTCTCTGTACTTATATACCATTCCATACAAAAAGAGTGTCTTTCAAGCATCCCTAAATTCTGTTTAAAAGATTGATTTTTCTGAGATGTAAAAAAGACATCTGTGCTTTATTTCCTATTTTTCAAAATGTAATTTCTGTTTTTCTAACCATGTGATTGAATTGACAGTGTAGAACTTTCATTTTCTTTCAGGATTTCTCCTTGGCAATCTCCCACAGGATCGCCATGACACCGTATCCAAGGAGCATGTCTGTGCGGCGCTAATAATGTTGCTGAAAGATCCCTCACCAGAGGTCAGGATCAAAGCTGCCGAGGCCATGAGCTGGTTACATAACTATTAGATTAGAGCTACATTGATATTGGAGTGACGCTACCATAGCTACATGCCAAGAATAGAACCTACATAAAAGAATGTAGCTAGCTACAAATTGGAGAGATATAACAATTAATAATAAATTAATTGGTTTTATGTGTTTTTTATGGGAGTTAGTCAATTATAACTTTTCAATTCTGAAGTCTGCATGTAAACAAAACTGGTTGCCAGGAGACACAGTTCAATGTAGGTCAGCGCGCATGCGCAGAATTTCATCATTTTCCTTCCATTTTTTATTGAGGCTGGAGGTAGCTCTTGATATCTGAGCGAATCTTGTAAGTATTTACCTGCCAACCCTCCCCCAAAAAGACCACCCATGAATTATCCCCCAACTAAGGTGAGATCAAGAAAATGGTAAAAGAGATATGGTTAGTAATAAATGAAGGTAAGCAACTAAAGTAATCACTATTATATTGCTCAAATGTATATCTTTAATGACTACTCCCTAAAAAACCCACATAGACCAAAAATACAAATAAAAGGTAGCTACATAACTATTAGGATGTAGCTACATATTATTGGAGTGTAGCTTCATAACTATAAGATTGCAGCTTTATTGAAGTGAAGCAACCTTTGCTACAGAACTATTATAGTATAGCTATTAGGTACACTGCATAACTAATCTGTTAGAGTTGGCTTTATATACATGTATACTATTGTACAAGAATATGCAATCTGTATTCATTATCATTCAATTGAAAGTTCAGTAAAACATGTAAAAGTGAAACAATCAAATATAAATTGAGCTTCTGTAAGTAGAACACCCCCCACTTCAAAGTGGAACAATATCTTGAAGTCTCAGGTAGGTGTTCACTACAGAGAGGGTTATTTATACAGAAGTCAGTGGAGTATGTGTGGATGAAGGGTGTCCACTAGAAAGGTGTTCACAAAGACAGGTTTTATATATGTACAATTGTAGTCAAATCCATACCAGTGATGTATCAATACAGCATGTGAATGATGTGCTGAGAATTTCAAATTAAAATTGCCAAAAAAGGAATAAATTAACAAGGATATATTCGTATTCTTCTTGTTTTCTTCTCTTATTTTCATTCACCTGGGAATAAGAAGAGGAGGTAAAAACATTAAAAAGTTAAAGATTTGATATTAAATGAATTTTTATTTTTGATTGAATGTTTGGCATAAAAATTATTCCAAAAACTTTGCAGTAGAAAATGTATATCATATAAAATATATAAATTGTGATGATTGCGTTTTGTAGCTCATTAAAAATTGAAATATGACTTACATTTAAATTATGTAATCTCATAGTATGTGAGAGGTAATCATATAGCTTGTTGGACAATGTATTATACCTCACAAAAACAAATACTTGCTTTTCTAATATTTCATTCTATAGATGGCATTACATGATTTTTTTCTCAATGAATTTTGGAGTGGGCATCGTCCGCTTTTAATTTTGTAGGGCGTAGGCAGTACACCACTATTAAATTCATTGAAAGTGCAACAGATAATAATTACCTGATTATTGTATCAGAAGTATTTCTTTTAATACATCATTGCTAGACATTCCATTTGAACACATTTTTTATGTATCCAGAAGTTGAGGGAGATGTGAAATATGTTGTTATTTTAGTCACATGGCGGCATGCACTACATTAACCAATACGAATACTGGGCTACTAGCAAAGGTGTAATACATGTGATTAGTGGCATAAGTACTT